CATCACGGTCTTGCCCCACAGGATGCGCCGTGCCGCCAGCCTGACATCCGTCTTTGGGTCGATGATGACGGGGGATTTACCTGCAAATGAGAAATTTTAGAATGATACAAACCAGCCGGAAAGAGGACACGTACCTCCGAGCTCCAGAGTCGTAGGTGTAAGATACTTCGCAGCAGCTGTGGCAACGATACGGCCGACCCTTCCTCCACCTAAAAACGAACGTCATGATGAGGCACAAGTCGGATTTCTGAACTCGCAATGAAACGTACCAGTATAGAGAACTAGAACGCGAGTCAACGTCAACAAACGCATACCCAGTCCAGATCATCAAAAACAAACGCACTATGGTCCCACTGGAGGTCCAGGATCTATAAATATCACGGAAAGAACCAGACTCAGTCCTGTGGATCGGCAGGTACACCGCTACAGGAGAAAACGCACCTTCGTCGTCTCCGGAATAGCACCATTAACCACACGCACAACGTCATGATCGAGGTACTTAGAGATTAACTCCGTCATTAGGGCACTTGTGTGTGGCGTCAATTCCGAAGGCTTGAGGAGGACTGTGCATCCGGCGGCGATAGCTCCGGCCTACGGCGGGTTTAGAACCGTGGTCAGATTAGCTCTTGGTTACATTGACAAGGAGAATAAAAGTGGTAAGACACGCACGACGGGTCCAAGCGAAAGCCAGACGGGGTAGTTGAACGGGCTGATGACGAGCACGGTTCCCTTGGGCTCTTTCCTCGTGATTGGCCTCATGGCAAAGAAGTTGAAGTTGAAAGGGGGCTTCGAGGGCTTAGCCCACGTCTCCACGTTCTTCCACTGGGTTTTGGCCTCGCCAATAGTCGAATGAATCTCGAGCCTGAAACCACACTTGTCAGTCCATGGTCAGACGAGGGCTGCCTCTGCAGAAGTCTTGCTCGAGGCGACAGAAAAGGCATGTACGCACATACGAGCCTCCAACACCGGCCTGCCCAGGTCCTTCTTCAAAGCCTCCTCGAAACGCACAGAGTTGTCCTTGACGAGGTACATGAGCCGCACGAGCTGGTACTTCCTGTACGCGATGTCGCGCAGCTTGCCTGACGCGAACCCGGCACGAAGCTCATCGCGGATCTGAAGGGGGTGTCCAAACGTCGTTAGCAGGGCTACGTGGACCCGAAAATGCTGATTGAACGACGTACCTTCTCGATCTCGTCGATGGGCGTAAACTTGAGTACTTCCGACATCCTAGCTTTTCTGATCCTTAATCACGTTGAGGAGTTGAATGTTGTGCTTGTAGAGTGAGGCTGGTGTGGAAAGTGAATTCTAAAACCCTTTTTCGTAAGTATTTGGCTTTTAGGATGGGTGTTGGAGACGAAGAAACGCCGCTGACGACACCCCCACATGGCCAAAGCGCCTTACCCGATCAGGGCAGAATCACAAGCTAGACAAGAAATCGGGGTACTCACCAGTCAAAGACCTCTCAAATTCGAACGTAGTCGACAAGTAAATTTAGCTGACTTGGATGTCGAGGATAATGAAGAGGCCCAGTTTCTTCACCCAGTTCTTATAGCGCCTCTCAAATGATATCTCGTGAAAACTACGACCAATGCAAAGTTGAGGTCGGATGGGCGGTGTCCAACCCTCGGATAGATCCCATCCGTTATGGTCGTGTCTTCCTGTAGACTCGAACCCATACTTATTCTCGCTTGGGTTCGTTCAATCTTACTAGAGAGTGGGTGACGTAAGGTGAGGTTTTAATCGGAACCTGGTGCGGTCCATTTCTGAACACCGAGCGCTGCACCATCTCAGTCGAGATGCACGGGCTGTAGGTAGGACTCAACCGGTTTGGACTCTCGTACTCAACTCTTGTGGGTTATGTCCCTTTTATTTGATCTAGATATAATGCCACATACATGCCGACTGTGCATGTAGGGACTTGTTGGATATTAAGTGGGACTCTCTCATGCATACTTATAAGTAGATCTAGGCTATTGCCGATCTCTTGTACATATGTCCCTCCTAGCTCAGGGGAACCCGAGCGTTGAAGTAACGCATGTTCGGGCCTTTTGACCTGGTTTCGGCAGAGACGACATAATACTTACGAGTCTGGTTATGGGTGTCTGAAGCCGAGCGTCCGTCGCAGAAGTCCTCTATCTGTCGGTTCTCTTCTCCCATAGGGACGTGATGGGGGTGACTTATCAATGCATCACTTTCGTGAACGGAAATAGAATATCCGTCCCGGACGTCCGTACGGGTGGTGTCGAGCTCGAGCCTATCCCTCCGCGCACCTTAGCTAAACCAAGCCCATTCTTCCCAACTGCCCACAGATTCGTACTTATTGCTGTTCACTCATCCCGCTCTCGTCCCAAGCTAAGTGAAAGCTGGATCGACACCACCTGTCCTGGAATCTATCACAGTTCTTTCGAAGGTGATGCGTCATTCTCATTAGTAAGTACATTAGTCCCACCATTAAGCTCGAGTCTAGCAGGACAAAGCGTCGATTGCAAGTGGGTATAGTGTACAGTACAATTTAATCTATGGATATATGTGATGGATCATGAGGAGTGAGGTCCGATCGGACGGTAGTCGAGAGGTGATTATAGAGTACAACTGGGGAACATCACAAGCCGGTATTTCTCCCCAGAGTCCATTACACGACAGGAAGAGGATGAACAGGCGTCGTCCTCATGCTCCTCCAATTGTCGTTCAACTGCAGCGCCTGTCTTCGACGCTCAGGAGCCCGTCCGGCAGGGCGATTCCTCCGAGGAAGATTACGAGCCGGCGTCGAAGTTGGTGTAGGGGTGACGGGCAACGAGATCGGAGCAGGCTCCTGCCGGGGGTGTCCATGCGATTCTCCCTTCGCTTGCTCGTGTTGCATGAACTGTAAGCTCTTCCTCATCCGTCGGTTCATAACAACCTCTGGGCAGGCGCTGCGCATCTTCTCCTTCACCGTTTCGTCCGCTCGAGACCGCATCGACAGCAGGACGTCGATGGTATACACACCCGAGTGGGATTCGACTCCTGCAGTTGATGAGTAAGTGGCTGAAAGACTCTCAGGAAGGACTGTTGACCAACCTGATGAGTAGTGGAAGCCGCTCGGCGAAGAGGGCCTCGACGACGAGGCATGTGAGACATTGCTGCCTGTGCGCTTGTGCACGGGGACATACAATCCCGGCGAGGGTGGTGTAGTGGGCGCCGAGGACATAGAAGGCGATGATGCCAAAGACGACGAAGCCGAAGCCGAAGAGGACCTGTTAGAGCGGGGAATGGCTATGGGCGAAGACATTTCGACTTGGTGCTTAGCGTCGAAGGAGTTTGGTGACTCGAATGCTGAATCCTGACGAGGATGCAATGGGGAGGTGGACCCATTTCGGTGAAGGGTTAAATAGGCTGTGTGAGGCACGGCCAAACGGGATACGTGTTCACAGTGGACAAGAATGACGGCGCAGCTGCGGGGGCTTAGGAGACGGCTCTAGAAACGCGTGGAAGGTATTCTCCTTCCTAATTCGATATTCCTGTCGTCATCTTGCATGATGGCCTGACGCTCCGGATGCTTGCTAACAAGGCGGTGCAAGACTACGTTTCGTGGAAAATCGGCTTCCTCATCCTCCCAACTCCTCCCCAAGCCGATTCAGAATTGGAACGGTCACTGATTATACAGCTCCGAGGACCTACGATTCGCTTTTATGGGACAATACGGTATCGGAGACGAGGGACTCGAACAGCTTGGAGGGCATAAATATGGATGATACTCACCGCGAGGCAATCTTATTCTCAGGTCTGAGTCTGTTGTAGAAGTAGGCGTTGAAGCGTCCGAGATCTTCCACTTCGTCGTGGACAGACGGAGAGGCCAAGACCGAGGCTAGAACATTCCGGAACAAACTGTTGCCCAGCCTTGATATATAGACGCAAACAAAGAACATATGACTCAGCACGCTGACGGCACCTATTTTCATCCGACCCAGCGACGTACTTTTCCTTCGCATTTCTCATTCGCATCTTCGACGGACGTGAAAGTAAGTGCAAACTTGACCAACCCATCATATGTAGCTCCTCATCAACTCATCAACTCGGAATCAGAGGTAAACAAAAACGACGAAAATTCTATGGTGCAGCAACCGCATACGCCTATTATAAGTATTGTACAGCTAGGCAAGTCCCTCAGTGCTTCTTGGACGCTTTTCAACTTTCATACTCGAGCTTGGACGAGTCGACATGCCGGGCACCAGTGAAGGAGGCGGCTTCGCGGCACCGTGGCGGGACGATACAGTACCCGTGGCAGTGCGACTCTTGCTATGCCCAACGACTGCGGGGTGGGAGGCTTTACCCGCCCTAGACTGGTGGCTGTTCTTCGACGTGCGTTGAGCTACTTTCGTCAAGCGGCGAGCACTGGTGGCTGATTTCCGGCCCGGCGATACCTCCACGTGTGCCACGTGCGTCCTAGTGCGATCGGCGTGTGGCGCATTTCCCTTTGAGACACCGGCGGTATGGTGCGTCCTTGACTGACGCGGGACCGTCTTGCTTCTCCCAGCGGAGCTGCCACTCGTCGCTGCCTCTGAATAAGACCCGCGCTGGGCTTTCCGCGTCGTATGAGCCACGCTGAGCTTCGTAGGTCTCTTGATCACCGAATGTTTCGTTTTTGACATCGTCTGGGCAACAGTCCTACCCACGGCAGAAGCATGGATGCGAGTTCCCTTGTGGATAGCATGACTAGTAGACGAGGCAGCGCCGGTATGAGACAGAGGGGTTTGCGTGCCTCTCTTTCCGCCATCTCGAGAAGTAGCTCCTGGCATGTGGCGCGCTCTGGACTCCCGAGCCTTCCCCATCGTCGTCGTCGACTTGAGGGCCTTCTTACCAGTTCGACCATGTCTCCCTGAAGGACCGGCATATTTTCGACTGCCCGCTTCGTTCGAGCGAGCCGTCCCGGACTTGGCTTTTCCCGCTGATAGCTGGTAATTGTTGTTCTTCGCTGCAGTCGCCCTCGACCTATCGCCACTGCGGAGTGCTGTCGAGTCTTTCCTCAAGTGGCCCATGTACTTTAAGAAAGAAGTGCCTCCTGTCCTCCCAGCTGCTGAGCTCGATGAGACGGAACCGATATTCGGGGATGGCCCTGTCTTCTTATGGAACCCAGCGAAACCGAAGGTCGTCGGTTTCTTGGGTAATATCCGTGACAGCCCGGAGAACGCGTGGGGCTTTTCTGCAAGGTCGATGGGATGAGGGGGCTGATGGTCAAGGGGAGGTGGGATGTCGGAGATCTGGTAAGGCCCATCGTAACGCTGCGTAGCGGGGGAATAATAGACGTGTTGGCCTGGCTGACCTTGGGGGGTTGGCACCCATTCCGGTCCAGAGAGCTTTTTGTGTTCCTTTAGGTGCTTCCCGGATCTATAAAACTCGTAATCCGCCTTCAGGGGCACTTTATGGGGGACACCTTCCTGGCGCTGTTGATTCGTTCTCATGAAGCCATAGAACATCGTATGAGCCAGCAACTTGTAGGAGTCGGGGTTTAGGTGCATGTTTTTCGAATGCTTCTTCAACGTCTCAAAGTCTCGACCAGTATGATCTAGCAGTTGCTGCTCAGAGTTTGCTCCACCTTTCACTGAACAAAAAGAAAGACTTACGCCCATCATAAAAATTTGAGGACTCTCCCATAGGAATGTCGCTGCTCGGAGTCGCTTTGTAATGGCCGTCCTTCGTGAAGGAGTCATGAGCGCTTGAGTGCAGGGCGTGAACAGCCTCGTGGATCAAGGTCCCTGCTCGATCTTGGGGGGTCTTGGAATCGTAGAACGACGCCTGTAGCCGAATGGAATTGGTTTCGAATGATGCATCGGCAGAGTGACCCTCGTCCGGCCCAAGCATGTCTTCGACACCAAGTCTCTTCTGCCCATGCAAGGACTGGATTACGTGACGAATCTTATCCACGTCGGCGTTAGGGCCAAAAGCATTGTCAATATGGTGTTGGTATGCGGCTGTAGGAACTTTTGGGTTGTTTATGATGGCATGCAATTTGTCGATCTATGCATTGGCTTATTGCGAGGCAAGTAGGTCAGCGGCCCATCTAGGCTGTTTGTGAAGTTGTACTGACCAAGATCAGCTGCCCCTTCTAGCATTTTGCGATGCTCTTGATAGTGGGGGCTAGTGACCTTCGCGTCTTGTGGATGGTAATGCAGGTAGAATGGCAGAGACCAGACCGCTTGTGGAATTTTGAGAAGGACGCCATACCCTGAACAAGTCTGATACTCACCATGAAACAACGTAAAGCGACTGAGAAGGAGGAACAAAATCGGGATGAACGATGGACGCATAGTGAGAAAGTAGCGACCAGCGACTATTCTGAGAGCCTAGTGAGGAAAGATGCCCAGCACGTAGATTGGAGTAATGGAGCCAAAGTCAGCCAAAGTAGAGATGGGATGCGCTGAAGGGCGTTTCACTGACCTCTGAGAATTGAAACGACCAGCGAATGAGGCAAGCCGTTGCCCGGCACCCTCGTTTTATAGGTGGTCAGATATCGCGTCCACGCTCTCATTTGGGATGTGGGCGACCGAGCAATATGGTATGGTTCGCGTGCTTCAATTACGGAGTGGGTGGAGGGATGAGGTTGAACGGTGGGTGATGCGTTGTTATGACCCACACACAGACCCACACACAGGAAGATATCCGATGTTCTGATTGAATATTACGGGTTCTTTTTCGCCTCGCTCGTTTACCGACTACCGAGTCATCTGCCTGTGTGTCAACGCGAACCATGCATTCGGAATCATGGAAGACAGGCTGAGACATTTAGACGGCAGCAATGATGGAACTATACGATAGAGCTCTCTCAGTTGAGTCGAGGATAATCAACGCCATAGATGGCATTGAGTGTCAGATGAGGGATGCTGCGAGATTGAGAGAGGAGGGTCGTGCATATGCTTCCAAGAACATTCTGGAATGGCTGAGTGGGATAGCCTCTGGGGACTTCGTAGGCGATACCAATCTGAGCGCGAAGACTCTTACTGACTTCGGAAATCCTTTCAAGTTGTGCATTCAAACCCTTCCAGTCGGCAGATACCAGGTTTTCCGGACCATGCCCATTGGACCACCGACCATATATCATCAACTCGAGATAGAGCAGTGTTGGGACCGTTTGAAGGACGCTGATTATTCCGGCCAGCGGGTCTTCTGAGGTGGCAAAAATTTCGACTTCCAGACGTTGTAAGGTGTGCATAGTGTGCAGGTCGACACGTTGTGTCAACGGAAGGTAGGCTTCATTGAAATCAGCACTCGTGATTTCTCGAAGAACCTGAGAGGTGGACTTACATGGACGATTATCCATAACTAAAGAGACGTCTAGGAGGGATCCTTCTGATTTGTTGATCAATTGCTGGACACTCGTGAGGTCTTCTGCCCGGCGAACATGAGCCTTCAGGGTTTGAAGCGTCGATAAATCCATGTAAATAGTTGAATAAAGTTTGTTCATCTGTAGCATTGAGGTAATCGCCTCATTGGACGATCCAAATTCCAGAGATTGAAGCTGTGGGCGAGAATTCGGATGAGGCAAGCTTGAGGCTGAAACAGAGAGTGTCGATGCCCATAAAATCACTTTCCTCAGCTGGGGGCAGCTGCACAGTATCGATAAGGGAAACTTCGAGATGACGCGAAGCTCCAATGAGGTGATGAAGGGAAGAATGAAAGGTTTCATAAAATTCGTCCACACAGACGATGGATTGACGAGGTGGTGGTAGAACCCACGCAAAGACAGCGTCTGCAGGGGGTGTTGCGAGTTTGATATCTTCTTCATGACGCACAGAAAAGTGGAATCCTTCCCCAGCCATTCGTTATCAGGGGGAATGACGATCTCCAGTCGAACAATGTAGGACGCCAGTGTCGGGTTTCGCTTCAAGAGCTTTTTGAGTCCTTTGATCCTCTGAGCACGCAATTTTCGTCCAGTCGGAGCTTCGTCGTTTGTACCAAGTTTTATGGAGCGGAAGATGTGCATCTGGCTCCTTGGTGTAAACCAACGGGATATCAAGGGGCAGGCGATATGGTGTGACGAAAATTGGTCCGTGTTGGATGATATGTCGTTGAACAGTGTGTCAATCACCCTGTCGATTACGTCTTGGGTGAGTCGATATATTGTACCTCTTATCATCGTTGTGTAGTGCAGAAATGGGAGATGACAGTGATTGCTGTCTATTGAAGTCAATTTCAATAACTGGGGAATAGAACGCTGCGATTCTACCTTTGCTTGCGATTGTGGGCCAACTCCGACTCGGGAGATATTGATCTAGCTCCTGCGTGTCCCGAGGGAACGCCACCAGTAAAAGTGAATTGTGCTGACGACTCGACACAACGGACCCATGATGATGCAACATTTGGGGGTCCTTACAAGCCTTGCCAGACATGGTTCAGATCGAATACGGTTGATCAGCATATTACAGAACGTCTGCACGGGCTATAATTGATCGTGTATGTATTCCGTACACCTTGGGTATGTACTTTAATATTCTTTTTACGACGAGAAGAATCTGTGAACTTGATGGATAACAGTAAGATTAAGGGTCGGTATGTGCCTCGCACGACGACGAAGGGGCTCAAAGACGCCATCCAGAATCTGTCGGACCGGGTTCTTGAGGTAGTCCCTTGAAACGTCACCGTTTAAACAAATGAAAACGCGAAGATTCCCACTCGCACTCGCGAGTCTCTCGATCTCGGAACCGAATCCGTCCCAATCAGCCGTACGGAATGTTTCAGGGCCCTGGGTGTCTGTAACGGTGCCCTTTAGCATTACTTCCAGAAAGTGGAGCGTCGGGGTCGTTTGCATGACGCTCAGTATTCCAGACAGCGGATCCTCCATAGTGATTTGATTTCCAACTAGATGTTCGATGCGTAAGTACTCCAATTTGCGCATTTTGCGAAGATTAATGCGTCCTGTTAGAGGAATGTAAACTGGCTTTCAGTCAGTGGATGCCATCTCCCAGCCATTCAATGGGAACATACCTGGAAGGGGATGGATTAATAGAGATATATGGCGAAGGAATTCCGACGCTTCATCGATGATGGTCTGAGCGTGAACAACGTCGTCTAGGTCACCCATACGCAATTTGAGAGTTTGCAATCTTGATAAATCTGCTGAAATGGATGGGTCTATTTGCCGAATCTCAACCATTGTGGCAACAGCAGCCCCAGACGATGCATATTCCAGGTGCTGAAGTTGGGGAGGGTTTCCTAGATTATGAGAGTCGGTAGATGGTTTTGGGAAGGTGGATTTCCTTCGGAACAGCCGCTTAACAAGAGAGTGCTTGAGTCCTGTCGACTGGGCTATGACGGGGATGGGGGGCGAAAGCTCTACAGGTGATCGAGAGAGTGTCAAGTTGCTTACAATCAACGTTTTCAACTGTGTACACCTAGCGATAATCGATAACGGAAAGGCTGGGATGCACCGGAGCTCCAAAGAGGTAATGGATGGTAGGATGAACGGCGCAAAAAAACTGTTCAATACAGCCGACGGATTCACCAGGTGGCCGTATGACCCCCAAAGGGATAGTGCCTGCAAAGAATGATCCTTATTGACAATGGTCTTTATAACGTCGAGGAATGTTTTATCTGTTCCTAGCCATTCATTATCCTGCGGGATCTCGATTGTTAGTCGAATGATATAGGAAATGAGTCGCCGATTTCGTTTCAGAATTCTTTTGAGCCGTTGAATCCGTCGTGCTCTTTCTTCGCTCCGATCTTCGCGGTAAGTGCCCACCTTGATGGCGTGGAATACGTGCATTTGACTTCGTTGAGTAAAGAAGCGGCAAACGAGCGGACAAGCAACGTGGTGTGAGAGTAAAGCGCCGTCATTATCGTCTGACAAGTCGCTATAGACACAGTCGACAACCTCGTCGATGAGTTCTTGAGGGAGGCGGTAGATGGGACCTTTCCGCATTGGTCGCGGTCCAGGAGAGATGAGGGGATGCTCGCGTCTGGCCGAGTTAGTGTTCTGGCGAAAGACAGTGGAGCATACTACCTCTGTTTGCGACCGTGGATCAGCGACTGGTCTGGCAGTTGTGGGCGTTAACATCAGGCTTTGATAACTCAGAGTCAGCCTGTCAGAATCCATCAATGATCTGGCACGTGCGGCAGGGAAGCTGGTGGTCGGGTGGCGCAACTTGTACATGAAGTCGAATATCTAGACTTTCTACAGAGCAGGTGAGATCGGGATTGTTGGTGATAGGTAGGCATCGGACGAGGACTTACGGAGAGAGCCCACCCATTATTTCTAGCTCAATTCTAGTATGCTTTACCCACATATCAAGGATCAGTTGTACCTATCATTGCCGGAACTGCTCGGCTTACTGACCAACACTGACGACAATTAACAGACTTATGGGACGCCAGGTTATTCTTCCGAGCTTTCTTTCGGTCGCTTCATCCCACTGTTTCCAAATGTCGCTTGATCCATCTCGCCGCATACGATGACGAGTCTTGGTGAGTCTCGGTGAGTCTCACTTTCATTCCTTGATCGTACCTTCCAGACCCGATAAGCAAGGGATTCCAGAACCGCTGTGAGCAGAGCAGGGGGGTGGGATACTATAGTAATCGACAACTGTGTCGACGACTTCTTGAGAGGGGTTCTGCAGTCCCAGGAGTCCCAACAGAAAGCTCAATACTCCTTGTTACGATGGGGTGGCCCATCGAGCAGGCACAGTGGTGGCGCACTCGAGTTCTAACAGCATCATCCCGTGTAGAGTTCGAGGACGGGTGGCCATGAAGACGGAGTCCTCGATGTACAGTTTCATTAGAATGATCCCTGTCCAGATAGAATTTTTGAACATTGTACTATAGAGTGTCAATTAGCGTCGGTTAAAAAGGAATAGCTAGGAAATCTAGAGCCTCTCATAACTTCAAAAGTGAGTCAACCCAGGTGAAAGACCTAACATGAAGGGGGAGATCGAAGGAGAGGTCGAGCAAGCTGGAGCGAACACACGTCGAGACAGCATCCATCGAAAAAAATGGATTTGGGTGAAAAAACCGAGAGAGAAGGACGAGAATTTTGCGATAATTTATTATGTACAAAAGAAGGAGCAACTAGTTTTCAATGGATCTGGAGCCTTCAGCATTCGGATGGATAAAGCGGAATTTTAAATAGCTCTGTCGGCATCTTGCTCTGCCTGTCTCCTGCAAGTGATACACTAAACCCTGCACACAGGTGAGTACTCAGATTATAGTCTCACTCGCCTAGAAAAATGTGCCTACTCAGATGCACCGATTAGATTCTTTCATCGATTGGCCTTATGGAGGCACGCTCAACGAGGCGGTTTCCACGTCTAATAGGCGTGGTACTAGAGACCTGTAGGAGACAGTACTTCAGTTATATTCTATCCCGTAAAGGGACATAAAGGGAGATGCACCTCAGTTTCAGGACAGGGAGCTAAATAATTGAAGATGAGAATTTCTTGCCATCCCTCGACGAACACAAACCTCACTGAGATAGGGCAGAAACTGGAGTCGGCAATCATTTGTTGGTCCGTAGGACATAATGTGTACGTCTTGGATACGAAAGTGGGATCGGTCGCTTCACCAGGTGTGGACGAACTAGTGCGGATCCCCCTGACGCGGTCTCGGTTGTTGCTCCACCATGCCACCAGCGTCCCCTCACAGAAGCGATACGGCTCAAAGACACCGTCCCCGAGCGGAAAATAAGTTGTCGAGAGCCGGACGAGTTCCACCTTGGTCAGGTCGTCGTCCAATAGGATCTTGTATCTGGCTATTGTGTCGGGGAAGGACGTGTCTACTATGTCAAACAAGAGGGGTTGAGCAAGTCCAGAGTACCAATCGCACGGCCCTTCGCAGTATGAGCCGAACCCTAGCAGGTCAGTGTCTGGGAATGAGATACTGAATAGCGGCGCTATTGGTGCTATATGGTTTTCAGAGAATACTGGCTTCCTTGAGGAGTTGCCCAGATGTTTATGCCTCGGGTATGAATAAGAATAACGACCTTGAGTGTTACAATAATCTAGGTTCGGGGGTTCAATGGACGGTTCTACCCTGGAGGATACGACTCAGAGAGGATGACGGACCTGTAAGCAGTCCAAATTCGCCTCAACAGTCCAAACAGCCCATGTATCCTGCTTGAAATCCCATATCTTCACGTATGAATCGTGTAATATCACCAATCGATTGTTTGTCTGAAAGCGAACAGAACGATGAGTGCCGAGAATGATTCTGCAGCTCTGCGATTCGTTCAAGCTTCGCGTGGTCATCGGCAGGATAGATCTCGTAAATTACAAATTCAGAGAGCCTGGGGAAGATCGATCAAAAACGATCACCGCCTTGTAGGAGGCAATGTACTCACTGCTCATGGTCGTCGTCCGAACCATCAGAGTCGTTCGAATCCGATCCTCCAACGTCAACGTCGGAGGAGATATATCCGAAATCCCCTGCCGTCCGGGGTGGGATGAACGAGGAACATGGAGTCATAGCGGACAGGCGCGATCGCCAATGGCTGAAAATCTTCAACAAGGGTAGAGAGCGCTGCCCCTAGGTCCCAGACTCCTATCCAGTTCCACGCGAAAGTAACAAGATAGTGCCCACCAGGAATGAGATATAGCGATGTTATGATGCCGGGCTCCTGATTTCCCAGATCGATCAACACTTGACGTGGTGGCCGGAGGAGACGTGTTGTATCTGGGAGCAAGAATTCTTTGGGATCGCAACATTCTGGCAGAGATATCCAACGTCTCGGGGCCGTGGCAGCGTATTCGAGCTCCAACAGGGACATGTCGGAGAAGGAGAACGTTGGAAGGAACACCGAATTCTCAAAACAGATCCTTCGGAGAACGAGATAAAATGCGCTACAGGTCTACTGACTCGGTAAACCTTGAAGACTGTATCAGCAAGATGCTGAAGGCATACCTTTCGTAGACTCAAAATCGAGTGAGGATCCAAGAATGTCATCATTTCGGCCTGTAAGTCGAATGGGAGATTGAGAAGCTCTGAACGAGCCTCATCAGCCGTTCCATCAAGAGCTTACGGATGGGCAGATAGCATGGTTTTTTGTTCACGGATCGTTGATTTATGTATTTGTCGAGCACCAGAGATGAGACTTGACATGAGGGGAAGGTCACTTTTGTCGGGTCGCAAACGTAGGATGCTGGCCGTTGATAGAATAGATGCGCCGATTGGCAGTTCGGCCAGTCCCGTTGATAGGCACAGCCACGCATGAGTGTACTAAGTACTGCCCGTTGCGATGAGGCTGCACCTCCTTGGCTTCCAAACCAATTTCTAACCTCTGGCCTGCTACACTTACCTACAGATTGAGATGAATCCCTACATGCGATATATTGCCAGCTGGTTTGAACCCTTGAAGGCCAAGCGCTAACCGAGCGCTTATTTAATGATATGGAACTACACATGCCGTTTATACAGTTTCCTGGACGCCGTTACGAAATTACGTTGCCACCTCAGATCGATTATGTCCAGCAGGCTCGTGATAGTGCGCAAACATAATGAGGAGCTCGACGCCTGGTCTGCTAAATAGGACGATGGATTTTCTTCATGGGCGTATTCCCCACGATTCGGCGCCTATTCCCCTTTCGCTACAAACGAAAAAAGAAGGGAAGGTGGCTGAAACTTTGTCTCTCATTCGGATACTTTCCATCCTGCATTATCAATAATGCCGGTACCCTTCCCCTCAAAGGACAACTCGGGACACCACGGAAACATTTCCAATTTTCTAGTTCATATACTTCCTCTTGTAGGAGAAGCCTTCTCGTGGAGATAGTAAAGAATTTGACTGTGCATACACGTGCTACACCTAAGTCAAAAATTCCGATTAGGGCAGGACAGAGACAACACGCTCTTGATATACTGAGTGGCCTGCCTGTACTTCATGTAAGCATGCGGATAAGATTGAGTTCAGTCATCCACACTTCCACTCACACATAGCACGATTCCGATGCCATGTTAAGCTTAAATGAATGGGTGACACTTGTCAATGTCGTGAACACTTCGGACTCGCCACAAACTTCGCGTAAATTTATTATAGGAACGGTCAAATTTTCCTTTCAAACGACGAGCGCGCTATGAGCGCCATGCGACGTATCATTCTTGTTGAAACTTAGTTAAATAAATACTAATCAAGAATGCAGTGTGGAAACATTCAACGGCTGTCCTGGATAATTTGCATTATTTACTTCTTAAATAAGCAATCAATATGAGCCTACTGACACCCACGCGGCCTGAACATGCGGAGTCCTCGAGGCTGATGACAATATGTCAACCGATTTCACCTCGGGTCAAGCACAGCCTTGAAATCTTTAGGTTCACATATGCCCTGTCTTTTTCTGCCAAAATAGGAAGAATTTGGCTGATTTCTCCGGCAGAGTGGCGCCAAGGTTGGAATTCCCGCGATGCCGGTCTACCAAATTCACGCGTGTCGTTTGAATGCCGTCATATGTGAAGGACAGGAACAGAAATACACGCTCGTCAACTTTCTATCCCGGAAGTATTAATTTCGGGAAGGCGCAAGGCATATACACAACCTGTGGTGTGATGGAAGAGTCAGCAAATTCGCCGGCAGTATTCAGCTATGTAGATACAATGATTCCCGCTCTTCCGGGACCACGGCGTCCAGAAGGGAGAACACCCGTATGCGACAGAAACGTGAGCACCACTCTGCCTTGAGGCTCAGGCAAACGTAAGGACCATCCCGTTCGACTCTCTTCAATCTGTTACTACATATATTCACCAACCAAGGAGGCGCCCAACATGACCTTCATCCGCCAAGTTTCCTACCTAGTTGTTCGCATCTTCCGCTACTTCATGCCGGCTGAACATCCCCGTACCTTTGGTCCCGACGGTATCCCATCCTTATACCCCGGCGGAGACTCGGAAAGGATATCTATCAATTTCTGGACAGATATTTTCGAAAATTTGCCCTCTTCGTCGCCTAACGAAGCGGAGGAACCATCTGTTACTCGGATTGAATGGAAGAAGAATAAAGGCGCCATTGGGCACGAGTGGTTACTTGCGACGATTGAACGGAAAGACGGTTCCAAGTCTTACCTGCGGCTGGAACGTCGACCTTCCAGCGCGCAACTTCTTACAGAAGAATTTACAAAAATTGTGGTATGTCACCGATCGTCCCATGATTGGCGATTTCGATGTTATGGTTTTACATCTGGTTCTCACTTTAATTAAACAGGATACAAGACCGGGGGTACAGAAGGCCTTGAAGAAGGCTCTTCGTGAGGAAAGGGCATTCTTGAGCAACCCAATTTGGGTAAGCTCTCAGAAATCCATGAGCGTCAGAGGTCCTGTCCAAGCCCAGGACACCATCGTGCAAACCCGGAATGCTACTGGCCAACTCATCAAGTCTCTCGAGGACGCCGAGGTCGTCACATCTTACAGCAACTTCAAGAAACCCCTCTATCTCAAGGACCTCATCTTCGCTGCTTGCACCACATCTCAAGCTTCCGATGAATATTTACTTTTCCTCCAACAATGCTATTGGTTCAGTCGAACCATCGTCGGCATTATCACAACTCATTATTATCCAGACATCTCCCCAGGCCCTTATTTCTCTGACAGTGGAAAACTACGACTTTCTCAAGGGAAATGGTCTTTTCAGATCAACGAGGAAAACCGGAGAGAAGTCACCAAGCTGGCAGTGGAGCTCACAAAACGCTTAAAAGCTTACAACGATATGGTAACGAACTGCTCTTGATACCTCCACGTTACATTATTGACCACCGCAATCACAACACAGCTCCAACAAAGATACGAAGATGGGCGTGGTGGTAGAATTGCTGCGGAGCAGAAGCTAGAGCAAAACGATAGGGTGTGGCGAGAGAAGGAGCAACTTTGGAAAGAGAAGGAAGAGCAACTGAAGCGACAAAATGAAGAGCTTATTCTTGAACTCGAGCGAAATCAGGAAGGGCCACGGACTGCTCGATCACGGACAAGCAGCCGCGTGGGAGGGAGTAGTCGAGTCGCGGCGACCATGCAAGGGGAGTGAGGGACAGTCACGGTGTCGGTTGGGGGTGCTATGGAACTTCTGAGTTTCAAGTAAGCTTTTCGAGCCCTGCTGGCAGCCTATTATTGGTATCCACCAGAAATTGTGCGTCCGTACTTCATCCGCGTCCCAATAGAGCCTCGACTTTGGAGGCGACATTAATGCAGAAAAGTCGAGACGCACTAGAGTTATCTAACCCGTCACCTAGTCCCGCCTCCCTCTGCCTGGACCCGCAATCACGATGAGAGATGTCAATGCTCGTGAGTCGTGATTCAAGGAATAAGAGAACGCACCAGCCGAGTCCCGACCGAATACATGTTCATTTCTCGAAGCTTCAAAGCGGCAGCCACCCATACACAGTAGCCCTCCGTGCAAGTGGTACGTGGTTGGTGAGATTTTTCATCGAAATAGGTGCTAGATGTGAGGAGATGCACGGCAGGAGTGAAGTTTGTTAAGAAGAAAGCAACGAGTGTCGCCGACAGCCTTCTGAGACTGGTCCGAATTACGTAAGGAGCTTACGCCGCAGTTCGCGTAAACTTCGCCCGCGATGGCCCGGTATAGCGAGAATGAGGAAATAGATTCATTAAGGGGAGGGCGACTGGAGGATGGGACAATTCTCAGAGAAAGTGTCACTTCTCGAAACATTCTGCGGCAGTCGGACTCGGAGTTCGACAGTAACGTTGGTGGAAGTGTACCCTGGTGAAATGGCAGATATCCAAATTCCTATCGAGACTGCTGATCTGCATCTGCGATTGAGGTAATACTAGCACATTTACGATTGGTGCTTCAGAGAACAAAATTGGAAAGAAAAGACAAAAGGGGTAACGGACTTTAAAACTCCTCAGTCACGGTCTGGGCCGCACTATCAAGTCTGCACCTTTCACAGTCTCGCGATCAAGAACGTGCTCACAACAATTGGCGTGAGGTAAGATGGTAATGGGTCCTCAAAGACGCGAGTCGAGCACCTTGAGGCTGACATATTATTACTTAAAAAGACGGGCATAGAGTTGGATGGCGGGATGGCTGGTGTAGCATGAGAGTGAGGCGTAACATCGATATCATACGATGTTCTGAGAGAGGAGTGGCTGCAAGCGTGCGTTTACTTGATGCTAACGGTGGTTGGTACAGTCACCCCCACGTTTGCCTTTCAGGTAATCGTAGGTCATCGTGACTAGAATATAGATTTTTTTACTTATCTTACCTGAATGTTGACGCCCATGGGTGTGCATCTCCTCATACCTGGCTGCTAGTGATCTCCTCGTTTTTTGAGTTTGAGCCAGGCCTTATTTCGTGTCGATACTGTGGGTGCATGATGCCATTGGTCTTTCCGTCGTGGTCTTGATGTGATTCGTGGTCCTGAACCTTTGAAGCCAGATCTGATTCCTCCTCATCTGGGAGGGGCACATTTTCGGGTGACGTAGCCGCACCAAGATCTTCCACAGATAGAGTGGCTGGGATTGCTGGCGGAGGTTAGCTCTTGTCATTGAATCTGATTGGGAGGTAGATCTCACCTCGTCGAGAATGAGGAATATCCTGGCTCGCCAACTTGTCTATCCATATGACGCCGCCTTGCAAGTAGCCTACTGCACGCTCTAGATTCCAATTGGTCCATATACCAGCTACGGTCTGGATAAATATTCGGTTTTGTTCGGTCTCAGGATCAGAGAGTATCCCCTCGCAAACTTGGAGCATCTCTCTGGCAAGATCTGATATGTTAAAAGGGGTACTACTGTTCTGGAGGTAAACTTCATCCGCTGGGTTGGAGAACCTGCTGTACGCCTCGAGTAGAGAATAGGTGACAAGGAACGCCTGGATGCCTGGCCTTTTCCAGTAGGAATTAAAGTGGTACTTAAGATTGCTGACTGCTTGCGTCGGAATTCCAGGACGATGGATGAAAAGGTAATCAGTGATGTATAAACCGAGACAGTCACCGCAAACGAGGTGGATGGTCGATGGAAACAAATTGTGAGCAATATCGTTGAATAGAGAATCCAGGTATTCGGTTCGAAATACAGCTGAAACTGAAATAAATTAATTCCCTTTGCCTTAGAGAGAAGACAAACAGAGGGCGCTCACATGTCCCGTTGGAGTGTACTGGGTCCATGAAAAACATAGCCTCCCCGAGCCCATCTCCACAGCGCAGGCGGTTAACGCGTTGAGCCATTTCACTTCCACTTGTTGGCACTACGAGAGACTCTATCGAACTGTCAAGGTCAAGGGAACGATACGTCCGGTAGAGAAGCTCCAACTCCGTCTCCCATTTAGCTGCTCCCTTCATGAACTTCCGCAGAAACAAGAGGACAGCTTCGTCATGTAATAGGGCGGGTTGCAATGTATCGATCTGAGGCACGAGTTCGACGTAGATAAGGTCGTTTCTCGGCGCCAACAACTGGATAACAGCCCGATAGTATGGGCAGGCAAATTGCCATGATCTTGGGGCGAACGCTATCTGGCCGGGACGTAGCCCAGGCACAGAGATGCAGTCAATGAAGCAGTGGTAGGCCGCTTGCCGGATACCATCATGATAGCGATACCGGCCGCAAACGTTGCTGATGCCTTGAATCTGATCGTAAGGAGGCCCGTATTCCACGCCCTTTTTGAAGGATCCATTTTCCCAAAATCCTGGTCCACCGGGAGAGAAGGCTGGCGGGAAATAACTTCGACGGACGGAAATCCATTCTATGTTCATGTCGGGCCACGAGAGGGCGCGCGTGAGAGCGGAAACCTGGTCAGAGAGTTCAGCTTTCCAGAGATATCGAGGAAGGATTCGCTGGAAGAACTTGTTGACCGACTCCAGGAACTTGCGGAATCGGCGAGGAAAGCTCATGTACACGAAGTCATGAAAGAGTTTGCCCCAGTCTGGAGACTTGAGCTTCGCCACTGACTGGTCCATGGCATAATATATCGGGAGGAAGGTGTACAATGCGAAAACACTGCCCAATCGGCTTGAGAGCGCCAAGTGGAGCAGTCTCGCCTGTGGCGACTGGTATGGACATGGAACCGGGACATTGTTATCACCCGTCGACCTCCATGAAAGCACTGTAAAGACTTGAAACGCAGGAATGACCGTCGTCGCGAAAAGAAACAAAAAGGAAAGTGATATCGCGACGACGACAGGGATGGTGACCTGACTGACACCCAGTGACACCAGGAAATCCGCCAGACCGAGGAAAAAGAGAACCAAGGCGAGCTGAAGGAGGACAGGAAGCGAAGAGAAGAAGGCTGCAACCCCCCACTTTTCGATCATCTCCGTCCGCATGTTCAGCAACCCGAACTTCTCCTCGGGTGAGAAATGCGCTGGGTACCGCTGATGCTCGCGCAGCCATTGGGATGAGACGATACCGATGAGCACGGTCGTGAGACTGACGACGAGGCTGAGGATCCAGAAGATGTTCACTCGTATTGTCGATGGCGAGAAAGAGAAGGGGATAGTGGAAGGGTCGGGATCCGGTGTTGCTGATGTTGCTGAGCCATTCGATATCCTGTCGAGGCGAGCTACGATGCGCCCAAGGAGAACAACGGCTGTTTCGTTGGGATCGGGTTTCAAATCCTTGTATGATTCAATGATGAAGGCGGTGACCACAGCAGAGAATAGAGATGCCTTGAGCTGAAAATGAGCGGCAGACGAGGGCGGATGAAGGAGTACACGCACGAATATCAGGACATTCTGCACCTCCTCCTTCCACGCGACACACTGGTCTCTATCAGTCGCCTCGAGTGGCCTAAATATGTCGCTCCAGTAGTCGTCGCCCTCCTTCCTTGGAATCCCGTACTTGTATGGTGTCCCACACTCGAAACTCGAAGGCTCCGACGGAATTTCTGAGCGCGCTTCGCTGCGCCGGTGCTCTTGCGCATCCTTAGTCTCTACCGCATCGGCATGAAAAGAGGCGTCCGGTCGCAGATCTGCCTCGACGAATTGAACACAACTTAGCGGCCTCTTCCAAATCAAGAGACGGTCCATAGATAACTCACCTTGTCCTTCCTTGCTCCGGATCCTTCACTACTCTTACTGTTACTCGAGTCTCTTCTAGTAAGGGGAATTTTTGCACTGGACATTCCTGCAAAAGAAAGAAGGTCAAAATTGAAGTAGAAAGCGAAGGACAAATACAGGAGTTACGCACAAAGCATCGTCCCGGTTGCGCCCACCAGCCACAGCCACTTTGATTGACAAGCGCTGACCCTAACTTCGCGGTCTGGATACCAGGGTAGACATGCAGTCCATTCGTCAGGATGATATGGTTGAGTGAGCACTGAGTACTGGAGTAGTGAGGCCTATGGAGCCGCTCATGGTTGACATTGAAAGCTTGGTCGTAGTACGCGACCAATTGATTACGCAGAAATTTTCTTGCTTCGCGTCTTTCGCGAAGCGTGTTGTAAAGTATCAACGCGAGATATAAAACCGTCTGCCTTACTTCGGGTCAGAAACAATTCCCACGGAGATGTGATAAGATAAGATTACAGTCTCAACACAGCCTCATGAACTCTCGCCAACCGTTGACGACTCGGATATCTGTTCTAACATCATCTATTCTCTACCAGCTTCATCAACTCCCGATCACCGGCCTTAGGACTCGAGGTATGTACTGGCATGATCCAGTGCTTCCCTTTAATTTTTTAAATTTTATTTGCTGTCTGCTTGTCCAATTTTGCATCTGAATGTCCACTTCACAGACTTTCCATGGCAATAACTACCTCGCTCACAAGTGAGGCCCGCCTCAGTATATCGCTATCTCCAACATTTCCTCCCGAAATATTCCAGCTTGTCTTGGGACAGCTCGGACAAGAACTGGACGGCGATTCCAGCGATGAGGAGTGCCGCTCAGCACTCCGTAGCTGTCTTTTCGTCTCCGTTTTATTTCATAGGACAGCCAGAGCCCTCTTATTTCATGCAGTCACGACAACAAACACCTCTACGAACCCATCTATGCCGAACAACATGATGGACAGAATGAGCCGTTTGAAGGAGCCCTTGACACCATCCACAATGTCAGAGGGGGGAATCCCAGCCATCCGGGACCTTGTCAAGCGCCTCATCATCCGTCCCCGCGTCAGTGTCTACGAAATCCTTTGAGAGTTGAGTCGCGAGGACACTGCAGCTGTCCTTCGATCCCTCTCGCACATTCAGGAGCTTATCCTCGACTTTACACAACCAGGCTCCTGCCGTTGGACGGATCTCGGAAGCCTCACAGATGTGCTCGAGGAGCTTGTACATCAACCTTCTTTGACTTCATTTTCGTTTGCCGGTATTGTCGGCGTCCCTTGGGACCTCCTACGAGGGAGCAATGTGTGCAAACTGACGATTGGATATGGGCTGGTAGACGTGGTCCCAAGTTCGACATCAAATTCAGCTCCTTTTCCGCAACTTGAATGGTTGGAGATCAAGGGACGAATTCCTCCCGGCTTTGTGCTAGATACGGATTCCAACAGACTTCTCGAGCAGGTTTCGCCGAAGGCTATTGAGATCCATGTGGGTCAAATTTTCAACTTTATGGGACTTCGAAACGTCCTTCATTCGACACAAAAATCTCTCAGGCATCTACATTTGAATTTCGAGAGTGAGTCAATTATATTTCTTTTCCTTTCGATGCGCCATAATATATCGTTACTAGGGAGGGAACTGCCATCCGTGTCCACTGCTGTTGATCTCGGTATTCTCACCTCTCTGAAACACCTTTTCCTCTCATACGACTCATATTCCACCTCTCCTATGACACGTGGAGACCCGGCAGGCAATTATTTCGATCATATATCAGAGATCCTGGAAGCATCCTCCAACAGTGGTGCCCCAAACGCGCTTCAAACGATGTCATTGTCCATCATCTTACCGGTCTTTATTCCGAAAACCTCCGAATACGAGTTCGACGTACGAGCATGGAGCGTTCTGGATAGAGCGCTGGCGAAGGAACGCCTTTCGGCCATTCAGCGCGTAAATTTGAAGGTGATGTTAGACATAATACTGCCCAAGAAGAGGGCCTTTGCTATCGAAGATTTTCGTAGGAATGCTACCGCGGCCCTCCGCGCAATTATCCAATCATTTACTATGGCTAGTAAAGTAAGTATCGAGTTGGTTGTTGAACGGCGACATACATACGGGCCCTGCGAAGGTTGAAAGCAGTTGTATCCGTTGTAATAACGACGTCACGTTGGATCGCATATGTAAAGTTAATAAGGATGATGTCCCTTCTTCTTCTTCTTTCCGTTAGCAATGTGGGAATACACTTCCGTCGAGGGTCGCTTCAGCTGTAGTTTCTTCAACTCCTCCTCCGCCTTTGCCTCCAGCATTTTATTCTGCCCACGCAACTCATCCTCTTGTGCCTTCCATTTTACTTCCTCCTTCTCCATCCATTGTTTCATGATTTCTCTCTTATATGCCTCCTTCGCCTTTATCTCGTTTTCTTTCCTTGCCATCTCCATTTCTTCCTGCACTCGCGAGTGTGTTTCCCATTTCGCAACATGATCAGACCAGTCCTGTCCCATGTTCGCTTGTGCCCAATCCACCCATACCGCATCCGTCATGTCTTCACCAAAATGAGACCCATATTCGAGGACATACTGGCCCAGGACTTCCGAATAAACAGGAGTCAGCGCCGTCACGGTGGGTATTCCTCCGCCTATATAGACTCCAGAGTCTCATCAGTGTTTCCATCCAGGAAAGAAAAAAAAACATACAAAATGGTACTCCATCTTGTACATGCTCGATACTTTGAGCTCCACTGCTTGGAGTTGGCGCCCGATCACTAGGCTGATTACTCGGGGTGCTGCTAGTGCTTTACTATAATGGCGGATGGCAACAAAAGTGCTCATACAATTACCTTGCTTCTGCCTGCTTGGTCTCTGGTTCTGTCCCTGAGTTGAAGAAATCCATTCCGTTGACTGTAGCTAAGAGGGTGAGATGGCAGTCGATGGGCGAGATAAGACAGCAGAAGAAGCATTGAACACGAAACATTGCTTACTTAATTAGACGGCACGCCTTGATCTACGGACTTGAGCAGTAATTTGAGTACTCTCCTTCATGATTCATATGAGAAATAAGACTGCTCTCTCTCTTATTCGCTACCCTCTCTACGATGTTGCACTGTCCGGAGTCTTTCATTGTTCCGACTCAATTCCGACACCTTCCCGATCTACTAAGTACACCTGGCAAATATGAACCTGGGCCGATCAACGCCTAGGATGGCACGGTTTCAGCCTGTTTGCAGCAATTTGAACAAAGACCATCAACAAAGGTGGCAAGAGGTGTTATCTGTAAGAGGTATGCCCTCGCTTGAGCGAGCCAGTCTGCAAATTAGCGCCCGTCATAAGGATGACACGTGATTAACTCAGGTCGATGCGCAGTCCTGCTCAAGCGAGAATTATTGAGCATGTTCATATGCAAGCTCAGAGTGCTCACGTTAGGATACTAATTCTATTTGGCTGGAGAGGCGTTAGCACTTTGGCCTTCGTTAGGCGCCAAAACTGGCCACTTGGCGAGATTGAGCTGAGGCGGTGCATCGCCCAAGCCGAGTAACCAACTGGCCGCTCTCTTCCACCTCCCCTTCAAACTGCTAGCCTCCGCATTCAGCCTGATCTCTACCCATTTCTCCTTCCACCACTTCGGCTCCAGCCCTCCTTCCGCGAGCCATAGAAGTGCGAAGCAGGTTAAGTCCGGGCGATGCGTGCTTCCAACATCGGGCTGGATCTGGTCGAAGTAGTTGAGCGAGATGATCATGGAGGTGTAGCTCGCGCGGTAGAGCGTCTGGAGCTCCGCGGGGGTCGCTGCTGTACCTGATCCTTTAGTGCGGTCGGACATCTGAATGTTTAACTGCATTGATTGCTGTTCGAGGTTTTGATCCAACCACCGCTTCGTCACTTCAGAAGGGCAGTCGAGCAGGATCAAAGCCAACTCGACGGCGACGCTGACAAACTCGGGACCAAGACCGGCGTATTGGTCCTCCATCGACTTTTGGTAGAACGACCGCATGACTTTGTTCGGCCGGGGAAACCATGCGGAGGTTGCTTCCAGTTCCGTGGTCACCTTGTAGTGTGGGTCGCTTCTAGAAATGCCGTTTGCCTCCTTTCTGCGATCGTGAACGTCGAATACCAATTGAAAAGGCGCTAGTCCTTTATTACGTCCTAATATGCCCATGGCGAGGCATAGGCCTGTCCCATTGAAGCCGTCGTATGTTGAGGGGACAGAGCTGAGCAGACTGTTCGGAATGCTATTGATCGCTCGCGAGACACGGCGTCGAAACCCTTCCTTCTCACCCCACAGAAGCGATACTTGACCTCGAGTATACCCGTCATCGTAGACGCAAGGCCCGAGCTGACCATCGGTATACACCGCGCCACTAATCGTCTTTTCATCAAGGTTCTGCAGCAGAGCTGTCGGGTCCTGCCAAATTCCTCTCGGTGGATTAATGGCCCAACCCCACTCATCCGACGGTGCTGGGACGATGCGTGCTTGACGAGGCATCTCTTGTATACTTCTCCAGCTGTTGCTGTCCAGACAGAATTTACCGAACGTGGATGCGATTCCTGTACGGCTCGGCCCTGTCCACGACAGCCAACGAAGCTGGATGTAGCTGCGATTCCGCCACGCTGGGATGGCGTAGCGCACGATGGTGATGGCAGTGGCTGTAGATAGTGTTAGGACTCCGAGCGAATCATTGCTATTTCCGGAGAGGAACGAAAAGATGATGAGGATGAATGAGGTGGAGAGCATGACGGAGACGACGGTCCACCACCAGTGCTCGTAGCGCGCGATGCGGAAACGGAATGTCCACATCCCTTGGTCTTCGGTTATAGTGACGATGGTAACGATGAGGCCTTGCCAAAAGGACGTGATGACGGCAAGGCCGATGGATGCCCATAAGAGCGCTGTTTGGCCCGTTGGAGTGATGAAAGGCAAGGATGGACCGCCGGTATTGCTTAAAATGGTTGTAACATTGACGTCGGGGGAGGGGAGAGCATAGACGGAGGTAGCGTAGAAAAATACTTCGAATGGGGTCATGTAGAGCATTAGACGCCGTCCGGGGTAGGCCTTGGCACTTTTCGCCGCTGCGTTTTATAGGACTGACCAAGCTGGTGATCCTGTTAAATTCCGGCGAGTTGAACCTTATCCCCACTCGTTCACGTTAGGGATCGACCGTTTGCCTCCGTGTCAAATGACTGACTGCCCGTTCCTGAATGGTAAAATTAATAGCACTCGATGGACCAATAGTAGTAGCTTTTGTGACGATTCTGCTTAATCAGTAAGATGGTTGATCAATGCAGTGGTTTGCGCAGTGTGAAGTCCTTAATTTCCGCTGCAGCGCGCACTTCTAGGCAACGTCGACATCACTATGTGTTGTTCATCAGCGGGTTGCGAGCCTGTCGACTTGCCGTGGAAGTCCAGGATAAAATAGCCGCCCAATCATGTTAAGAAGTCCTTCGTTGCAAAACGAAAGAAATTGAGATCACACAGACGGAAGGAACCCCTTGTCAAACTTGATGACTGCTTCCAGGAGCTACTTCGAAAGAAAAGCCCATATCAGGTTGTTTGCGAGGAACAGGAGACAAGAAGGTTTAGCGCACCAACTTTACCAAAGCCACGTTCGATAGTTCGGTCCAACTGCGCCGTCTTCCAATCACTCACACAATGGCAGCTACTAAATTCATTACCCTTGGCCCTAAAGCTTCCAGCTCTCGCTGCCTTCTTTCTTCCATGTCCGCCGACGATGCCCATGCACCAGCATTCGCTCCCACACTCTTGCACACCGCATCGTAGACAAGCATCTCGGGACGAATACGGACCCCAACACGGTGCGCACTGAGGCTGACTAGCATGGCACCGTAGTGACCGCGATAAAGAAGCTCAAGCTCCTCTACTCGTGCGCCCAGTGCGTGTGCCTCGTTGTTGAGTTCAAGGTCCTGGTGCTCGAGCCGGGCGTCTAACCAATCTTCGACCACCTCGAGGGGTGCATCCGTTAGGAGGAGGGCGAGCTCGGTGGCGATGGTGACGAAGACGTCGCCGAGGCCGGAGAAATAATGTTTGCATTCTCTATGGAAGAGGCTGCGTAAAGTCTTCGCTGGACGAGGCCAAAATACGCTGTTTTCTTCGAACGTCCTAATCATTCCCTTCGTTTGGAGGTTGCAAATGAAGGAGGTTGGATTTATGCCTTTGTTGCGGGCGAGGATGCCACTTGCTAGGCAGAGCCCCCGTGCATCCACTCCGTTCGGAAGTCTAGGCTGTTGGGAAAGAAGATTCCGAGGCACGGATATTATTCCGCGACTACACCGTCTCTGGAACCCAACGTGCTGTCCCCAGAGCAACGATGCAGGCTCACCAGCAATGACGGGCTGAAATACACCCTGACGCGTGTTGCTCTGAGGAATCCACAGCGTGCTGTCCTTCTGGTCCGCAGCTTCTCGTGCTTGTAGAAGGTCGGTTGGGTCTGAAATGATGAAGCTGCGCGAAGGAGTGAAGGACATGCGGCTGAATCTTTCAATGGAGCGTATCGCTGCCTTCCCTTGAACGCGAGCCAACGCCTCGAGTGTCTTCCAATCTTGTCGATCGCCGATGTAGGGAACAAGTTCTGCTCTTATTCCTGTCCTAGACGGTCCGCCCCAAGCTTTCCAGCGCAACCGCAGGAATATTCGACTGTGATGAGCCGGCAAAACATATTTGAAGAAGCTTATGAGAATTCCTGCAGTGAAGATGAGACCGATAGAAAGTCTGAACTGATAGAGAGATGGAGGGAAATCAAATACAAAGGCGTGTGCCATTACAATCCATATCATGAGGATGGATGGGATGATCACCCAATGTTCAATAGTCGATAGTCGAAGTCGAAGTGTCCAGAAGTCTTGGTCTTCCAAGTAGTCTGAGGCTTTCAAAAACGCATAGATGGAGAGAGCCAACGGAATAGCTGCTTCAATGCTCTGCATTGCTGTCGATAATCGCGCCCAAGGCTGTAGTACCGTGCTGGCGGGTTGGAAGAAAGGGCGGCCACTGCCAGCTAATTTCCGAGATCTTTGTCAGCACCGACCCCTATTTTCGTAATCCCGGCCTCTTCGTTCTACCAGTACTTGGATAACAGAACACATGGCAGGCTAGCACAAACTCAATAACATTTAGGATCTCCTCAGTCCACACTTCATCTATCAAACCACCATGGCTCATACCCTTCGCTCTTCGTCATCAATTCCTCTTTTATCAAACATGAAACCTAGGACTCCAACTGAAAACAGATCTCCTAGAGATCGACCTCTAGTGAGAAGGCCACTTGAGGTAGTCTGAAATCACAATTTCGTTGTGTTGATTCAGAACGCAGAGTCGGCCAGTGGCAGGACACAGTCGCGCAGATAGGACACAGTGAAATGAGTTGAGACCCAACAGTTCGATGCATGTCTTCGCCTTGATATCATTCTCATGAGGGGATGTGATAATCTGGACGTATACCCCCTCGTCCTCGTTCGCGTGGCACGGAAATACCAAGTTCCCATCGCATACGAGGACCTCTCCGGAAATGCTGTCATCGAGAATATCAAATTCGTTGAAGGTTGTCACCTGGGAACCGCAAGTGGGTCTGGCGACGAGGGATTCAGTTGGATATTGTGGAGCGCTGAGCCAGGGAACGAGAGCATAAGCATGTATCCGGTGTCACTGTTCCCTCGCCAAGGGGACTGAGGAGGAGCGAACAGGTCGCGCAGAAGACCATCGGGTTCATCTCCTGGGTCAATCCACCGTTTTCCATAGTGGAATAGATTCCCAATGACAGATATCGGGGCGTTCTGGTCAAACTGAGGCAATCCCGAGCCAGTAAGCGGGCGAAGCGGAGGAGTCTTCCATTGGTAGAGCCGGCCCTCATGGGCAATCAGGATGTTGTTGTCGTAAGTATGGATCTGTCGATGGATGAATATGCAAAGCGCACAGTTTTCGGAGCAGTGACCTACTGTCAAAGGGTATGACACATCCGTTTCTGGGGTGATAGTGCTGGCCCAGGAGATCGATTGGTTTAATTCGATATCCCAACGATGATCCTGTGCTGTTTGGTGTAGCACACGACACGTGTTCCAGAGACCGTTAGAGACAAGGGATCGTCGTCGAGTTTCATGGTCGAAACAGGATGAACGGTAGGCTGGTCCTCAAAGATGTTGACGCGACAGACATGGATTCGCGGACAGTCGACGCTGGAAAGAACGACTGATCGTAAAAGAAAGTGAAAATCACACACTGTGTAACTCACAATGTGTTTTCATCAAAAACGAGGTAGAATGCCGAACGGTCAACTGTCGGTGCCATACATTGGCGAAGTCGAAACGTGTACGGAGGGTGAGTTTGAAAGAGTGCTTTAGTGACCCGCAAGGTCTTTGGAGCTGGAGCTTCCGATCCGGTCCATCCCAGCTCCCAGACTTGCAGCACGAGGAAAGGATCGGTATGCAGCGCCATACTGGACAAAAATACATACATATGTTTTTCTTTTATAAGTCCCTCCCAAATCTGGAAGAATTGGGCGGAATCCGTCCGATTCGGTCCCAATACGCAGGAAACACACCGATTAGACCCGTTTCGGTCGCCATCCAAAAAAAAAACCAAAACCCCTGCCGATTTGTGACACATCCTCCCGATTCTGACCGATTCTGACCGAAACTATAATTTTTTTCTAGATCATAAGGTCCCAAACGGTCGGATTCGGGACGAATCTGACCACACACGAGGGGAAAAAATCACTAGATGATTTCTTAAAAAAAGAATTGAGGAGGAATCCGTACGAATCGTCCCGCACGGCCAGATTCCTCCCGTATCGGAACGATGGGTCATAAAAAAAGGGAGGGTCGATCTGGCCGAATCGAGCAGAGACGGTACGAAGACGGCGGATCCGGGAGGATAGCGTCGGTTTCAGTACGAAACGGGCAGATTCGGGCAGATTCGGTCTGGTTCCGGCCTAAATTAGGCTTTCTCATAAAAAAAACTTCAATTGTGTATTTTTGTCCAGAACGGACCGTCATAGATCGGGGTTGGTCCAATATGAGATATAAGGGAAAGCGAAGCTGAGTACAAGGAGGAAACATCCACCTGGCGTAAGGAAGATGGAGTGGGTATGACGTTCAACATAGATCTGTCCTTCGATCAACATTTTTGCTTGGAGGTCGGGCTTGATTTTCGTAATCGAGTATGGCTCTATTTCAAGGGTTTCTGGCGCCAAAAGTCGGTTACAGAACCTGAAAGGGCCAAGGGCAAGACGCTCGAGCATCGGCCTCTCGACCTGCCACATTGAGCCATACGGCGCGATTTTTCGATAGCTCAAGAAAGTTTTTAGAAGTCTGTTTCAAGTACGTCAGTCTCGCAGGTGGCAGACACAACTCGAAGAATTTTGAACTTGTCGTAGTCTGAGTATGTCATGTGGGCGGAGAAAGTTGAGAATGACAAGTATCACATCTAGGTGCAAGGACTCGAGCGTCAAAGAAGGGGGTGGCATGCTGAAAGTTGTTGGATAAAGGGAACGTTGGGCCAGCCAAGCCGATGTACGTGATATAGTGATCCGCATATTTCTTGAATTTCTCGCGCTCTCTCTTCAACCATCACCTCTACAAAACTTACTCCATCTTATTAGCAGGATGCCGGGACACATTGTCAGAGAAAACGCCAGGCAGAGACGAAGCGTGCCAGCTCCATCATGCCCATCGAAAGTTCCTCCCGACGCTGCAAGAATCTACATGGTCGAAGTGGACAACGCAAAAGGGTGGAACAACATCGTGAACGCCTTATGCACTGTCTTTGAGCTTCCGGGTGGGTATATCTGTTCTGTGTCACCTCTATGATCCTGACGAAAGATACTACACAGATCTAAGCAAGCGAGCTGGCCTGGAGGCAGTCCACGCCAACTTCGACGCGATATATGCGCGTATCGACCAGGCTTACCGGCAGAGCTTGTCAAATAACAAGATACGGGGTGGCATAATCGGCATATTCTCGAAACTGTGCGTCGACGCGATCCTGCGGAACAAACTTTTCGATAAGGGTACGTCCTCAAATTAGGTATCTGGACATAAAATAATCTCCGCTCGTCAGGAATCCTGGAGAAAATTCTGCCTTTACTGGACATCGACGAAACGAGGCACCTTGCCTTGAACTGTCTCAACACTCTGACGAACCACGGTGGCTCTGGGGTTCGCATCGCCGTATCGAAGCACGCAAACGATCTGTGCAAGCTTGTTCGAGACTTGCCTGACGACATCAAGGTGGCCGAGCTCATTGTCCTTACTCTGGCGCACTCCCTGGAGACCACACTTAAAATTCAAAGCAAGGCGGAGCTTTATCTCGAGTCTGTCGACATGGAAGAAGTCATATTTACTATGCTAGACTCGGTACGACGTCCTTACGCGCTCCCTGGGCAGCTCTTGGATCACGCTCTGGAAATCCTGGCAGCATCGACCAGGTATTCTGCGAATATATTCAAGGCCCATCCTCGGTTGATCGCCTTCTTGGTTGCGGGTCTGCAGGCCAAGGACTGGGACACTCGCTGGATGTGCTTCTCCGGGATCTATGACAAGGATGAGGACGATGCGCCTCTTAGTGTTGATCCCGTTGAATTCCTCGAAAATATTAGCCAGACTCTGCCGTGGAACCTCCAAAGGGCACTTGACACCTATGGAGCGTCTCGGAGCGACATCAGCCTAGCTCTTAGTGTCAGCGAGGAGTACGACAGCGCGATGAGGGACCGGATCGTGCACGGTGACTTGTACGCCTTCGGCCTCAAGAAAGCGGAGCTGATCCTGAAGGCAGACATCAGCATCGCGGATGGCATCTTACGCGGATCCTCCACATGGATGAACAGCTGGCGGTCTGCGATCAACAAAATACGGGCGAAGGACATGCCAGAGGACAAGGACGCCGCCGACATTCTAGACATAGCAAATCTGCTCTACCATCGTAGCAACGAGGAAGCGGTAGCTCTCGCACGGGAGTCTATCACCCGGAACCCTGAACAAGCGTACTTCTACTACGCTCTGTCCTTCTCGTCAGACCACGTCGAGCGCCTGCAGGCTGAGAAGAAAGGTCTGAAGTGCCAGCAAAGTACGCCGTTCATACATCAGGAAAACCCTCTCTCGCAGAATCTGCACAATTTATCGAAATTTTGATCAATTCAATAAATTTACCACAATTGAGCAAGCTTGAATGCGAGCGCGGTGAATTTATGCGCAATCGAGCATAATCGACGAAGATGTGGATAGATTATATACCCTGCCTCTGCCTTCGCAAGAATTGAGAGATGTTTTGAGGCTGAGGAGAGTAGGGCCCATCACTAGTGCAGTGCTGACCTAGCCCATGAATGTTGTATGATCCGACTTCAAGCTTCAACGTTCGACGTTCAACAATGAACCCAACGAAAGCGCGGGATTTTCCGTGGCACCATCAAGCGGGCTGCCACGTCGATCCCTCTAAGTCTTCCTTCGCTCCCACCATCACCACCACCATCCCCACTCCCTCCTCCCTTGTCGTCGTCGTCGTTCCCGACGCCGCCGCCTCCGACTTCGATGAACACCACCACCACGCACCCGTTGACTGAGGGAACGGGGAACACGAGGGGAGACCTACGGAAGGGGAGACCTATGAGGTGCGTCGCGACCCCCCTCTTGCTCGACCTCGCTAACCACCGCCGTAGGTACCGGCCCCGACGTGCGCCCCCCCCTGCCTGCCACCAGCACAACAACGAGACCCGTTGCCCCTCCGCGATGACGACCCGCCCGCCACGTCACGCCGTGTCACCGGGGTGAACAGACAGGCGAGAACGGACGGGGCGAACGGACAACAGGCAAGCACCCGACGAGGCCAACGAGCCTGCCCTCGCCCTCGTTGCCACATCACAGGCAGCGCGCATGGGCCACCCGGATGACCCCCCACCGTCCCCGTCGTCGCCACGTCACAGCGGCGCACACGGGCCACCCGCCCTCGCCTTCGTCGTCACGCCGGCCACCCGCACACCCCCACCCGTCGTCAATCACCAACGGCCCCACCCTCGTTGCCGTTGCCACGTCACCCGGTGCACGGGCCCATCACCGCACAACCCCGCCACTGTCGTCTCCAAGCAACACGGCCCCGCCCCCTCGACACAGACGAGCGAACGACGACGCGAATCACCGCCGCCGTCATTGCCAAGTCACGGCGCACGGACCCCCTGCACCGACAACAATGCCCACGGACCCTCGCCGGATTTTTCTGACTGACGCTGATCATGACGCCGCTGGACAGTGACATGTCCGAAACGACTGCAACAACCACGAATACGCAGAAAGCGAAGAGGTGGATTTGGAGGGGATGGATATCTGATTCTCGAGACACGATCAACAGCGGGGTTCCTAGGCATTCGGAATGCCATACTAATTGTAATATCTACCACCTACTACCTTACATTACAACATGATTCGGCATGTCTATATAGTCCAATGCATGTGTTAATGCTTCAAATTTCGTTCTCATTGAGCAAAATGTGCAACAGATGAGGTCTAATTCAGTGGCTCTTTGCCTCAATCCTGCGTCTTTAGGCTCATTTCTGCATAATTTTGCAAGCATAATAATGTCAGATTTTGCAGATTGAGCAACATTTAATTGCCTGCAGGATGGCGCACATTTCTTTCCGCGGATTTCGCAAAGTCTGCTTAACTTGACAAAATTTGACAGCATCTTGCATGATTGAGTCACATTTCGTTGCGGAGGGCTTTCCTGATGTACGGTATCAGCTCCTGTACCAGGCGGTCGAACATGCCGGCGCGATGGGATACTCCTGGCGGCCTCGGCCTCGGTGACGCACAGCTAGGAAAAGGGCATCGTGTGCTTCGTGAGCGCCCTTGAAGACGCGAAGACGTTTGTGGAAGAAGCCCCACCGGACCACCGTAGCATGCTGCATATACTTAACTGGTTGGTGTTGCTCAGCTTGCTCGTTAGAGAAGACTTGAGTCCTGATTTGAAGGAGATCAAGGTGGGTTTTCATTCCATTGCATTCCGTGGCAATTCTGAAGATCACCCAAATTGACGATATGCATGTTACCAGGACATCATCAAGAAAGTCAAGACGGCGGAACAGTTCGCCGAGTTCATGGGGGTCCAGCCGGACAGATTCGACTTCTACCTCGCCCAAAAAGCTGCGCTCAGCCACTACACGCAAGGTGTCGCCGAGTTCTCGCGCATGTATGAGGATCTCGACAGGGTCGCGTGCGTTCCCCAGTCACTGCGAAGTCAATAGGGGAACTTCGACAGTGTGACGATGTACCGGTGCTCGTGGTGCGGGAATCCGTCTGCCTTGTTGAGGAAATGTGAGCTTTCCTTTCTCGCATTTGCCTTCCTGTTGATTTTAACTGTAAAATTTCATTTAGGCCGTGGCTGCTCGAAGGCGAGGTACTGTGACGTCGGGTGCCAGAAGTCGCACTGGCGAGATAATCACAAGAAGGTCTGCAAGTCATCGAGTTCAGGCTGATTAAAGTCATCGGCATCGAAGAGGCGCTATATTTTTCTTTCTTCTTGGGTTACTTTCTGGCTTTCACCTTCGTTTTTTTCTGGGCAATCCCCTCCACCTTTCCATGTTATTCTCTGCGCGCTCTGTTCAACGGCTTTTTTCGATAAGTTTCTTGGTTCGCCTTTTCGCATCCTCTTCCATTTTCGTTCTCAGCTGGATACTCCTTGGCTCGTTGATCACTCCTGACGCATGTCTGATCTGTGTGGCGCACACTGCATCGCCTCGTCTATCCCCATCCATCTGGGGTGCCTTTATTCCATGGAATCAGAATTCATTTCCGGACATCCGTTCTCCGTCGGCGATCGCGCGCCCTCTTCGCCGACTTCTTCTAAGTTTGCATATTGCTTGTGCATCCTGGACCACTTGCAGTGGATTCATTTGTCATTTTCTGCACATGTCGAATGTGACTGTATTTCTGTCGAAGGGCATCAAGGCCGACTTCGAATGCGAATTAATTTATTCGAGCTCAGTCAGCAGTCCACTCAACGCCCTAAAGTTCTATGTGAATTAAATAAATTGAGAGAAGTCTCAATCAACTACAGACGGGACATTTAACAATGAGGGTACACACGCTCAGCTTCTGGGCGTATGGAGCACGCTGAAGGCCAACCCAAAACTTTAACGTTTTAACCACAAAGCCCGAAGAACGTCTCTCATACGCTCGTTCAACGTTCATGTCTCAGCGTGGACCTATGTACGCCACTTCGCAACAATCTGAATACGAGGGGATATCCTTCACGCGAGGAGAGAATGCGGCGTCGCTGATAAGATATTTAGGGTGCATCTTGGGTGCAGTCTCTCTATACCACGGCGTCTTGAAATTTAGCCCTTTTGCAGGGTGCGTCAGCTCTTCATTCCCAGCAGAACGTTTATGATGATGATATGACGACGTGCATTCCAGAGTACAACTCGACTACAATTGCATTCAATTGTGATAAGGCGCGATTTTCCGTACTCAACGCTGGCAGCCGTGATAACGGATCGATAAGCGTACACAAAGGTATCAAAGAGTTGGGATTCAGATATTTTGTACTGGGCGGATTTGACGCATACACGAAGTGGGCATGCGAATGGGAGAAAAGAGGTACGATGGATAGGCATAAAGAGACGAAAGAATGGCATGCCAGTATGAAGCGTCTATAGTACTGTACAGTCTAAAGGATGAGGACAAAAAATAAGGAGAGTCTATAGTATCGATGGATCGTGACCATGAAAGGAGAAAGACCAAACAGAACAGAAAATTACGTCGACTCTGGCGCAGGGTTACCGTTTCCTTCCGTCTTTGGAGGCTCGCTATCAACCTTTGAGCGCGCCAGGACCTCGGAGACGCCTTTCTTCAGCGTCTCCAGCAACGGGTGCACGCGGTCGCGGACTTCCTGCCCGACGCGGGTAACCTTCTCCTGGAGAGGCAGGTCCTTCGTCTTGACGATCTCAGTGAGGTCATGAACCGTAGCTGAGAGGGCGGCGGTGACATCGGCGAAGGACTGTTGGATCTGGGGGATCTGGGCTTGGAGCTGCGACGTCGATTCAGTGAAAGTCGTTTGGAGGGAGGCGGCGAAGGAAGAGGTAGAAGTCTGGAGTTTCTGGAGTTCTGCGAGCATGGTGTCTGACAGTGTGTGAATCCGGGCCTGAGCAGAGGCTAGGGATGAAGAGGCAACTGTGGAAATAGACTGTGCGGTCTCAGAGGCCTTCTGACTGATAACGCCTAAATTAGAATGATTTTCAGGACAATAAGAAGCAAGAAAACATACGCGAGGACTGATTGGGCCTGCAGGTGTTTCAATTGCTCGTTGGAGTAGACGTAAAGGTTGTCGCCCAGGGTCTTGGACAGGGCCATAGCGCGCTGATACTGATACTTCGCATCGGGAGGAGAAGAAGGTCCGGCCTCGGATGGGTTCAACTTGGAGACGGCAGACTCGAAGTAGTCGACAAGGGGGGTGAAACGCTGCGTATTTACATTAGAGAGATCGGATATGGCGAAAACGGGGAAGAAACTCACCTGATCGATATCGTGGACAACATTGAGAGCAGGAGTCTTGACCCTATCATCGATGGCCTTGTTGACCCCGGTGACTCGCTCCTGGATCAAGCCCACGGTGCTGTCCTTGCGCTCGCGGACGTAGGTAGCGACTTCCTCCGGCTGGGCCCTGAATGGGTAAGGGTAGCGCGTCTCGACTGCATCAACGGCCTTGTTGGCAATGCTGTCAGCGCGGACGATAAGTGGGGCAAGCTTGATCTGGAGGGGCTCCGTAAGCTTGTAGGCGCTCGTAGAAAGCTCTTTGGCGTGGTTGTATGAAGAGCGGGTGTATGCGTTGGTCGATAACTTGTCGTTGAGGGATCCCAGCGACGAGGCGATCACTGGGATCGACGCGACGCGTGTGAGGATGGTGATCTCTGGAGCATGCTGCTGCTGCTCAGCAGGCGGTGCGGTTTCTGTGGCGGTCGCCGACATTGCGATGGTTGTGGTGGATGTGGGAGAGAGTAAGTGGACGATAACAAAGCTGCGTCTTGTTTTAATAGTCGCTCGCCCTGCAGGCCTGCTGGCATGTGATTATCCGATGATGTAAATTCACGTGATGTCCTTTTTGGGAAATCACCTCGATCATTCTCAATTTCTCTCGCCTCCTCCGAGTCCATTCCGTTCATCTGATTCCATCGGGCTCCTCAAGCCGGCGGTTTCCTCGAGGTCCGAGAAAATTTCTTCAGGACGGTATGCATAAAGCCAGAGCTCAGCAGCCCTCGCATTGCAGTGCTCGCAGTTCCGCTGCACTCTCTAACACTCAGCCATTGTCTCTTTCTGCGACTAATGCATGTGTTTTCGATACAGAGACCTAGAAACGATGGATGCACAGTCCGCTTCGGAGACGATTTCACAAGTCTCCTCCGGAGCGCAACGGCTCGCAGGCTGCACAGCCACATGGAACGGACGAGGCAGAGCGCCGACGGCGGTGGATTCTCGGGACAACGTGCTCCTCGAGGCCCAAGGCCCGTCTGGCGCAGTCCATGATTATTCTTGGCTCAGAGTCATCCCTGTGTTTTCCTCAGCCATGCGATGAGCATCCGTTTCATCTCCAATGTCCTTATCAGATGCACCTTCGAAGACCGCGCTAGCCGGGAAGCTACAACAATCACTGATTTGAGCCACTAGGCATAATCGGGACGGACACCGGTGCGAACAATAGTCTCTATTTCCGTCTATTTCCGTCCAGGAATCTTCTGGATGCCACTCGTTCTTGTCTCCTTCTCTACACCTTGGGAATTGGAAGAGGATGGGTCATGGGTTATACCGTCGCCTTCCATAAAAATGAACTACCTGAAATACCTTCTTATTCTCAAGATATGGGCATTCGAAGTCGCTTTCTCTCCCATGGCGCGATGAATGATATCGATGGCAAATGCTAAGAATCCCAATTAACACGTGAAGCAACATGTTTTACCATAGGCTTCGTCTCCCTTCTTATTTGACAGAAGCTTTATGCATCAGATTCAGAGGCCCGACCGCAACTATCGCGAGCTGTTGTCGCCGTAGATCGCCTAAAAGGCACGAATCTCCAAGTTTTCCGCTGCATGCCTTGATTGATGATGGCAGGAAGATAAGCGCCCACAGACACCGATCACTCGATCATTCAGGATCGTAGGTTCTAAAAATACATTGCCTCTTGGCACGTCATCATCCAGAAGCGGCTTGAAGCGCTCATCGGCTTAGCATAACGACACTAACGTACATAGTATTTAATGCGACGATTCCTTCAACTTCTTCAGCGCATCATCAACGATATAGGTCATCCTTAAGACCGCCTCCTCCTCCAACATCCTCCCAATGAGCTGAAGGCCTACAGGGCACCCGGCGAACAGGTCGGTGTTGTCTGTCATGGAAGAACGATGTCGTCAGTCACGATTGTCTTGGTAGAAATTAAGCGGAGGATAACGTACAAAGTTTGTAAATATACTTGTCTTCGTCGTTGTAGAACTCGTGTGGCTCATGAGGTCTGTCCAGTTCCGGATCGACATGGGTAACGGGAAACGCGGAAGTTGTGTAATCGAGCACGTTGCAAAGCGTCGTATAGAACGAGTCTCTACAAAGTTCCATGAGTGTCAACTCAAGATCAAAATATGGGATCATCAATGACACCCACGTATTCAATCCATGAGGAACCGCTGCATACGCGACAGCAGGAGAGATGATCGCATCCACCGGCCGGCCTGTTCCTGTACGCTCAACCGTCTTCTCCCAGTGGTCCAAATGCGACTTTCTCAGCTCGCGTTTCTCGTTATGGAGTTGCCACAACTAGATGTAACGTCAGGACCAGCGAGATAACAAAGCAAAAGGTGAGCCTTACTTCGTAGGCGTTCCGGTGCACCGGCGGGTGCCCCGCCAAATCCCTGCAAAGCATATACGGAGGCTCGTATGCGTACCCTTCGCTCGTTTCCTCTTCTTCAGATGGAACCATGGTGGTGATGAGCGGCTCTCCGGATTTGGCACACTCTGACAAGTAGTCGTGATTACCATCGGCCGCGAAGATCAATTCCTAGAGCAATAAGCAACGTTAGCTACTTTTCTTTGCGAACATAAAAATATCCTTGGGACGGATTCGGACCGCATTCTTATAAATCTCTAGGTGTCGATGACACTCCCAGTCGATAACTGCACAACCCCATGAACGTCAGACCTTTCTTTCGCAATGAGTTGAATTCAACAGCTTACCCTTATGCCCCGCCTTCTCCAGTGCCTCCTTCACCATCTTCATAGCCCTCACCAACGGCGAGTGGGGCCTGACCACCCCATTATCCCACATAACCGCAAAACAAAGCTGTCCGCCCACACCTCCATGCTCGCTCAAATCCCACTCTTGTTCACTCCATGGTTTAGGTACGACCATCGGGTCCAGCCTCCAGGGCTTCTGCCCAATGATAGAGGTCAGGAAGGTCTTCACACCCGAGAGGGAGTTCGCCATCGGCCCGAGGACGGAGGAGATGGATTCCTGGCCTTGTAGCGAGTTGGCGACGCCGTAGTACGGCAGACGGGCGTAGGATGGTCGGATGGTGTATAGGCCACAGAAGGCAGATGGGATTCGTACAGATCTAGGAGGTGGTTAGCCTTTGAAGGGACAAGTGGATGGAGGGAATGCGGACCCGCCAATGTCCGTTCCAACGCCGAGAGGGCTGCCTCTCATCGCGATTAGCGCACCTTCGCCCCCTGAAGAGCCTCCGGGGGTGAGGGAACGGTTGTATGGATTCAGAGTGCGTCCGAAGACGTTGTTAAAGGTTTCGCCCCACTGCATGTCTTTCAGTCAGTCGAGGTAAGATGAGCAGGGGGGATATGCACCATGAGAGTCTGGGGAACGTTGGTTCGGACGAACGGGACCGCACCACACGCGTACAGGATCTCAACAATAACACAATCCTTATCAGCGTACTTGCCGATTCCAGAAGCGTAGCCTGGAGTAAGCATTCGAATGAGTATGTTTATCAATGAGAGACGCGGAAACGTACCCATCGTCGTCTCCAGACCCTTAATCGTAAATTGATCTAGTGACACGATCTTCTCAAGGATGGTTTATGAGAGATTTCGACGCATACAAGCACCTTTGAGTGATACAGGGAGCCCGTGCAGAGGCCCTACGACCTTTCCTGTCTTTGCCAAGACATCATCGAGGTGCTTCGCTCTCTCAAGCGCTCGATCCACGAAGATCTCAGTGAGACAGTTCGTCTGGCTCTCTCATCAGTGTTCCTCTCATTTCCATTTACATAATAAGCGCACGCACCACCTGGTGCGCCACAATCGCCCGCTTGTAAAACGCCTTCGTCACTTCATACGAGGACCACTCGGCTGTCCGAAGCTTTTCGAGGATGACGTCAATGTCGGTTGTCTCTGTGATAGCCAACTCGCGTTCCGTCAAGAGCCCACAAGAGTTAGGTACGTCGAGAACGTTGGGATGCTCTCGAAGTGACGGTACAGGGATGGTCCACTCTTTGGAGATCGACTCTCGCTGCGTCGCCCTCTTCTGCTCGCACAAGGTCCTCCAGGATGTCTGAAGTTGAGCCATAACACTGTAATATTTAACATTCTTAAAGACATGATTTGTTTGAAAGTACTCACATAAGTGTAGAATGGCTGGCACTGGAGTAATATCTACCAAAGATGTGGACCGCGATAAAGGTCGCAATGTGGACAGTGTTCACGGGCATCGCGGTCCGGATGAAGCTCGCCGGGATTCCCGGTCCGGTAGAACTCCGTGCGAGAGTGGAATTCCGCTCTTCTGTCACTACTGACAAGGTTTGAGAGGTGAAATTACTTAAATCCCGTCATTACCTCTGCTCAGAGGAAATTCTAGTAATGCTAAGACTCCGACCTTCTGAGGAGTCGTGAAGCAGGAGTTCGTGGATCATTACATCGATATTATCTCGGAAAATAACTGAAAATAACTTGAAGGTATAATTCGGTGTACAAGTTAAACGTTACAGAGTTATCAGGAAGCTGCAGCCTATAGGTCTGTTTATACTTCGCGATAAATGCAGCACCGATATTCAAGTTGTCAAAATGAAGGGGCAATGGCCCGATGTTTGCCGTTGCCTGGATAAGATAGGCTGTGTGCCTCTCCAACTCGGCTGGCCGACGCTTGCATCACTCTCCTCTTCCAATCCTTCCCGAATGTCCCCATCCTTGAGATCAACACCATCTCGAGGCGAAAGAGGAGGGCGACGTCTTGCGCAGAATATGCGATAATGCGAGGATCGAGTGGGCGCCTCTCGAACACCTCGTAGGATCCTCCTTTTTCGGGGCGGAAGAGGGCGACGCCTTCCTCCTTGATCCGCTGCCATTGGGCCTGTGTGCTGATATACGTCTCGATGGTCTTCGCGAGGCCGCTAACGAGCCTGACCTTGAGGTTTGCTGAACGCCGAACGGCAACTTCGAGGAGCTGCAAGTCGCAGATGTTGGCCAGACTGATTTGGTAGAGGTTGTACAAAGCGTCGGCGTCGTTGCGAACGTCGTAGAAAAGCTGACAATCTCTTCGGTCAGGATAAAGATATAATTCAGGACGATCCAAATTCTTACCTTTTGTACTCTTTCACTTTCAAGGACACTCTTGAGAGATCGCCCAAGAGGATCGACGTGATTGAACGCCAACGAACCAAGGACCGTAACGTCGACGAGCCAAATGATATTGGATTCATTGGCGAAAAGCTGGATAATCGAGAGCTTCCCCAATCGGCATAATTCGACTCCTTCGAGGTCGACGGCGACTTTCGTCACACCGTTGGCGGAGATGTCCTTCAGACAAGAGTCGAGGAGGGCTGGGGTATCGGCGAGGACTACAGAGGTCGTCCTTTGTGGTTCAGGGCAATGTTCAGGGTACCAAGGCTTTTAAGCACGGACGGGCTTTCGGAAGAACCGCGGTTATGATTAGTTTAAGGATGCCGGTAATGGATGTCTTCTTTGCCTCATGTCGACGGGCTAAATACACGATTCATCTAGGTCTGAGACTGGAAGCGCCCAGATAGGCGCCGAAGTAGACCGCTCAGATGTGCATTATGTGTGCTGATTCTATTATGTCCTATACAAATTGAAACAAGTAAATGCTGGTGAGATGCTGGTATACAAATGATATATGCAATGGTGCACTACATGCTGCACAAAATAGGTCCATTCGATAAATTGTTTCCAAAATCCATCAGAGGTAGAATGGTATGCCATAAACAACGGGTGCCGCGCCTGTCAGATATTTGAGTTTACATGCGTCGCGGGACTGAGCTACAGCAGCGACGACGGAAATTGGGTCCTTCGCCCGCTTCTCCTGGGATTCACTGATATCCTTGCCGTTTAATGACAGCTTGTCGAAGACGGTCTGGGAGAACTTGTCGATGTCCTTGTCTGTTACGTCCCACAGGTTCGCAACGAGGGTTGGGCTGCGGGTCTGGAGTTAATTCAGGGAGAAGAAGAGAGAGGATGGACGTACCACCCAGCCAGCATGTAGTTGTAGGGCGTTCCAGTCCGGTCGAAGTCACCCATGTCACGTAATGCACCGGAAGAACATCCCCAAAGCATTGTAGCCGCGCAAGTGGGGAGGCTACGGATCCTATGAGAACGCACATACTGTTCTCCGCCTCCATGACCGAAGTACCTACGGTGGCGTTGAATTAAGGAAATCATTCGGAGATGGAGACGGAATACATACACAACCAGGTCATTTGACTTCAAGGCATTGACGAATTGCTGTTCGCTGACGGGCTTTCCGATCGTGCCTTCCCACCCGACTTTCTTCATGCCGTTCGCCCAGTCGCGGAAACGCTCCTCTGTTCGGCCTAAGTCTCCGCTGGGGTTGAGAATGTAGTAGCCCTTTCGAGGGTTCACAGCCGCGCCCCTGGAGGTTTGGCCTGTGGCGGGAGTTGATTCATGTTTGCACTTGGCGTACGCAAGTCGGTCATGAAGGAATTGTACTCCTGGAATCCTGCTAACGCTCCGGCCACGTAAGATAGGCAAGCTTTCCCAAGGCAGACCTTGGACATTCTTGTCCAACACGAGGAAGATGTGCTCATCAGAGGGCTTGGACGGAACCCTGGAGGACCTTGGATACTTTGTCCTCCTAGTGCTATGCTCTTCGAGGACAGTGCGAAGGTCGACAACGACTTGATCGATATCGACCTCCGCGATGGCAATGGGAACACCATGGAATTGATAGAGATCCAGCACGAAATAGATGAAATCTTCGAGCTCCTCGTCACGACATTTGGGTGATAGCGTCGACAAACACTTGATCATGGCGTCGTCGAGAGTGAACTGGGTGGGCAAGTGCGTTTGGGGTTGAGATGTGCTCTTCTTGTGGGCAGCCGGCTTCTTCGGCTTCTTGTCCTTGACATGAAGTGCACGATAGAAGACCTTTTCGAACTGGCCACGCAGCTCAGAGACATCCTCTGCCGTGATACTCGGTCGAGGGCTGAGGATGACCTGAAATCATGTGAGATGGGATTCATCCATAGAAAAGAAAAATTTACTTTAAACGCGCCAAGCCAGCAGTACTCGATGTTCTCCAGAAGCTGTCGCATCCGTGTGTCGAGCTCAGTTCGCTGTCTCCACCAGTTGACGCGAGCTTCTTCATCGTCGGATTTGACGTTGATGGCCGCCTTCGTGCATTCGTCGCTACTCCGAACAATGTCCTGGAGCTCTTGAAGAGTGCGTTCGAACGTGAGATGTGCCTCTTCGTCTTCGTTGCTGCCTTGATCCCTTCGTCCCTTCAATGGGATACAGAAAATCAGAGGGTCTTCAGAGTGGTTACCTCCTTCGCGTCGGCAGCAGAATAGCGTGCTTTTGTCTGCCGTTATGCTCATGTTGATGACTGTCCAATTGGCTGGCAAGCCCACTGTTTCGGACACAGAGAGTGCCGAAGGATCCAAGGCTTGAGTTTCATATTTCGCCCGCACGGTATCCCAGTACGATCGAATAGACTTCTCTGCGTCTGACGCCTCATCTTCACGCTCATCCTCAGAGTCTGATAGCGAAGATGTGCGCAGCTTGGAATTCGTGGAAGGGGGCGAACGAGGCAAGGCGGCGCCATCTTTCAATAGCAATGGCCATTGAAGATCATCGACAGAAAGAGGAAATTTGCTATCGATCGCTTCCAACATGTCGCGACGTAGAGTGAGAGCTGCAGAGGCGTCTGCAACAACCGGTCACTTTAGTGTTTAAGTCATCAAATTATTGGAACTTACCCAATAATGCCGCCATGGTCGAAGGAACGTCTTGCCTTCGATCTCCAAGAGACGTACGGAACGCACCAATCAGCACCAATGAGATGACGGACTCGCGGACTTCGATAACGTTTCCCTTCCTCGCTGTTGATGCTAGATGTGTCCACAGTAGTTTCTCTGCGTTTGCCAAAGCCTCGACGATGTCGGCCGATGGAAGCATCGGTTGGACATGCTCCCTAGTCTCCATTCCCATAGGAATGGCGACAGCTAATTTTAAATTCAGAGCATATCGAAAGGAAGAATGAACGATGCATACTTGACTCGGCTATGGAACTTAAGAACATATCAGTTTGGAAGCGGCCATAGACACTGTGAAGTGTCAACTTTCCCATAAGACCATATTCTTCTGCCTAAAGAAAAATGGAATTAAACCAGTTGGAATATGAGATAATAGAGCACTCACTTTAGTAGCAGTCGACCATGACAACGACAGATATTTCTCCAAGATGGAATTGAAGACGTCACCAATCTCATCGCGTAATAACCACACTACGATTCTGTCAGGTATCTGTCATGACCAGGAATGCAGACATCTCACGTTGTTGGCGTAGAATCGATGCTAGTAGTTCGGGAACGAGAACGTCGGTTGGAGCTGGGCCTACATGACGAGGCGAAGTGCCCAGGGATCGCCGAGGACTAGACTAACATAAGCACGAATTTTGTGCAAAGAGCAAAAAGACCATACCCAAAAGCAGTGTTATCGAATTGTCGGAACACAACGTCCAGCTCCTCCAACATCTGAACCGTTTCATTAAACAGCTGTTGAGGATCTTCATCTTCATCTTCCTCTGTCGCTGTTCGGATGTTATATTCGACTTTCAAACGGCGAATATCCGCAGTGTCGATTCCTGGCATGTCGCACAAGAGCTCCGTGGCCTTCGTCAGATTAACCCTCGCGTCTTCCAGGTTGCCCATGTGCAGTTGCAACTCTCCTTGTCTGGCCAAAGCACGGCTGACCATAGCTGGCGTGTTCAACTGTCCCGCTAGATTGGCCGCTTGCTTAGCAAAATATTCAGCTTCCCTAGGCGAGCCCCGGTAGAAGTATGCTTGCGTTAAGGAGAACATTGTGGAGAGTAAGCCCTCAGAGATTCGCCATTCGAGATCATCCATCGGAGCTCGAACGGCGGTCGATTTCGTGGCTGTCGATATGGGAGACTCTTGAGACGAAGAACTGGATGCACCGTTAGGTAAAGAATCTTTCAAGCTGGACATTTCGAAAGGATCGGATTCTGAACTATTCGCAGTCGCAGGCTTCAGACGAGTCATGGTGTCGATGGCACGGTTCCATAGGCGAAGGGATTGAAGAAGGCCTTGCAGTGAGGCGCATACATCGCCCTGTTCATGATTTAATATCCGATCCAATATGAACAGCGAAACGCCCACCTTTGCGTACTGGACTAAGGCAAATACATGCGACGCCATCGCTGCCATCTCAAGGACCTTAGTACGAGCGTAGATGCGTTGCTGTGTAGATTGCCCTTTCTGCTCCAGGTCGACCTGCGTCGCCATGTTTAGGGCTTCGAGATAAACTGCCAAGCTGGACAGAGTTATTTAGTTTGTGAACCGAGTTATCTTTTCCAGGATCTTGTCATACCTTTTGGGAACGTCATCGACCAAAGCGAGCGACTCCGCAAACCGCAACAAGAACCGTACGGAGACGTCAGGCGAAGCCTGCCCACTGCGCACAACTTCCAGGGCTTGGTTAAATATCGACGCTGCCCTCTTCAGCTTTCCGAGAGTAACGTATTCGTGTGCAAGCTCGATCGAAGCAGTGATATAGCCTATTTGACAGACATGAGTCCTGCACCAAGAAATAGAACAAATAACATACCATCACTTGTCGTCCCTTCATGACGCTGTGCAAGCCGTCTGGTCATGTCGAGGAGGCGCGCCTTGGCAAGGATAAGGGACAGGAAGCCAAGAATCCGGGCAGTAAGTTCTAACAGGACAAAATGTCAGGCAGATGTTGAATGGGGAGGGAGGCTGGAACTAACGGAGCAAAGACAGTAATCTGTCGAAGTCATCGAAAATCAGAGTGGCTTTTGAAGAAGCACCGTCAATAGATCGTCGCGGGGGTGTCATCTGCGTCGCATTGAACGACATAGGTTGTAGAGCTGCAGAAAAAGTCATTGGTATGGACATTTATCATTGGATATGACTTACCATTTCGTGTCCTAGGTTTCGGAGTCACCGAAGCCACAGATTTCGACTTGACAGGAGCAGCTTTCCTCGGAGCAGCAGGGACCCGTTGACGGGTCGAGCGAGGTGCTTTGGGCGAGATGATCCTGCCTACTTTCGGGGACGACGCTTTCCTGAGGGCTTTCGGACTCGACACCTTGCGGGTGGCTTTCCGGGTGGCTTCAGCACCGCGGCTTAGTAGCTCCTTTATTAGATGACAGGCAGCCTCAGAGTGTTGCGACATGATACTGTTCTGCTCGGGATCTGCCCGTCGGTGGGCATGCAGGGCCATCCACAGACGGCTTGATATGCGATACTGGAGGACGAAGTCAACTAGCAAAGCGTCTTTCTCGAAGTTCTGCAGCCCAGATTGTGAATGAGAAGATTTTTTTAATAAGTAATAAGCGTACCTCAAGTGTGCCAAGAGACTCGATCTCTTTACCCATATCCTCAACACTGCTAAACCCGAAAATAGAGACAGCCTCATCCCCAGGACTCCGATACACAAATTCCATACACCTCACAACGATCCTAGCCCTCCTCACAGGAGTTAACCTTGACCCGTCTGGTGTCCTCAAGTCATATACATCCAATGCATCTCTCAACAATTTCACAGACACTCCTCGAATGCCGTCTTTCCACCTGCTGGGTTCCAGGCTGTCCAACTGTCGTTCCAGGAGAATACCAACGGTAGCAGGATCGAGAAGGGGTGAGGCTGAGCCATGGACGTTCGACCGCAGAGATATTTCGTTCGGGGGCAGGAGAAGATTGCATGCGCCAAGGTAGGAGACGCGGTCGATAAGCGACACAAGCTGCTTGACGACTGCATTTGACGAAGAGCCGAAGAGAGAATCTGGCGAGAGCATCTCGCTCTGCGTTGTCAGACCCGATGAAGAGAACGGGAATGAACGGATGGCCTGCTTGAACGCATCGTAAGCGTTCTGCGAGGGGCGAGTCAGCTAAATGCACCCACAAGCCGACAATATAACATACCTTGTGATTACCATTCTTAGAGTAGCAGACACCCAGTAGCTCCCAACGCCTGAATAGCTGCTCCTCCAACTGCTTCCACTCCTTCTCTCTCGCCTCGTTCGGCACCTCCGGCTGCGGTCGAGGCAAACACAAGGCCTTCTCCCCAAGTCTGCAGGTTTCAACGAGGAATGGAACAGCGTTCCCGTATCTTGTGGCCTGGTAGAGCGAACCGGCAAGGTTGTAAAAAGCCCCAGACACGCATCGATAGTAGTTTGCAATGTCTACCGAGTCGTCGAGAGGTGATAACGGGTACCGATCGGAGGGTACGGAGTTGACGATCGTTGAGGCAAGGCTTAGGTGGTCGAACGGCGGTACAAAAGTCCTCGGATCGTTGGGGTTGAGCCTTATCCGGGACAATACAAATAATGTGTCCAGCGAACGAGTTAGGGCATCGCGAGCAACTGGAGCGGGAAGAACCTGTATTGGGAGCTCAGAAGAAGAATAAACTTTCTATAAAACCGTCATACCTCCGATAACAGTAGTGATTGCAAGCGTGCAACCGAAGCCAACAACACATCTTCCAGCAGGACATCCGTTTTTAAAGTGGCCACGGGAAAGGTTGATGAAGAGGATGAGCCCGCCTCGACGTACTTGATTGCTGTTCGGCGAAGTTTCTCCAAGGCTCGGTCGACTTTGATGCATATTCTTGACATTTCATCGTCGTTTCTTGACTTTCTTTCCATCGTCTGCTGCCGTGGTTGTAGAAAGGGCGAGATAGCGGCAGGATCCCTCAACAGCTGCAAGCATTCGTCTAATAGCCTATGCAAGTCCGAGTCTAAGAACGGAGCAATTAGCAACACTCTGTTTACTGGAACTGTCAACGAACCGTTGTCCAAGTCCTTAAAATCGCTTCTAGGTGCTTCAAGCATTAATGATAGCTGGGTTAGTGTGTTGTGCATCCGGGATCCTTCTAAGAGAGCAGCTTTCTGAGGCGATGACTGTTTTTGGGGTGAAGGTGCAGCTTTTACAGCTGGCATGGTCTCATGGGGTGGCGTAAATAGAAGCGAAGTCGGCCGCAGCATGGCGTTGATTCGCTGGAGAGCTGCAATGTCCCCTGCCTGCAACAAAATATTCGATTTCCAAGAGTAAAACCTGCAGACAGAAAAACTCACCCGCTTCGCAAAGGACGCCCAGTAGTCGCAGAAAGTCATGAAATTCTTCCCTGTCTCATTTACCGCCAAAAACTTCTCCCTGTCTGCCCTCTTCTCTGCCAATCCGACTAGCTGGTGAAACACCGCAAGGATTGTTACGCTTATCTCCTCTTCTGACACCTGGTCCGTCGAAGAGGCCCGGACGAGGACAGCCGTCGACTTAACTGCCTGGTCCCAGAAGACGTTGGCGTCAATTACACCTGGACTAGTGTTGACGAGACATCGTAGACCGTATGCTCTCAGAGCGAATATGGATCCAGGAGATGGCGACGGAACCACTGCGGTCTTGCTTGACTTCGACTTGAAAGGTGGTGCCGACGATGAGAGGAATAGCTTGCTGAGAGCTGAGTAGGCTCGAGTAAGCAACGGATCGGTGTGTTTTGAAGGGAGTGCGGAGAATAATGGGAGCCAAGTGGTCAGGGAATGCGTCGTTGGAGAGGCGAGCGTTTCGGCGAGCTCTTCCGTTGATTGTGGAGTGGCAGAGCCCGGGCAAGTAGCTAGTATAATCGCGAATAAAAGATATGTTGAGATGAGATTCAAAAGAACTGGATTCGTTGTGGTGTCCATTGAGGGTAAGGGAATGGAGAGAAACCGAAGTCGTGGATGGCCATTGGGTGTGTATGTGCTGTCCACTAGGGAGCATATCCGCGGATGAATCTCTCGCAAAACAGGTGTTCCGAGCTCGTACTATTATACTGACATGAGAACAATATTGTAGATGATGGAACTCTAACTCACCATTTCCAGAGCTATGAGTTTTCCGAGGACACTAACTGCGGCTCTCTCAACATCTATATCCCCTGGTGAAACCCGCCGTAGAGTCTCCAAATGCTTCGAGGCTGTCGACGCCGCTGTGTTTGCCGTCGATAACGTCGTCTTAGAGGCATCCGGTGCAGTCTTCTTCCAGCCTGACTGTACTACGGCCGACAGTGTTTGTGAAGCTTCATTCACTGCACGCATGGACGTAAGTTTCGCTCGTCCTGGATTGACATCATGTTCTTCGGCCTTTTGCTTTCCCTTCGTGCTGTTCAGTGTCAACTTCGACGCGAGATCTTTGGCCAGTTGGTCGGCGGTAGTTGAGTTACTCTTGGTGGACTTCGTGATGAGTTGTCGAGAGATTGGGCGTCGAGTGGTTGAAGACATTGTAAATATCTGTTGGAGATTGTCGCCGTTGGAAGAGGTACGGGTTCGCCGTTGGTCCCGGCTTTGTTCAAAGTTGTCACGTCGTAGTGCTACAACTTGAAGTTGAGAACATTCGTGACCAAACGCGATCACGTGTCCTGGGCCACGCGTTTGGGCTACAAATTCAGGGGCTAAATGCACAACACCTGCGGCTCAATCTGCCTTACGCTCCACACTTATTCGAGAACAGTAGTGCCACAAAATCGGCGACCTATAATCTTCGTGAGTTAATGAGGCAGATATTGTGCAGGAAATAATCTTTCTAAAAAGGTGTCCCATTGGGACAACCCATTAATAGGTTACTTCCTGCACAGTACACGGCTAAAAGCATTTATGCAGAGGTTTACCCCTCCCAGTAAACATTCCTCAATTTTCAATCAAATGATTTTGCTGGTAAAAGGAAGTACAACATGTACCTCCTACTTTGCAGAAATAGGTCAGACCGACTTATTAGCTCACTTCTGCCAGATCTGAATGGCATTACTCATAAATATAAATTTATCTCACTGGTTACATAAGTTACTAATATTGCGTACGAGGATCATATCAGAGCTACTGAGGTAACCTGAGTGGCACGCTCCCTTTCTAATTTTGGCAATTCTGGCGGTTTTCCCATGGCCCTGATTGGACAGTTCTCTGGGTCAGCTGTGATGAGCCCTATCTTGGTGAAAAGAAAGATGAATAATAACCCGTTTTGTGTGGTCACTACGAGAGAATGATAAATTAAATTCTTCGAGTCAGTGGCAGGGAGCCCAGAGGCAAGAATAATTGTTTTCCCAAAAACTAGCCGGGACCAGCGAAGCACCGATTGGGATGGCCGCGAGACCCGGCTGGTCATGTCCCAGCATCTTTTCGCATTAACTCACGATTGCAAAGCACAAAATATAGCGCAGTCGTTCTTTGCGTATAAGCCGTGATAACTCGTTTCAAATGGTTAAGAATACGAGTACCTACCCAGCCCTCGTGCAAAAAGGAATTAGAGCGTAGTTTTATGAATGGTAAGAGAGTTGAATGAGCAGGACTCCTCCTGGAGTTCTAACGGCTCGTTGACACGCCAAGCAGTTTCATGTGAATAGAAGCCTTGGTTACTCGGGGTAGCGTTCCCTATAAAACAGCAGATAATCGATAACTGCACTTCGATAGTCCCCTTTTTCAGAATTTCTCTCCGCTTCCAGCAGCCCTCAAACTTGAACATGCCTGTCTATGAGGTTGTTCAGTCACCAATCTCTGAGGTCGGTTTGAAGGACCGCACCCTCCTTCAACCTGTGGTTGACCTGCATACCGCGACAGATGGGTGCAATGGGTGAGCATAATCATCATAGACTCCATGAAGCCTCTTCAGTGCTTACCAAGTTTACCAGGATGTCATTTGGCACGACCGAAGAAGACCCGTCAATAGGGTGGATGTTTATTTGTGAGATTTACTCCGTATTGTTTAAAACATAGAACGCACGCCATTAAAACCTGCGACCGGGTAGCATGGGACTCTTATGAGCACCACAAAGCCCTGATTGATAGTATCATTGATAACCCGGCCTATTCTACCCTGACCGATAACCTCAACACATTTTGGGCGAAAGGACCAGAGGGTGTGTCTATAGTCCATGCCACCTTCGACCAGGACCCAACGGCGGCCTTGACGGCACCGTGTACCGAGATCGTCTCCTTGACGTTGCGGGAAGGAAAAACCAAGGATGACCTGTATGCCGCTTTGGTGGCGTTCCGCAACGCAGGAATGGAAAAGGAGAAAGGAGTCCACCCACCTCTAGCGTGTGGTCAGACTCGGGAGGATCCCAATAAATTCTTCTTGGTGGTTGGGTGGGATAGTTCCAAGGTAGGGTCCTCGAGTTTCGACCTGGAAGAAATCCTGACGCGTTTCATAGGCTCACCAAGAGGTGGTTAGCAACGAGATATACCAGCCTTACGTTGGACTCCTTGGGCAGACCGCAGACATGCAGGTCGTCCACGTGTCGTTGAAGAAACATAATTAGCCTGCTCTTACCTCGAGCCATGCCGTTATGATTGCGATCATGACAGAAGTCAACGGGAGAGACTCAAGAGATGAATCATTCTTTCATTACTCCAAGAAACCGGTCTCGTGAACCGCCGAATAAACAGCGTGGAGGCGCGTTATACCTTTTGATACACGATGGAACACACTTGGACCATTTAATAATCTTGCTCCGTTATGACCCACTGGTGCGAGTGATCCCTTTATATAAGGTCATATTCCGCAGCGGATTGGTGGGTTCCCTCCGCGTCTCAAAAAATATTTAACTGCAGGCTTGAATCGCAAGTCAAAACAGAAGACTATATTCCGGAAAATTATTGCAAATTTAATCGCCATGAGGACTCTGAGCTTGAGGGAAGCAGACAAAAGTTGCGAGGTGTTGAGAGGGCCAGTGACACACCGCACCGAGTATTTGGTGCAATTTAGACCCGTCGATAGGCGCGACCTTGATAAGGCACCGTACGCGCCCACCGTGACGACTCCTCGGAGTCGGCAACTTTTCAATCTTCTATTGCCTGCTGAGCAAGCCTGTCGGTCGGCTGCTGCGTACTAGCAAAAACCCGGCGACTAATTTATCTTCATCGCAGCATCCGCACTGATGATTTTAGGGAGTAGTAGAGACTTGGGAACAATTCTCTCGTCCAAGCGAGCTCTGGCGTCAATATATTGCCGACAGAAGGCGGCGGGATTGTCGAGCTCGGGAGTGACATGTCGTCTCATGATGTCCTCGATAAGGTCTGAGGTGGACGCGCATAGACATCGAACATCATACACCAGTTCCTATAGACTGGCCCTCCATTTCATGGAAAATGGATTAAGAAGGCCTATCTATATTCTAACTAAGTTCGAGAAGTGACTCCCTTCACGTCGACTTCCTACTCGTGGTGTGTGGAATTACTCGTAATAGAACGTTTTGCATATTGATCTCCAGAGGGCACCCCCAAACAAAATACCTAGATTCGAATTCGCAGGTCCCTCCCTCAGCAACGGTATAGTTCCTCTGCACTTTCCCGTTTGGAAATGAGGACCGTTTCGTGCATGTAGGTATAGCAGCATATCCAAACAGGGCTGAGCCAAGTGCAGAACCCCAGCCCTAATCGGTGTCCACAAAGCTCCTCGAGCTTCGCACGCGTGTCATACATGTCGTTACTGGCGAGGAAGTGTCTCAAAAATATCTAATTTTCACCCCGTTTACTAAGCGCCCGAGTCATTTCCGGTCAGGCGGCAACCATTTAGCCTTCCTGCGTTTAAAGATTCGACCGGGGGAGGACCCACGAAATTTTGCCGTGTTACTAGGCTAAATTGCCCAACCTTGGTGGCGTGACACGTGGGCGCTTGCAGTTGTATTCGCGTGTGGGTCCGACAAATTGCAAATTCCTCGGAAATTGTTCCTCGCTCATTTTCAGTGGATAGAAATCCATTTCACAGTCTCGCGTATGGTCGAATGGGTAGGTATAGAGTACACAAGGGTCCGTACTCGCCTAACTTCTTTGACTAATTACGAAGCCTGTGACGAACGGTGAAAATTGCATTGTATGGGCTTTTCCTGTGTGCGTTGTTGTTAATTCGCGACTTCACAACACAACTCGGCCTTCGAGTACTATAGCGTTCCCACTACTCTCTAAACCAAAGTCCACACGCTGCGTTCATCGCGATCACGCGCAGCCCATCTGATTGTGCGTACGGGATCAGTCCCAGTGACTGATGCGTGGGTCCACCTTGTTCTGCGACCCTGCCGCCTGCCGTTCCTCCGGCGGCGGGGAAACACGTAACACGAGGACATCCCTTTACTATTCTTTTTATGGTCTATTCTTCCTTGTACTCTGCGTTGGCGACCGTTATCTTCCAGAACTCAGCGAAAGTCAATCGCGCCCACAGAGAGACGCATGGGACTCCGCGACAGGCTGCTACAGTCGGATTTGGCCGTCCCAAAGACCCAATTCCAGTAGCGCTCGGCGGTATATAAAGGGGAGGTACACAATTGTTCCAAAGCACTCGTGCTGTGCGTTTCTCATCATCGCGCTGTGTCTTCCGCCCTCGACAACGATATGTACAATCCAGCCAGCTCAAACGAGCCCGCTCACGCGTCCTGCTCTCGCTCTCATCTTCGAGACCATCCTGACCCCAAGCGCCACAGATCCGAATTTCCTTACCGACGACCACAACAGCGGCCTTCAGCCTCACCCTCAGACAGGACGCAGGAGATATTATCTCCTCGACTCACCAGGAGCATAAGTGCATCATCGGGAATCGTGCGCGGGGGCAACGACGGCTATTCTGGCTCATCATCCGATTCTGAGATGCTAATCCCAAGAGCCATATATCAGTCTGCTACAGCAATAGACGCCTATACTCCAACGCCTTCACCTTCGCCATCGTGGACGTCCAGGAGTATTTCGCCATCTGCTACATCCGTCGTGAGCGACGAGATGCAGGACAACTTCTCCAGGAAATTGAGCATGAGACAGCCTCGGTATTTCTCTGGGCCCAGACTCCCCGCGCCGCCTATTAAAGTGAGTTTTGATTCTACCTTCATCGATGATGGTGCTGACTTATCCGCTCACAGGAAGGAGATATCGTTGAAGTGCGACGCTTCGAAAAAGATTCATTGACCTGGACCAAATGGCAATTAGGGAGGGTGGTACCTCAAAGTCATATGATGGTTCCAGGATCAACGCAGTCAGAAGTATGGCGTTCTGAAATATACTCCACTCTCGTCCCTAATTTTCCCTTAACAGCCTTGCTATATCGTGAGGCCCGTCAGAAGAGGGCAAGACGTGACGACCAACCAACACGGTGTCTTCGAAGAGTCTGAAGCTATCAGTAAGCATATTCAAAGCCTAGGGGAGATCCGTCAAGTCGGAGGCCTCGACTGGAAGTTCGATGAAGCAGCGGTAGTCAGAGATTTCTTGAAGTCAGAGGTACGTCTTTTGCCATTTACTACCCTTGTCCGTAGTCCGTTCTAACCCTTCGTGAATACCAGAACGTCAAAGACGTCTATGCAAGCGTCGCCATAAGTCTCGGCGGACAAGCGCCCGCCGCTTCGCCGCCAGCAGCCGTACCCGTTTGGAACCCCGGAGAGATTATCGGCTGGACGGACTCCCATCTGCGCGTCAGGTTAGTGGCCGGCCCATTCAAAGGACAAACTCGTATGGTCGTGGCGGCCCTTCGGTACCACCCATCGACCGTGAAGGTTTGCCTTCAGAGAGGCGACCGTGTCATGAAACCGGATGGCACGATCGTTTCGCTCCAAAAACGAGGCACTCGGACCTCCTAGATGAACCCATTTGACGACGCCGACACGGCTATTTATACCCTTCGAAATCAATTGTGTACTTGTATCCCCTTCTTGAACATCTTTTGGTATCCTTGAGTTCGATGTTCATATCTGCTCTACTGTTGTTACATACTTCATAGTTGATGGTCGGTGATGCTTCTGTCCGACTCGGAAGTGTGGCGCACCTGATCGACGTGCTTCCCTTGGACAGCTTCCCTTGTTCCTGAAGGGTGGACAACCTCTTTTCTCGACGGGTTCCAACGAGACCCTTAGTCAAATCCATGGAGGAGTTTAAATATTGTATGGGTATTATTAGCTGCTCTATTGATTCGCCCTTCTACGTGGTGCGGAAAGTCCACATTATCTACCAAACGTACGATAGATATCGTGACCGAGCGTTTCTAAGTCGTGATTGTCGTTAAAAACATCCAAATCGTGTGCAGTGTCCGTGCCATGAATAGAATGGGAATGCAAATGGAGGCGAGAGAATATGCGTGGAGAGTATGGTGCTCAAGGCAAATAGTACATGCATATAAAGTAGAGAAAGCGAAGTATGATGGAAGTAGAGAAAATGGGGGAAAGAACTAATAGACAAAAGAATGGACGATATGCACAGGCATAAATCACTGTTAAGCAGGATATGGATGAGTGGATATAATAACAATTGTCGGGCGCGGTATTTTATGATTACCGTTGGGTGATAGGTGTATGGCGCAGATGACGAGAAGACGGGGGAAGGCAATGAAGAAGCTAAAGGAGTGTGTGTTGCCTGTGGGTAAAGTACAAGCGATGTTTGACAAGGTGGGCGCCTGCTTCGACCTGGTCGGGATATCGAACCAGGCAGACGGACCAACAATGACGTCATCACATGTGCGTCCAGGGCTGCGGATGTCTGGCTATGTCTGATTATGCACCGCAGGACAGAAACCCCGGTAGGTCAGGCAATAGGCTGCAGGCCCAAGCGTGGTAGATGCGTCAGCGCCGAGAGCGCGAGCCAAGATAGAAAAGGACAGGTAAGGAGCGTGATGGGTTGATGATGCTTAGGGTGAACGTGAACGTTGGCGTGGAAGGCGTCGATGGGAGGTGTTTGCTCCATGGACGAGTTAGGGCTGGGTTGAGGCCAAATGTCTGGCCTGGCTGGAGCCGAGAGTCGAAGATAATGTGGACAAGAAGCTGCGGGGTGAAGTACTATTTCTCTTCTTTGAATCGCTCTCCACCCTCTCCTCCACGCATGATGGCCTTCATGAACGAGAAGAAACGGTCTCCATACTCGGCCGGAGGTACAGGGCTAATTTTGTGCTAGAGATGCCAAGGCAAACGAAATGTCAATGCCAGTAATGCATTCCACCAATACCACAAAAAAAGGGAAAATAGAGACTCACTCTATCCGCCTTCATACCCTTCCACAAATGCTCTATCTTTTTCGCAGCGTTGTAAGGAGTGAGAATATCGATGACCCCAAGATAGTATATCATGTTCATCGGCTCATTGTTGTCGTCTGTTGCGAACAAGCCTCCCTCGTCCTGGTAGAATATGAACTCTTGGCGATCGCCCGTGTCTTGCTCTGGCAGTCGAACGGTGTGCTTGCCCAACCGTTTGGGATCTGATGAGCGCATCGCACGTCGCATTGCAATCGCCTCTGGGGACTTGCTGCCTGCCTGCGAGGCTTTACTGCGCCGCGTTTCTGGAAGGTCGGGCTGCAGGCAGAGGGTCATTAGTTACCTTGACATCCTTGACAGACAGTGGGCAGCCATTGCCGTGGATGAATGGAGACTCACCGAAAAGACTTTGAGTGTGTTCTTCCGCAGGTTCTCCCTGTTGCCTCGCTGCATGTTGTGTATCCCAATCAACAGGCTGTAGTCCATCACATGCACACTCTTCAGAAACTCGGAGTCTCTCCGCAGCTGTTCCGTCAACAACGCCCTCTTCTCTGGACCTAGTTCGAGGGTGTTACCACGGTTGATCCAGTTGATGTCCTTCAACACGGCACGGGGGTTCTTCGCCGCCTTTTCTTCAGGATACTCGCGACCGACCGTACTGCCCTTCAAGTCAAAGGTCTCGTGGATATCTTTGTGGGCCGGGAAAAGGTTGTTCATGATCACGAAGTGGATTTTCCGACCTCTTGGGAGCTTAACGCGATGGAGACCGTAGAACCGGCTGAGTAAGGTGTGGGGGTTGTCCTTCACATACGCGTAGTACTGCGGTAGGATACTCAGCAGGAACTTGTGTTCTGAGTGTCGGATCGTTTTGATGATGAATCTATAGTCTCTCGAGAAGTAGAAGAAGGAACCCGATTTTCCTGGCGAGCCGAGTTCGGAGAGAATGTATTTTGCTGTGAGTGAGAGGAGATAGTCCGCCGGATCGAGGTGGAAGATGTCTTCACGGAGGTAGCGGAACACCCATGGTGCGTAGTCTTTGAATTTGAAGTCGTATTTTGCGGAAGGAGTCAGCTCGTTTCCAACGCTTTGATCGGGTTAGATAAACGACTCAGCGAAAAGAGAAAGCAGACTCACATATCAAACGAGAACTTGTGTTTCGCGTTGAAATCCTCGTCCTTCAGCTGTCGTTTGACTTTTGCCTGACATCGCGAAAACTGATGGACAAAAATAAACAGTGAGGGGTGATGCTGGCGTAGAAACGACAACATGACGTACGCCAATCCTTATGCCTGTTAGCATATTGTACATCAGCACGTAGTTCACATGGTCCTCCCCAATAAGATTGCCCACAAGTGGCCTGTCTGTGTCTTGCGGTAGCGTATCCGCCCTCGTCAACGCCGCCTCGGCCTCCTGCTGTTGCTTTGCCCGTTTCGACATCCTTTCTCGCCTGATCCGCTCTGCATGAATCTCGATATCCGAGGCAAGCTCTACGCTGCCTTCGCCCAACACGGCATCATCCACAGTGAACTGCTGTGAAGCACCTTTCCCATGCCCAGTAATGAAGCGCCGAGGTAAAGCTGTCGACCCCGTGGTGTTCCGCCGAGCCGGACGCTGCGGAGTCGAGGGCGGTGGTGGTTGCAGATAGCCGTCGACGGAAAGGTGGGAAGCCGCCTTCGATGAAGCCTCGGGTACAGACTGCGTCGCCTGCACCAGCGGTGGTCGTGATGCTTTCGTGTCTGTTGACGACCTCCGTACCGTCTCTGGCGAATGTGTTACACGGAGGGTGCTGAACTTTGAGGATGATGTCGACGATTGTCGGTCATGACGGGCTTCTGGCATGCTGGCCGACTTGGGGTGGGCTACTGCGAGCTCCGGGTGCTTGAACGACGAGGGCGGCTGAGGCACGTTTTCCTCGACCTCCTGTTCTATGCTGGCAGGCGGAGACGGTGGAGGCGGACCAGCATGGCTATTGCCGTTGGGCTGGATCGCATTCATGACAGTCTTCCCTAATCCTTCCACGTACGAATCTGGTACGGGTCCGGGCTCGATTTGAACGGTGTCGTTGGTGACCTTTACGATGTGCAACTCCTGCGTGCTCGACAGCGCGTATATTGGATTAAGGTTTTCGGGTTCTCGAACCATCGGGCTGACTGTCTGCCCCGACGACGAGTGAGACGATGTGGTAGAGAGCGCGAATGAGGCATCTGAAGCAGCTGAAAGAGGAGCAGTTCGGTAGGAGGCAGTCGGTGAGGAAAGTATGGAGCTCGTTGACAGGAGACTCTGTCGATGGCTGTCTGTCCTGCTCGGCATCGATGGCGATGGCGAGCGACGTGGCTGGGGAACGAGGACGGCGGCACTCGCCATGATACGAGGATAACAACGGGTGAGAAAGGTAAGCCGTTCAACCATGCATATCAGTGGCTGTGCATCTGCCCAACGTGTTCTCTCCTGCCGACGGCCCGAGTGGATTTCCGCAAGGTAAAAGGTCAGTGTCAGAAAGTTTGCATGAATCGAGATTATACGTACGGACATTCGGCGAACATATTCTACCACTGAGAGGAGTGAACGCACTCAGAAACGCGTCCAGCGCGCGAGTAACGAGTTGTTTCAGAAACTTCTGTCATCACTTCGCGTGATTGTCCCTGAGACCTGAGGCTTGGCATAAGTAGTTAGCATAGAATCAATTTTAGAGAGGGCTTTCTTCAATAGAAGGCCAACCAATAGGTTCCAACAGCCAGAGAAAATGCCTTTGGAAGAGGCCCATTGGAGATGGCTTCTGAATGGCATAGCATCCCGAACTATTGACAGTGAGCAAAACCGCAGAAGTCCACAGACGAATGACAGAGGAAACATGGAGCCTCTCTCCGAGTCTTTACATCTAAAAGGTTGACACTGTAACAGAGACGAATAAAGCCAGCACGAGGCACGGGAGGTAAATATATGCGCTCGTCAGTCAGAAATGTGATGTATGACCCACCCGACGAGGACTCTGGACAGAACAGCGTCTAATTCTAACGGGATCAGGTTCGTCACCAGCGGACAATATAATGGGTCTCATAATAAATTCACCTTCTACTGCCTATCTGGCTCCGCGAACGTCATGCTCGATGAACTACGGGTTTGTAATGCCCCACTTCGAGCAATTGGCCAGACTGATTGTTCACAGAATTTCCAGTTGATTTCCGAGTCCTTAAGATGATCATGTCTGAAGATGGTGGTCAGCGGCAAAGAAGATATCCCTGGGTGACTGTGAAAGTCGGGATTTTCCGGCTAAACATTGCACGTGAGCAGCAGCAGTGGCGCGTGTAGTTTTCTTCCCCCTTCTTTGTCAATAAAAAGTTGCGCAACGTCGTAACAAATATCCATCAAGTGAAATGTCTCTTCATGAAGAACTCTCCGAATGCAGAGGAAGGGGTGACCGTACATATGTATGCGTCGTTAACGGTAGTGGCCCGGTCAGATGCGCCACACTTCCCAAAAGTGAACGTAACACGGTGAGATAAATCATCAACGCACCATGGCTTAGAAACAGGAAATTACATCATTTGAATTCTGACGGCTATTTAATGCCAGGTTTCAATAAATGATTCAACGGAATACCATCCTCTTGTGCCTCGAATCTAGAGTCGCATAAGCCAGCATCCCATTGAAATACAATGGGCTCCAGAATTCCTTGTGTGCTCATGCCTGCAAACCGCCGACTGTCCCGACCTCGCCCCATCATCAACGTTGAAGACATCGAGACCGTATCGAACCTTCCCTGCTTAGTATTTCGGAAGAGTCGACAGGCCATCACGTTCATTAGAGTAACGTTGAGCACTCCGGATGTTGAAAAGGTTAAGGCCCGCAGTCGCCCTGCGCATAAGTTGTGAGGATGCAATTCGGGCTATGAGAATGAAAATGCTTACATGAAATAGGCTTGCCCATTGTGTAGTAGTGCCTTCGATAATGCAGGGAGATGGCGTCCATAAACCATGGAGTGGAGGCCATTCCTCATGTTCCGGCTTTCCGAATACGAATTTTGGAGTACACACCAAACGAGCGCAATAAACAGCAGCCAGTCATTGATGGTTACCACAATCGCTGCGAATCCACCATATTTCGGAATGCATGAAAGGGCCGTCGGAGAGTTCGTTGACGAAGCGACGTAGATGCGAGTCGATGTGTAGCCTTGATTCGACAAGGTTCGACAAGTGATTGGCATTCTTGGCTTGGAGAGGAGGATGCTTCTAAGTCAGGGACAGATAAATAAAGCAGCCCGAGATCAAGCGCCCAACGTCAAAAATCTCGTTTCTATCGCTTCCGTCCTCCGTTCTTCAAGGTGTTTACGAGAAGGGGCACTCAGCACGAACACCGACGGAGACAAGCTATATGATCTGCAGGGTATCTCTGGAGCGAAACGCAGTAAGTTATATTCATTTTCAAGTTTTACACATCTTATGCTTCGACCAATGCGCCTTCTGGCATTCAGCGTCGCAATACCTCGTCTCCCCACACCCTGCACCTAAAAAATGAAGTCTCAACATACTTGTGGGTGCCAAAAGTAACTGTGATTATGTAATCACATGCTCCAATCAAAGGCGGGGCATCCCAAAGATGTGAAGCACACTTCAATTCAGGTGCTTGAATCACCCCGAGAAAAGGCATAGTAGATTAGTCCTGTTCAGTATCTATGTATTCTACACATTAAAATGGTATGTGGCTGCCCCGCGCTTCCAGGAGAGCCGCTACTCGGTCAGGCATCTCAGAAATGTGTTTATTGACGCACTCGATCGGTATCTGCTCCCAGGCTTCGATAACAGCCAAACGGAGTTCTTCTACGGATGTGGGATGATGTGGCCTTCTTCGTATAATTTGCTTGAGTTCGTGCCAAATAGGCTCAATTGGGGAGAGGTCCGGAGAGTTGGGAGGGTGATAGAGCTGTGTGATGCCATGATGAGTGAGCCATCGTTTCGTTAGTTTGCTGGTATGTGCTGGTGCATTGTCCTGCTGGAAAATTACCTGGCCTCTCTCGGTCCTCATCTCTCTATAGAAGCCCCTCAGAGCCCCCTCCAGCACTTGCTCGCAATACCGGGCAGTGTTCATTCCTCCACCTTTGCCTCCTGGGTACTCCAACACAACAAGCGGCCCTTTTTGACCCTCCATTACGCAACCCCACACCATTACTCTCACTGGCGACTGCTTGAAGGTCGCAACAAGGCATTCATCGAGGTATTTTTCATCCGCGCGCCGTGTGATGTAAACGCGTCCATGATTGTCGCCGAGATAAATATAGCATTCGTCGGTCCACATGATCTTCCTCCAATGGCGGGGCGTGAAGTCACAATAGAGGTGAGCCCATGTGAGTCGTGCACGCTTATGAACCTTCTTCAGGTAGGGAACCTTGCGCGCTACCCGGCGGAAGTATCCTGCGTTGCGCAGAACCCTTCGAACAGTTGACCCCGAGACTGGTGATGGGAGTTGGTTTCCGATGTTGGTAAAAGGTGTTCTCCGCTCCCTTCGGGCAATGCGTATGATATGACGCTCCGCAGTATCGTCAAGCTTGTGTGGACGTCCCGACCGGGGGAGATTCTCTGTCGAACCCGTTGTCTTGTACTTTTTCCAGATGTACCGTGCTGCGCTGTCATGGATGTGGAAAACCCGGGCCGCTTTGGCGACTGTTGTACCCGTGAGCACGGCTCCGATGAACTTGTCTTTTATGGACGATGGATACTGGCGTCGTTCTGTCTTTGGTTCAGGCATGATGAGGGAAGAGCGATGAGGACCGCGGAGGAGGGACGTTCAACAAATGATCGGGTCAGATCACATGGGTCGTGTTTATTATATAATCGTAGTTACTTTTGTCACACGTGAGTATGCCGGGTTCAATAGGCCAAGGGAGACACGCACATTTCCTTAAGACGGCGGACGGGTTCCCGCACCAGGAGCACCGGTACAGCGCAACATTGTCAATATTCACCTTCGAGTGAAGGTCACCATTGCCTCCATGGTGGTGGTGGTGGTCCGCTTGACTTCCACCACCCTCTATATGCACGTTCTCGAGCCAGGCCGCAAGGTCGTCGTCAAGCGTTGCGCAATTGACAGATGGGATGTTCTTCGTGGCACCACCCTCTTCAAGGTGATTGAATATTCTGGAGAACTCATTGAGCCCCGAAGCGTAGTACTTGATGGCAGCCGCTTGGGTGGCGTAGAGGTCAAGCCTCGGTGCGGTGATACCCATGAAGTTGCTGAATTGGCGGCCAATGTCAATCTTCCTGACTATTTCCTAAGGAAAAAAATCAGTGGCAGAGGCGAACGATATTGAGGAACCTTACATCAAGCTCTCTGAGGTCAGGACTCAGAGCGTCCTTGAGGACGAGAGTGAGGAGAACGGCCCAGGAACCGACCGTCTGCATATGGCGGCTGTCAGGCATTGCACAGGACAGATACATTTTCGCATCTTCGAGAGCGCTGGTCAAAAAAGCAGCTGCCTCCTCCAACTTGCCGTCGTCAGTAATGCTGGGTCCGTATTCCAAAAGTCGCAATCCCATAGTCCCAGCATGCTCAACGGCCCGCATCAGCAGCATGTGTTGCAAGAACGGCACTATTTGTTTGCACTTCAACCCTTTCTTCGCTGCTCGTAGACCCTCTGAGTCTTCCGACCGTACCGCGATGGCGTAGTAGAAGTAAGCTTGCTCCGGATTGCGCTTAATGGCTTTTTTTGCCAGCTGGAAAACGTCGGCGTTGCGTTCCTTCGCAATCATATATTTGATATCGAGGATGTCCGCAAAATCCAGCTCCTCCAATTTTCCTTTATCTCGAATAGCTTTCGCTGCGATAGGCAGAGAGTCAATCCACATGGTGAAAGGGAGTCCGGCGTTATAAAACTCTCGTCTACCCGTGCGAGGGTCCTCTCGCTCGAACATCCCATTCGAGACCGCATGTTCAGCCTTTAAGACCAACGATGCCTGCTTCAGGCCTAGAAGTCGCGGTCCTGAGCAACAGCAAACATTGCCTTTTGGAATTCGGTGATGCAAGAGAGCGTTTGGTAGACGTCACTGCGAGCGGGCCCGTGACGATTTAGGACATCATTGAGAAAGCTCGGCGCTTTCCCTTGTCGAACCTCAGTGAAAAGTCGCATAGGGTCGAATTTGCGATTCTCTTTGTCGTGCTCATCTTGGTAGAGGCGCATGAGGGCGTTAAGGCAAATACCGCGGGTACCCCAGTCCTTGCAGCGCACTCCAGCAACTAGAAAGCCAATTGAAGACGGATAAACTTTGAATGCGTCGGACTTGTAGAGAGTCGACATCACGATAAGATCGAGGGCGTGCTCAACCAAGTGCCTCGGGTCCCGAGACGGTCGTTTAATGGTCTCCAGCATGGCTTTCAGGACGTCGGTCATGTCGAGCGCGCGGAGAGCTTCCGGGTGAAGTGGCCCTTCGACCCCTTCAACGACGACAGAAACTGAGTGGGATAGGATTTTAACACACAGTTCCGTCACTATATCGTCATTGGGAAGATCGCGAACCAACTTGGTGAGCTTGCGAGCGTGCTTTGCGATATCGAGGCGGGCGTCGATACCTCCGTGTCGAGTGATGACGGTCAAACATCGTAGTGCGAGGTGTCGCGTCTCGTCAATGTCCAACAAAGGTAAGATCTTTTCCAAGACGCCTGACGTTCGAGAGTAAGAAATAACACAAAGACCGAGAAGGGTGATAGCCAACCTTTCTCGAAAAGTTTGTTGCGCAATATCGCATCTACACACATTCGGGTGTAGATACCCACAATCCCGCCTCTGATTCTGAAATCATCGGGATTCTCTGAAAAGACCTTGTCAATTCGTGCGAATAGGACGTCGAAATTTGCATGTATTTCTTTCAGACCACTTCGAGTGGTGAGATCTTGGAACCGTTTCCCTAATGTCAGCCTTGGAAGAATTTCTCGGAGACATTTCGCACCTGGAAGACCGAAAAAAGTGCATAAATTGTCAGCGATTGCATTCCAGCCTTCAGAATTGTTGATTTGAGGGACGTGTATGCTGTCGAAGTCGGCATCTACTTCCGTAGAAGCAGACTCTGTCCTTCGCTTTCCTTTGGCCTTTCGTTTCGATCCACGACCGGGAGCTGGCATGCTGCTGAGGAGCGGGGGAGAAGACAGGTGCGTTGCCCATCAGGAATCCGAGGGGTTTATCAAGGGTATATAGATTTGGTAGTACTCGTCAGGGATTGACATGTCGCGTGTCACACTTCCCCTCTACTAAAAAACGTCACGAAAATAAAACGTTTGACTAGATGGACATTCTATGTACAAAGAGCTCAGACAAAATGAATTTCTTCAAAAGAATGAAATGATCATAAGCTAAGGGGCGCCTTTCCCCATGTTAGAGTATACATTAGATACAAGTAAGTAAAGTTCTGAGAAAGAAAATCTACTGAAAGCCCACTATCCGTCGCTGCACATGTCATCATCCTTTGGCGTCGGTGCCACTTTCTTTGTTCGAGACGAAGCTGTTCGGTAGGGTTAGTTAAAGGAAAGATCCAGGTCAGTGGTTCGCAACTCGCCTTTCCTAGAAGCCCGCTTCTTCGCAGCAGCTTTCTTGCCCTCCACACGCTTCTCCAGAGCTTGATCCTCTTGACCCTGTAATTTGTGCTCCTCCAAGATCTGTTATACAGGAACTGAGCCGCATCGCAAGCTTAAAGCTGAATTGCTCTTACCTTCTCAAATTCATCGAGTTCTGAGTCAGGTTTATCTTTTGATTTATTCGTTCGAGCCTTTATGCCGGAGGAGTCGTTAGACGATTGATGATTCTACAAAGAAATCCCACTTACTTTCTGGAGGATCTCGGTGAAACGTTCGTATACTTTTGGTTCATGGAGTTTGTCTCGATAGAACTGCAAGCCCTCAATAAGTTTTTTGACCGAACGATCTGACTTGAAGGGCAGCAACGACAGGCAGAATGCGACATCTCGCCATTGACGAGGGTCTTCACTCAACCGGAAGCGTTGGCAAAGTTTCTCGACAATCGTCTCCGCTTGTTTTTCCTACAAGACCGTTAGGAAAGAATAAGGCGAATCAAGAACACCATGCTCACCTTCTCGATGAACGTAAAGATATAGCGAAGCGTGCTCTGAAACTTCTCCTCTTCCAAAGCATGATCTCCGGTAGATAGGTGACTGATGACATCGGGCAGGTTGTTGTAAATCGCATTCTCCTTCGTCGACAGCTCAGTGAAGAAAAGCTTGGCAAGATCCGCAATGCGAGGCTCTGGGTCCTCGAGGCACTTTGCCATCTCGCCCAACTGGCCTTTAACCTTGATCATACCGTTCAGGATGAGATGCGTCAAGACCATGAGAGTGTTCTTTTTCACGACAAAGTTGTTGTCTGAGAGGCCCTTGTACAGTTCATTGCTGTTTTCGTCGATGATGCTGCTGAACGAGACGGCGACGTCTCCAAGAGCGATAACAATGTTGCTCCGGATGTTGGCGTCTTTGGAGGTTTCGAGGATTTTGAAAAGTAGACGGTGGTTTTGATCGCAGAACTGCGAGCTCACGCAGAGGAACTTGCTGAATGCTAATGTGGCAGCTGCGCGAAGTGTTCGATTCTGGTTCAGAAGATTTAGCCAATCGGTTGACGAGAGGGGTACTTCATAACTGACCTTGAACTTGTGAGGACTCCCACATATATGCACAATCATCGGCCCAAAAACAGCCAGCAAAGACTCCGGTCCGTAAAGCAGCTCTTGCTCGCGGACAGCGGCAATACGATCACCGATTTCATCTTCAGCATTTCCAACCACCTGGTCAAGCTCTTCGCCCTCCTTGTCTTTAGCATTCTTCTGGTTCTTATTCGCGAGCTTCTCAGCTATGTTTTGATATCAGCTAAACAGCCATGGAAATTGGAAACAAGGCACAAACCTGCCGTCTTCTCATCCTTCTGCCTCTTCCACTCACGCTCGACCAGCTCGAGATAAACAATATGCTTGATCGCGACATGACCCACAACAAACAGGAGTTGCGAGAGCTCAAACGCTTCCCCAAGATCTTTCTCGTTGCCGTCCTGCGTAGCCTGAGTAGCATCTTGCATGGTTACATCAGCGGTCGAGATGAAGGTCGCATCTCCTGGTTGGTCTTCGACCATGGCGTCCGGGTCTTTCTCCATCCCCTCTTCCCGTTCCTGAGACTCAGTAGCAGCTGGCGGTGCCGGTTTCTTTTCATGCGAAAAGGCACGGACGGTCATCTTTTTGATGACCTCATTGCAGAAGACGTCGGGATGGTCGCCTAACGCATATACTGCGTTGATGATTTGTTCAGCCATACCGAACCACTCCTTGGTGCGTGAAGGATGCAGGATGGCGATCTGCAATTTGCGGAAAATGGCATTGTCCATCTCGATGCGTTGCGTCTTGTCAAGTAACGAACCTGGCTCGACAGTTAACAACGTCGAGGACGGTCAAATGCGATTTTTGGATACCTTTGACTTTCTTTGCACTCCCGTTCAAACGCTGAAGCGCTACACAGGTGTATCTGGCCAACGTTGGGTCAGCCTAGAAAGGCACTTGAGCATTCAGCAATGAGCAAAAAAGGGACACGAACCTTTCCTAGCGGTCCTAAACCGACTTTCAGCATCACATCGACCTTATCGCTTAACACACTCCTCTTCGCCAACGCAAGCATGCCGAGTATAATGACAGCACCACGGCGCTGGACCTTCGGTAGCTGTCGCTCTTTGCCTGAAAACATGTTTTAGCATAGAGAAAGTTATCGAGAAGTAGACTCGACATACTGTAAACCTGCCACAATTTGGCAATTACATCGTGGTGAATATGCCCCTCCTCCATCATAATTCTCATCATCTCTTCCAAGCTCGTCAGCTCAGCCAGAGTCGCTTCGTATGTACGCCTGGAAACGAGGATAAAACTGAACTCTTTACGAACTGCAAAACGGAATGAGGCCTACTCAATTAAATTCTTCGTAATACGATTGATCTGCTCTTTAGCATCGAGGTCGGCAATGGGGTCGAAGTATAAGTTCCTGTAGACCTCCAAAAGGCTGCGTCGAATACCCTTCAGTTCTTGACCGTCTTCCGAGGTCGAGTTGTTGTTGTCCTTGGTCCAAATGAGATGCAGCATTTTCTTCACGCCCTCCTACATTGAAGGATTCGTCAGTCCCACAGCGCATAATTTGAGCAAGCAAGACGAACCTTAGCGCTCTCGAATTGATACGCGTGAGCAACCTTAAAAAATTCCATCACTTCGAGCACTTCCGCCTTGTTCGTCGAACCCAAGAGTTTACACATTGGCTCCATCGCACCCTCGATTTGATCTATGAATGTAAGGGCGTCCGTGCTGTATTTCTTCTGCATCCGGAGCTGCTGGATCCCCTTTTCGCCATATGCAGCTAAGACTTCCTGTTCCTTGGTAAGGGCGTTCACATCCAGTTGCGACTTGCGTGGTTGGAGCTTAGAGGGCTTCTTCGGCGTAGCGTCTGCATCTGCACTTTCATCGACAGCCATCTGAGAGTCCGCCGGCTCGTCTTCTTCTGTGTCGCCCCCTGTTTGATCTTCCTCCTCATCTTCCTCGTCAACTTCCTCGTCGTCAACATCCATGGACTCATCATTCTTAGATCTGAACATAGAAAATGAAAAGGATGCAAAAATGTAGACTGAAAGACGCACTTCTTCGATTTCTTTTTCTTCTTTTTCTTGCCTTCCTCGGCATAGCCGTCTGCTTCTTCTTCAGCATTCTGCACGACATTCCCGACGGAACCCTCGATCTTCTCCAACTTCTCCACCTTGTCCTTGTACTCAGCTTCCCACATCTCCCTTTGCAGAGGACCTCCAAATGGGACAATGTATGGATGGGTCAAGAGGAGCTGTACAAGTAACGCCGCTGCAGCCTTCCTGACGCTCGAATTCTTGTCGTCAAGAGCTCCGACTGAGGCCGTGGTAGCCTGTAGCCTGATCTTAGGGAACTTGAACGACGTAATGCTGAAAAGCTTGGCGATAACAACAAAGACCTTGGAGCGAACATAGGACGAGTTGTCCAGGACTCGCTCAAGAAGGAGGTTGAAAAGCCCTGTAAGCTGTTTCGTGGTTTGCTTCTGGTCGGTAGTCTCGCTGTTAGCAAGGTCCGTAATAAGGAAACCGATAATTTCAACGATGGCTTGGCGCATTGGGTACGACTAGATCCACATGGGTTAATTGTAATCAACGCATAGATTAAGCTACGCACCTCTGAATCCAGTTGGTTAAGCAACAGGCTGAGCTGTTTTAACACAGACCGCGGACATTGCTCCGCGTATTTGACGAGGAACTTTGCGAATGTTCGTGGACTTTTCGTATCCTGGCCGCTGAATGTCTTTCCGGCAATCTCGCGCAAAATGTCGTCCCCAAGCTGTGAATGGTCGAACTCGCGGGCCAGAATAGTCAGACATTCTGCCATCGCCTCAGAAAGATGCTCGTAGAATTGGAGGGATTGCATGATTGTGATTTGAACAGCCATGGATTGGCCGTGGTGCTTGACTGCGAGACAGATGACTTTGAAAATCGACATCTTGATGTCGTTGACTTTCATGAATGGCTCGCTCTCGGTAAGATGATACGCAGGACGAGTGATGCAGCTGCGGGGACGGTCAGGAAAGGCCAGAGTGGAAGGGATAGCCAAGACTCACTTGACGAAGGTATCCCTCTCTGCTGTGGTAGTCCATATGCGTTGAGTTTGCAAACGAAGCACTTTGCAGATAAGTTGCAGGGTGTTCGGGATTTGCTCCTGCCACGTCCACGAATTATCCACGTTCTTCTTGCTCGCCGAACGTCCAGTCCCCTTCCCAGCAGCCGCCTTCCCCCCTCTACCCCTCTTCGCCTTCGCAGGGGCTGGTGCATCGACCTCTGATGACTTGACCTTCTCTGCAGCTGAGACGAACCAACTAAGCAAAAAAGCGTACATCTCGAGTGGCACCTTGTGCGGCATGTACGTGTGTGTATCTCCGGTCTCAATATCGCGAATAGTCCCATCCAGCTCTGCCTGAAGACCGGACGAGAGCGAGTCTAATAATTTGCTCATGATTGGCCCTGGCACCCTATCTGCGTATTTGAGCAGGCTGCGGTACACATCAAACACCTCCGGGTCGGTTATCGCGTTGCTGGAGTCGGCTACAGCCTCCACAGCAGCTGCAGAATATTAGTACCAGATTGTTGGCCACGTTCAGCACGACGAACCTTCCAGTAGAGCTTCAGGTTCTTCCGTCGTAAAGTCATGATCGTGTTCAATTTCGTATGTTTCCAAATCTTGCAGAGCGTGCAGCTCGTCCTGCAGCTCGAAATTCGTCATGGCGAATAAGGAAGGTGAAAGTCGCTCGAAAACTGTGATATCAACGCGTCCATGTCGCGTGCACACGTGATAAGTTCCCACAGTCATCAACGCGACTGATTCTCCGACGTCGATGACCGAAGCTTGAAGTTCCACTGGCATAACACCCTGTTCTGTAATTTGTTAGGATTTGCATTTAAATCTTGGCATTTAATGTTGCAACTTGCAATAACTTTCAGTTCACGTGCGATGATAGACGTTGCGCGAACAGGCAAGTGATGAAGGCATAAAGCTTATAATTTGGAGAGCATGGTTGTATCGACGAAAACGTGTATACGAGTGCCATAAACCAATCACCGACCAAGCAGCAGTGCTTAAGCAATGAGCGTGGAGGCAGTGGCAGAGTCGTACTTGAAAGTAGGGGGGATCTGCTGCTTGCTCTTGTAGTATCTCGCGAGCCTGTGGATCCTCGACTCGATTAAGATAAGACGGAACTTGGAGTCCTTGTCCTTCCTGTTGACTTCAAGGTGCTTGCGCACGGCAACCGCCTTTTTGATGAGGTGCCAAAGGTCCTCAGGGATGGATGGGCCAAGTCCTATCCCCAAACAAAAGGTATGTGTGAAACCACACGAAATAGAGGACGTAAAGAAGAAAAAGGTGAAAAGAAAAAGAAAGTGTGAGTACGGGCGATGCAGCAAGGGTGTGATAGCGTACCTTGGGACTTGAGGATACGAAGGATCTTGTTACCGGTGACGAAGCGGACTTGGGGAATGCCGTGCGAGTCACGTAGGGTAACACCGATCTGGGAGGGCGTCAGACCCTTGCGGGCGAGCTTGACGATCTGGTCGACGACATCCTCGGGGGTTGTCTTGAGCCACGAGGGAGGAGTACGGCGGTAAGGGAGGGCAGAGGACGAAATGCCCTTACCGGGAGCGTGCATGCGACCCATTTTGATTCTACATGTAAATGAGCGCGATTTCGGCGACGTTGTACAGGTACTCACGAATGATTTCGGTGAGGACGGTCTTGAGGAGGTTGTCTTGAGTGTCGCCCGCAAGTAGCGAACAACGAAAACGTTGTTCCGGAGAATGCCGGTTGGTGGCTGAATTAACTGTACAGAACCAAACCTTGTTTCTGGCCAGGGAAGCTTGTTTGTCTGTGTTTCCAGCACATTCAGCTTGCCCATTCTTTACCTCCTCCCCACCGCCCATCGCAAGAGGTACGTCCCGTCGACGGTGACATTACACTTTTGCCGCAAGGTGAGACCCTCGTCGTCGTCGTAGACCACGGTGCTCACGTTACCTCAGAATGAAGTTGAACATTGCTAGTAAGGATTTATCGGATGATCGTGCGATAGAGGTTGACGAGCGCTCCCTTGTTAGACCCCGCAACCGGGGCCCAAAAACTCCTCGACCTCGACGACGAAAAGAGATTGTGCGTTGAACGACCGATATAGACTGACATACGGAGACTCATGTATTCGTCCAATTATCAGCCGTGTCTTCTACGAGAAGAAGATCTCACAAGAGGTTCCCGGCGACTCCATCGGCGACGAATGGAAGGGTTATATTTTCCGCATCACCGGTGGAAATGACAAGCAGGGCTTTCCCATGAAGCAGGGTGTCCTCCTCCCCTACCGTGTCCGTCTTCTCCTCTCCGACGGCCACTCATGCTACCGCATCCGCCGCACCGGTGAACGCCGCCGCAAGTCTGTTCGAGGATGCATCGTCGGCCCTGATATTGCCGTCCTTTCTCTCGTTATCGTCAAGCAGGGCGAGTCAGAAATTCCCGGTCTCACCGACGTTGTGCTACCCAAGCGATTGGGTCCGAAGAGGGCGACGAAGATTAGGAAGTTCTTCAATTTGACCAAGGAGGACGATGTTAGGAAATATGTTGTGCGACGAGAGGTCAAGAGCAAGAAGAATCCCGAAGCTAAGCCCTACACCAAGGCGTTCGTCCCTTCTTTTTTCCCTCTGCTTAGGGTCTGCTAACAGACAGGATTTGTGTAGTCCAAAGATTCAACGACTCGTCACCCCCATCCGCCTCCAACGCCGCCGCCACCTCAACGCCCTCAAGCGCCGCAAGCTGGATTCCCAGAAGGAGCAAAAGGCTGAATACGAGTAAGCTTGCTGTGCTCCTCAACCTGCACGCCCTCATGTCCTCTCTTTAGCGCTCTGATCGCCAAGCGCGTCGCGGAGAAAAAGGCCAAGATCGCCGCCGTCAAGGCAGCCCACCACAAGACTGCTTAAGCGTCACCTTGTCCCTCTCTGCCTTGTTGGTTTGTCCAGGGTTGTATTGGCCAATCGCATGTTGTCTACGTAATCGCACTGGCCCTTCATGTCTACCCTTGCTTTGACGGCATCTTTATCTTTCCATCTCGCATTGCCCTTCTTTCACCCCTCGTTGTTCACGAACGACATACAATATGCGGTATGCCTATATGAATCCCGTAAAAGCCATGTTTGAATCTCTATTCAAGATTGAACGAATTATGAGTGACGTCGTATCCCTCTACCTAGGTGCTTATAATTGTTCTGTTCCAGTCTAAGTAACTCTCGGTGCTTTATTCTAAGTGCATTGATCAGAGCTTGATCACCACCCCGGCCGTGAGACCTACCAGATGGTCTGCAAGAGCATGTCTATTCAGAGATCCTTCGAGCTCGCCATAAAGGCAAAGAATTAATGTGGCTACCTGCCATGGGCTATCCGCAATCAGTAAGGGTTGAACGACTTGGGCGCTTAAACTGATGGACAAAATTAGCGCCGGGAAAGGTTGGCGCACGTGAAGGCAGCCCAGCCGGCCCTCAATACATATTTCAATGACATTGTGCCAATGTTGTTATTTCTCCAACCTTTACTCTCACGCTTTCGAGAATCTGAACAAAACATTCAAAAGCACGCCCGCATCCCGTTATCCCTGCTACAGGCCCGATCCTCCGTCAGAATGCCTGAACCTGAGGCTGTAGCTGGAACCAAAGAAGCTCCTGGCGAGTCTACCGCTTGGAAGCGCATACATGACGTGGCGAAATTGCAAGGAACCGTAAGCGTTCCGCTTATATCTAATTGAAAGGTTCCTAGTTTCAAGCTGGTTAAAACAGAAATTCAGCAATGCTGCAACCCAGGCTGTCATCCCAACCACTCTGTTGGGCACATACTTTGCCGTCTGGGACGATGCCTGGAGTCTGAGAACGAACCCGGACAGGAGATCTCCTGGCTGGAGCTCAGTCTCAATAACACTTCTAATAGCTCAGACCCGAAGCCCAATGCGGATGCTGCAAACCCGAGCCCGCAGCAGTTGTTTGAGGGCATCGTCGGCGAGTTTCGCTGGTGGCGCAAGATTGGCTCCTTCAGAGGTCTCAAGAGGGACAACGGTGCCTCCGAAAACCTGTGGCGCTTCGACGACGTCTCCTGGCGAGAGTTGGGTGAAGACGAAGGCGGTCCAGACGAGACGCAAGGAGACGAACACTTGAAAGACGGCTTCGGGCTCGCAGCACTCGTCACCCTGGACGACGCCGGCAACCCATTCCTTGAGATGCTGTTTCATACGAAGGAAGACAGGTACGGTCAGTACGATTTTACCAGGATTTTATGGAAGAAGCCGAAAGATACCAAGCGGGACCGCATCTTGGAGATTTCGTGGCCGGAAGCCAAGCGCTTGAGAAAAGACAACGCTGTTCCTCTTGAACGAAATTGGGATAGTGATGATGAAGAAGAGACGAAAGAGACGGAGGGTTCAGAAGTGTCGGATGTCGATGCCGACACCCGGCCTGGGGTCAAACGAAGGGCGGATTTGAGCGATGTTGAGGCCACCTTGAACGAAAATAATGGCACCACGAAGAAGAGGAGGATTTGACAGGTCTGGTCTTTCTTGCACGCTACAGCGCTTGTTTTCTGCACCAAATTTCCAGCACACCGGCAGAAGTTGGGTCAGAGACTTGTAGGTCCAAAATGTACCGTCCATAGATGCGAGAAAGTGTGACCTTTCATAGACAAGTTCGGCATTGCTGGAAACAAACGTTCGCTGTGCGCAGTTGGCATTGGCATCCCAGGCTGAGGGGTCTGACGCTATGCTTCGTTGGAGTGTGCTAATCGCAGCTTCATACAAATGCTTGTATTAGCATCGACCGAGGTTGAATAGCATAGTGGGGTATAAATAACAAGTCCAAGAATGAGATAGTCATATACAAGGCGCCTAGAAAAGGGAAAGCTAAGAAGGACAGAAAACACGACTTGGATAGTATAGACGCACCTTAACTGCCTCATGAAGGGGCAGGAGGCGTAGGTTGCGTCTTTGCAGCTCCATTATCCCCGTCAGCAGACTCTCCTCCATCGAACAAGGGAACATTGGGCGTCCTCCAGGCTTGCGTTGCTCTCCGGACATGTTCTGATAGAGGGTCGTCAGCTGAGTCGCGCAGGTGCTCATTGTCTTCGTCATAATCATCTGATAGGAATTCGTTCGCTGGAGGACCGTCATCTACACTTAGTCGAATACGGCCCTCGCTTCTCGTGAAGGATTTGAGTCTGAGCCAGTAAATGAGTACATCTTCGAAGAAATGAGACAGCAGACAAATAAATAACACCTACTGATGAGATACCACTCTCCGCAGTCCGTCCGCCCGTCTCCAGATGAGAAACAGACCGCATAGGGTGCAAGTTGTAACGAGGAAAATTAAGGGCATGTTGCCGATTGGCTGGGGTTTTGGCGCTTCATGAGGTTCTATAGATACAGTTGAATTGATTTAATCACGAACAAAATGTCAAAATACCTCCTGGAACTGGTGACATTGGGGAAGCGAAGTGGATGACGGGCTAATGAGAGAAACGCGCTGAGAGTGCTGTGCCTGATACGAGTGACTGTGACTGCATATTACGTCGTCACGTACACGGTCACGTGTATATGCCACCAGAGTGACTGTGACCTACACGCGTTCTAAGTTTCAACAATCGTCACTACGTTCTGGGCCACAAGGCCACATCACTCTGACTCCTCTTATCAATTGCAAGACTTTTTCTTCCTACTTTCTGGCTGCACAGTCTTCGAGATCTCATTATGCCTCAAGCTCCCGAGTATGTCGTTCGATATGACCCTTAAATTCCTTGATTAACCGTTAGATTGCATGTAGCGAGAACAACTGCATATTCGAAACGCCAGCGCCGTCAACTGGCAAGCGAACTCATGGATCCGTCACTAATCTTCGATCCCAGAAGAGGAGACGAATGTCGATGTCCTCAGTTGATCTGAGCAGAACACTAGACACAGACGTCAACGTCGGGACAAGTACCAGGCGGTTGGGAGGAGTCGTATGTGGCTTCATTGATGGAAATAGCAGTAATTTCAAAGGTTTCTTAGGCAGACCGCTTCGTGTCGAACCGTCCAAAGACCTTCCTGCCCCTCAACATTACCCCCCGCACAACGCGGATCAGCAAACAGTTTGGTTTAATCGATGACAAGGTCCTCAACTTCAAAGATGACACGGATCTTTTTCCAACGATGTACAAGAAGGACACCACTTTGTCTCTGCTTCGAAAGAGCGCCTCCACCCTCTTCAACGTACCCCCTACCGCTCGACCCTGCTCTGTGACCGAGAACTTGAGCAAACGAAAGCACTGCGTCATGGTGCTCGACAGTCCAGGCGTCTCGGCGGACGCTGACGCGTACCCTATTACCTGGTCACAGAGGAACCTGATCGCCGTCGCGTGCAAAAACGAAGTATATTACCAAAATTTGAATACCAAGACGGTCTCGCACCTCGGCACCACCGCCTTCCCTGGCACGCTGGGCGTGATTCAATGGGCTGGCGAGGATCTGGAGAGCTACCTTGCGTCGGGGAACAACAAGGGCACAATCGAGGTCTGGGATGCTGGCTCTCAGGGTGGGGCAGGCCAGATGTTGCACCGCTGGAGTTCAGCGAGTGAGAAGTCCATCAAGAGCTTCAGCTGGGATCAGAACGTGCTTGCCATTGGCAATGACGACGGCGAGCTATCGCTCATTGATATACGTGCTCCACTAATCGACTCGGGGGTCAGGCCACACCGTTCTTCAATCCTGAGTCTTCAGTGGAGTACTGATGGAAGATTTCTGGCAAGCGGCGACCCAGACGGTGTCGTCCATATTTGGGACCGGAGAAATGGAAAGTCGTTGCTGGAGACAACCGACTCGATCACAAAGATGCGGCACAAAGCCAATGCCCGCGTAAGTCCTTATCTTTCTGAAAAGACGCTCTCACTGACGGCCGTGCGCAGTCGCTTGCTTGGTGTCCGTGGAAGCCCGACCTGCTTGCCACCGGTACGAGTGCTCCAGAAGGAAAGATCCGCATCTGGAGCACCTCCTCTCTGGCACCTCACTCGCCTACACCCCTACACACTATCTCTCTCGACACATCTGTCCTCTCCTTACAATGGTCACCTCACTGTAAAGAGCTGCTGAGTACGCATGGTGTTTCCTGGAAGCCCCTTCCGTCACGACGGCACTCCTCTTCCTCCTCTCACTTAATAGACCGTTTGCCAACGTTCATCAAGACACCACTAACGAACAGTATCACGGTGCACCAGTACCCTTCTTGCAAACGCCTCATGACACTCAGCAATGCGCATTCCAGTGCCGTTACTCGGAGCTGTTTGAGCCCTGACGGTGAAAGCATCTTTACCGTATGCCCGCGCGAAGAAACCATCAAGATGTGGCAGGTCTGGAGCAAGCCCCCGCCCCCGCCGAAGAAGGAGAGCGCCTTCGACAAGTACATTATTCGATGAAGCATTACGCGGATTGGACCGTGGATTGGCCGCACGATCTGAGGATGTAATCTCCGCCATTCTTGGCTCTTGGTGGTCGTTCTGTCTGGGTCTCGTTGATGCTGAGTATGGTTTTTCTATTATTATTCGGCTATCTCGCTATCGTCGTCTTAAGTAATGTATTTATCATGCAACAAAGTCTTGTATACATACAAATGTAAACCAACTACCCCTTCACCGGCATGAGTTGAACAGCTGATAAATGCTCAGCCATTCTTGCCATCAGCAGTGCAACGAGATGTGCCAGATGTAATGCTGAGGAGATCGAGTGCTGGTTAGTTACGTTGGCCGCCCGAGAACCAAGGACGTTGCACACCTTTAGAACACCTTCGTGCCTTCCAGGGGACAATCGGTTGGTATGTAAGAGTCAGTCAGGCAGCAGTTCCTTGAGTTTGCACCCGTGAGCAAGACCTGGAAAGGTTGCTTGGATGCAGGACAAGTTTCTCAACTTCGAAGCCTCATTGCTCCGAAAGTGCTGCCTCAAATTTGAAGGCACACAGGTCGGGCCGACGGTCACATAAAACCCCATGCGTCGGTATATGAGAAAGCATGACGTCGATAGATGACAACGGCTATTTCTCGAAGGAGTCCTACGTCGCCAAAGGGGACCAAATGTCCATATGTTCAATGAAGCATCGCGTTCTCAAAATCTGCAGCGACCGCCGAGATCTGACCAGTGCGGCCCGAATTGTTCTCTCGCGTTCTCTCGTCTATGGAGAAATGGTAGTAGTAGAAATTGAACGAAATGTTCGCATTTGGCGGAGACGTTATATTCGATGGAGGCAGTAGGAGTTTATTGTTGATTCTTGCGATGCGTCGAATGCGTCGAACGGTACTTCCCAGGCCCGAATTCGATTCTCAAAAGTGCAGTCAACCGAGGTCTACAACGGTCCCACCGCGCTTTGGAATGACCACCTCCTGGCAGCGGTTTTCCGAAAGACGTCCGGTGAAATTGCTCCACTCTTGTCTCAAGGCCCGAGCCGGGCTAATGAGCGAGGGAAAATAGCGCTCAGTCTAAGTACTCGTGTCTTAAATTAACGCCCGACAGAACGGAGATGTGGAAACAAAGAATCGAAACTCGACCCTCGACCCTCGATCTGAGCGTCGTCCCTGCGGCGTGAACAACATTCCGAATGTTGTTCGGAGAATCGACAGGAGTTCTCGCCGGCGGCAGTCACAATTACTAATCCCTCGAACACCCCTGAATGACGGATACATGAGATAGTTCGATAATTCTTGTTCCTTGGCCAGGAAGCAGCGAGGGTAACATAGCAGCTTGTCCCTGATAGAGAACGTGTGAATAACTGAGGCGGCGAACTATGCAGCGTGATCATTTCCGTTACGAAGTGTGCGTCTTCCATGCTCGATGACTGAGCCATGGCGTGAGACGGGAAAGCGCTGCTCAGGAGAAGAAGTAAGCTCTGCGAGCAGGAATCTCGGGGTTTGGATGGCATCTTTTGGGATGCGAACTCTATTCCGCAATGGGAAATGTCATCTGAGGTCAGGATCCGGCAGATGCAGAAAACCTGGTCCACCGATGCGTAGGGTCTGAATATTAATTCTAGCAGAGAGTCAAAATATTTGTCAGAGAGCGTTTGTATTGCAAAGACAATGTACACAAAGGTGATATATTAATATGTTGGTTTTTGATCAAAATAGGCGCCCATCACTTTGGTTCACGTTGAGTAGATCAGTCAGACGCCTTGCCACATTTACTTCGACCTTTTCAAAGAAGGTTTTTGCCACAAACCATGCGTCATATTTGAGCAGAAGTTATATGTTGCAGTAAGCGTTTGCTAGGTCCCAATGGCTACTTTTGGACCAATGCGGTTATTCCCGATTGCGCCACAGCTTGGCGGCCACATTTTGAACGATTGGCAATTTGCAAAAAAAAAATGAAGTCATAAAGGACCGACGAAAACCGTGTTCGGCATTGCACGCGAGAATCTGTCTGTCTCTACACGATCTAGAATTATCTCCCAACTTTGAGCTGTCGGACGACTTTTACATATCTTTAGATACGTAGCTACATCCCCTACCATTGTCCCGTAGATCCCGAGTGGGTCCTGGCGGTATATATTATTATTATTGTGCGTACTGAAGGCGTTGGTGACTCCTCCAAGGTTGCCAGGACCTCATCAATCTCATCCTCATTCATTTGGGGCGAACCCCACTCTCTGGCTGCAGTACTGCGGCTCCATCGGCGACTGTATTCTAGCCCACGCGGGAGGGGTCTTGTATGGACGCCTGCAGCTCGGATGGAACAGCCGGAGGGTTAAGGCAAAACTTGTAGGACAAAACAAAATGTCACTTTGCCGAATTCCGTCGAGATAAGATGCTTGCCCGTGTATATACTGTCTTGCGGGACGTCGTACGTGCCCCCGGGTGCGATGGCGAAATGTGACATTGAGGGAATGGAATGGAATGGCTGTGTAGTTAGAGCCCAGACCGCGCAGACTGGGTGATACGACGGCAGCCGAAAGAATCGCCAAGCACATAGGTTGCGGCAGGCTATTCGAATGGAAAGACGCATGATGTTTTCTTTGAGCGGCATCGCGAAGGGTGGACTCTTGGGTTAGATGTCCGACATCCGGACCTGAATGCAATGCAGGCCAGATGTGAGGGGAGGGTGTCATGCGAGCCTAGCGACGCCTTGTTCTTCGTGGATTATGCGGGTTCATATCTCGAAAATCACGCTGTATCTGTGGGTCGCGATCCATTAACGCCGTGCGTACAATAGCGGGGAATCGGGGCCAAACCTATTCATGCTACTGAAGGATGGGGCTTGGGCCGAAATCTTGTGGGCACGTTGTGTCTCCCAAAAGATCGAACACACCCGAAACATCTCTTGACGTGGTTGGATGACATTAGAGAGCAGCCTAAATTGAGCGGGGACAGTGTGTTCGATGGAGGCCGGTGGCGGATTTTTGCGATGCATCGAGCGCGTCAAGCGCCACTTCTCTTCGGAGGCCGAAGTTGGTCTTAGGGCGCAGTGAAAGAGGTGTACGAGCGGCACCCGTTTGCATAGATTTTACTTCAGAATTGCCACCTTCCAGAATGAATTTTTCAGCAGTGTGCCAGAGGACAAGTCTGAAGAGAGTTCTTCAATAGGCACCGGGCCGTACTAACGAGCGAGGGAAAATAACGCCAGTATATTCAATTTTAAATTAACTAATACCTGACGAGACAAAGAGTGATTCCTTTGAAGCTCGATTCCCATGACGTCGATCGGACGAACGTCCCTGCGCAGTACCAGGGGATAGAAACGCCGGCAGATGGTTCTTCGTGTCAGTATCGCTCATCCATGTGACACCTCTCATTTCTTTCTCGAGAAGAAGCAAGAATGACGCAGCCATGACGTAGCCATGGTATTGCATATAGTATATTCCCGATAAGAGAGCATGTTTATCTACGGCGGCGATGAAGCAAGCATGCTCCCACGATGAAGTATATTTGTCTTTTCTGCTGACTTTGGTGCGAAGGAAGAAAGCCTCGCTCATCAGAAGAGATTCTATCCACTAGAAATGAATCTCGGAGCTTGGATAAATCTTCTTTAGATTGTCAAGCGCGCATTGAAAGGAGTATCCTGACCCAGAAGTAGGAATCCCAGATTTCCGTCAAGAAATAGAGACACTGCGGTAGCCTCTGTTCCTCAAGGCGAAACTACTAGGGATTCCTAGTTTATTTGAGCGGAGAACCAAGTAGTTTTTTGAAGAGCCGTAGAATTTCAAAATCGGCAACTTGAAGCCGCCGCCGGTCGCTCAAATCCACAACCGTCGTAAATAAGTATTGTAGGCCATATTCTAGAGTAAGACATGGTCTATACACTGTAGCAATATCTGTCTACAACGTACGTATGTTTGATTTATCGGCCTGTTCGAAAGAAAGAAATATTCGTTTCCAAGTCAAATAGGCGCCCAGCGCGTTGATATGATTGGTTCCCGTTGATTACATCAGCTACACATTCAAAACTGACCACTGAGTACTGACCTTTTTTGACTATCTCTCGAAATTAAACTCCACTGACAAGAAATAATGCATTTGTACATCGAGAATCCATCCAGTTGTAATCGACAGTGTACGTATGCGCGGATCCTCCTTGACTCTTACGCCCACATTGCCTTAAACTTCTCTCCGAACTCAGTGCATACAGAGTCCAAAACTTCGTATACCCTCCAATCCGCCTTCCCGACATGTTTGAGTCTCCGGGCGTGAGCATTTAGGCCGGATGCTCGTGTGGCCCCCGATGTTGAGAGAGTGCTCACCAGGGTAGAATCACTGGATTCCGCTGTAGAAGTGTCTTCCTGTATGGCCGCCTCATCGATATCCTTATCGTCGTCTGGAAGGGGTTCGCTCTCAGCAGGGTCAAACAGCACGTCAGGCGCTGTCGCAAATGGGGATGTTTCAACGCCCGAAGTTTCCGTTATGAGCTGCTGCAACGATGCCCGGATGGCCAGCAGTGTAAGGTAAAAGTCTTGAAGATTATACCAGATGTCTCCTCGCCGAATCCCATTGGCTCGGGCCAACGTGGTTACTTGACCGTGGATCCAGAAATCGAGAATGTACGCATTGAGGCCATGTTCAAGAATGTCGTACTCATTGTCTGGTCCAACGACAAACTGGGACATCGACGGGATGGCATGACTATACAACTTGAGGCCCGATAGTGCGGTCTGTGTAAGCTCGAGGACAGAGTGAAAAGAATCACCAATACCAGAGGTGGCGACAAACAGTGATCGAATGGACGGACGAATCGCGTTCTCCTTGAGGTGTGTTAAGAATACCGAATCCTCTTGGATATCGCCAGATTTCGCAGCGTACTGAAGCTTACTGAGGGGAAGGGTAACATCCGGGCCGAGTGTGGCGGCGTACTGCGTGGCATAAGCAAGTGCGTATCCTTGAAATATCTGCAGAATTTGCTTGTCGTGATCCAATAACGCTGTTCGCGCAATTTCTGGAAGGGGCGGCAAGACGATCATAGAAGGAAGTTCCTTGGTGAGAGCGTCAATATTGGACTTTCGGCCAAAAATTCTCGACAGATTGCGCCTCCCGAAAAGATTGCAAAGGACGATCATGAAATCCTTTTTCGCCTGTTGTGCGTCCGGCTGGTTGCAGATAGTACGGATAACGCCCGAGCGTATCAGCGCTATAAGCGCGAAGTTACTGGGCTCCGTATACTGTAGGAGGATAAATATGAATCAGGACTAGAGACGGCTAAGCGATGGTTGATTGCTTACATATAAATGGTTCGCAAGTGTGAAGTGATTTAACGGCCTTCCGACATCGTCAAGAAGTTCAGCACGTCGAAGGTATTCGATGCTAAAGCGGATGTAGTGGAGAAGTTGGTGGTGTCCGATCTGCGAACTGAGGGAGACCTGGGGCAGCGAAAGGAGACTTCGGACAGCCCGAACTGCGACCTCGGCGTTCTCAGAGCCATCTAACAGGCTAAACATTCGGAGAGTCAACGTGAACGTCAGCGGAAAGTTTCCCGTAAGTGGCGGAAGTCGGGAAAGCACAAGTCGTCGTGCACGATCCAGAGGGAGATTGTAAAACACAACATTGCCTCTGAGATCGAATCCCCTGCGGCCAGCACGTCCAGAACATTGACGATACTAGAAGGAGATTATCAGCAAAAGCACTCACTAAAGGGAAGAAACGAGCGAGCGCTTACCATTAATGCAGTTAAAAAAGGCGAATCCCCACAGAAAACAGATGTTTTAGCTGGCGCGTTTATTCCCAACGCAAGCGTTCCTAAGGTAAACATTGGGGTCCTTAGACTGCTTCTAAGGTCGTGGACAGATAGACAGCTCACCTGTGGATATCATGACACGAATGAATCCTCTTCTGAACAAGCTAGGGGCCGTTGAGAGGTGATTCGCGAAACAGCTGCGATCCGTCCTCACCTTTCTATGAGGGACCTATACTGTTTATTCATTCCCGCATGATGGACCGCAATTCCCCTTCTCAATGCATTCAACGCCCACGGGATGCTTGTACAGGCCCAGGCTATGGCCACGAGATCGGTCTCCAGGTCTGAGTAGGAATAAGAACGCGGGTTCGCGAAAGAGAACTGAGGCGACGGATCCTTTGGATTGAAGGAAGCCTCCCATGAGTGAGATACATCCCTGTCCTCGTCGTCGACAGTCTTCTTCCTTTGTTGCTTTGCCGTTGTGCGCTCACGCAACTTCTCGCGCTCTTTCCAGATGTTCCATTGTCTTACCCTTGCTTTCCAGTTGGGATCTTCGCTGCGCCACTCCTGTTCCGCAATTTCCAAAGCACGGAAAAGTGTCTTCGCCAAGAATTCACAGTTTGATCGATCGAAGTTGAACAGTATCGCAGGCTAAGGAGCGAGGGTGAGACGACCGAAAAGAATCCTCTCCGTGAAGCACACGCACCAGCTGGTCTTTAACATGCAAGCCTGCAAGAAGGTCCAATAAGTCATTTCCGAAGTTTTTGGGAACTTTTTTGTCTTCTGTTTGTTGCCCACCCTGGAGTGATAGCACCACCTGGCCGATCGGCGTGGAAGCATCGCGCGGGTCCCAGGATTTGATAAAATCTGTGAGAAGCGCTTTCAAGCGTCCTTCGTAGCGCAACACATCAGCTTGAAGTAAAAAATCGCGGTTCGAAGAAAAGAAAGTGGTGGGTTGCAAGGTTGTAAGGTCGTGGGTGGCGGCTAGCTGTCCTTTCACGGACGCGAGTTTTTCCCAGAGGGTCAGAGTATCTCCTGCTTCAAGCGAGAAATCCGGTGGGAGAGTCCGACAACCGAAGGCGAGGAGACCCACTGGGTGCAAGAACAGAGAGCGTTTCGAATCTACATGGCGGTCAAGACCCAAGAATTTCTGTTGTCCGACCTTACTGGCGTAGAAGAACTTCCGCAAGTGAGAGTATCGAGTGCGATGTTCAATGAATTCATATTGAATGCCGTGGGTCTCCTGAACCGAACCCAGCCAGTCGCTGAAGACTTCGGGCGATCCTATCGTTGCAGACAGCCCGCTATCGGGGGTGCCGATGAGGGGTTAGGAGGTAAAAAAAAAAGTGGTTCCGTTCAACATACATTATTGGACAAGGGGCCAGCAAAATGATCTGCTCCCAGATCGAACCGCCTTCCTGTTGGCCAATGGTGTGGATTTCATCCAGAATAATTCTAAGCAAAGGCTGCTTTAAGTCCCAATGGACAACATATATTCCAGATTTTTCACACCTTCTGAGTCTTGGAGTCCAAACGCGAGCGCAATCCGGGGAAAGCAGCAGGATACCAAGAATTTCTGGCACAGTTATGAGAATCTGGCAGTCCATAGGCTCGTGGATACGATAATCCCGTGTGTGAATAGCCCAACAGCTCTCTTATCCGTAAAAGATGAGGAAAGTATCGAGGAAAGAATGTAAATAAAACCCACTTCCGTTCATACTTTTGCTAAAGCGTGCGTAGACTTCCGCGGCGATTTGCGAGACAAGCGCCTTTGTCGGTGCAATATAAACCAATATCCCATCGTTGGACTCGCGGAGTACTTGCTCCATGGCGTAGAAGGAAATGAACGTCTTTCCCGCACTAGTCGGGGCTGAAATGGTTTTGGTCACATTCAATGTGCATATTTTGACTTCGAAGCTTTGTAGAGGACGTACCGACAACGAGCAGAGATTTTTTTTGGTCAATGCCATCTAGAACCCGGCGCTGCCATTCATCTGGTTTGAATGGCACGCGTTTGTCGTACGTGCTGTCCATACTGCGATCCATGTAATCGCCAAAGAGTCGGAGTTGCCAGATTATAGGATGTTCGTTAATCACCATAAATGGGTAAAGCGGCGATCCCGACTTGCGATCAACCAATTTAATAAACGAAAGCTTGAGACGTTGGTCCTCTGGAGCAATCTTCGATGTGGTGGAGTGGAAGTGGTCGTAGAAACTGAGGGCTGTGAGGGCTGAGGTGATAATCTTGCACACCGATTGCGGGAGCATCTCTTGTTCGCAGAGTTCTTTGACCTTCCGCATGACGGAGACAGAGTAGAGATCCTTTGCCGACGGCGACTCCCTCTCCGGGTCTGCGATCCAGGTTCGAAAATCGGCGTCAAGGAGGCACAATTTCCTTTCCAGTGCAATCTCTCGTACCGCCATGCGCGGGCTTCGTCCAAGATCTTCGAGTTTTTTAATGCGTTCCGGAAGAGACTGGCTTGAAATTTCAGAAAGCTGTCGTGCCCACCAGGCGAGTGATTCGGATTTGAATTCGGCATCTTTCTTCTTCTGGTTCTCAAGGCGAATAGAATCGGCCTTCGATAGGGTTTTGGCTTTGCCGGCTGTCTTGGACTCTCGCGCATATGAAACCTACAAATAGGCGAGTTTCAGTTAGAGGCAAGGATCATGAAAATGTCGTTTGGTACCTTTTGACGCTGCTCTCCTTTATTGGTAGGCACAGGAGGGATGACGATTCTCTGGAGCATACCACCCGACGCCCCAGTCAATGTCGCGGCTAAATCCTGCATCGAGCTCATGAATCGCTGATCAGCCTTCAGCTTGCGTGGGTTGGGAGGCCCGGAAGGTCTGGATCCACCAAGGTGTGGAGGGAGAATCGACTTTTGATTGTGCCAATGACGGGTGTCGCGAAAGGTAGTCGCTGGCGATCGCGGCAAGGGAGAAGAAGGAGCTTCGGCAGACTCTCCTTCTGTCTCAACATACACGCCTGCAAGCTGCTTATCGAACACAGGATGCGAAAAGGGGAGAAGATGGTAAGTCTCTAGGTTGGCGATGGTTGACGGGGAATAGGAGGGGCCTAAAGTGTTGCCATATCGCGTGGTAAACTTCGCGAAATCCACAGCAGGTCCTGGCAGTCCTTCCCAAATATGCTGAGCCTCGGCATAAGCTCGAGACCCTATGACTTCGGAGAGCGAGCAGCTTTTCAGGAGGACGACATGAATGAGTGCGGAAAATATTCTTCCATCGACTCCCATGCATCCGCGACCAGAGGTGAAAAGATTAGCAGCGTGAGCGAACACACGAGGCAAAAATACACCCGTGATATTGGCCTGTAACTCAGCTGGGAGAATCGTCAGAGGCTGAGCCCTTTCGTGTATCGAGAGCGAGGAAGTTAAAAGTGAATGGGCAATGAAGAGGTACGCAATCTCTGGTTCCACGCTGGCTCGTGTAGATCGCAGAATATCACGGAAGATTTCGACGTCGTTCATTTGCTCTTGTCCATCGGCCACAGTCGCGAGGCGTAAATTGCTTTCCCCGTCGTCATCATCGAAATGTTGGAAAAGGGAAGTGGCAAGATCTCTCTGCGCCTTCCGGATAATGGGGCTTAAGGCGAGATGAAGTTTGGCCAATGAAGAGCTGTGAGATTCGAAGACGAAGGAGAGAATCTACGGTAATCGATTAATGACAGGTGTGGTGAAGTGAAGTGAAGGCCAAGACAAACTTTCGAGTCCCGAAACTCGGCCCCTTTGAGCAACGCTACTGAGATCCCGCTCGAGAGTATTCCAAGGAGGAAAGAGCGCTGTTGGAAGGCCCTTGATGCTTGGAGTTCAGTTGCATTTTCGTCGCTCAGACCTCCGTCATTGGTCATGACGAACATAGGCTAGTTATACAATCAGGGAGATATTTCCTTTGCCGAGGAGAGATTGATCTACCTTTCGGTCGTAGCAATACCTTTTCCATGAATCGTCGTTCTGATCAAAGAACACGTGTACTTTGAACTCGAGCTTTAAAAGATGAGCGAACAACATTGCCCGCGCCAATGCCCGTGATGCGACGACCAGCGGGGAATCACCCGTTTTCGTGGTCAGGTGTCTATTTTCTGGACGTACGATGAATAGGAATGGATCCGTAAACAGAGTAACAACCCACCTTTCCAAAATACGATCTCGAAGTTGGCATTACGTCGCTTGAACTGCTCAAGTAGCATCTCTAGAAGGTAGTAGGCATGTAGGATCTGGAAGCTCGAGTCTGTATATTGCAGTTTAGCAGGCTTTCTGAAGAAGATGCGCGATAGTAGGTTCCTAACCGGAGTCACGTCCGATGGCGAGGAGAGGGTCGTCCAGAACAACTTGAAAGAGGGCCTCTCCTACGAAATTTGGTGCGATGAGCAAAAATTTGGACGTCACTGGCTTTCGTTCGACTTACCATCGATTACAAAAGGCTCGACTCCAGCATAATCACCAAGCAGATCCATCCATCGGGCGACTTTAGTTGCGTCGGTGAACCAGACATCATCAATGAGGCTTAATGCTTTTCGATAGGACTTCTTTGAGGTTATCATGGGGATTTGGATATCGGAAGGAGGGTCCGCGAGGTCCATGGTAGGTAGCAGCGTTGAATTTTGACCCGTGCAGCACTATCGATGGCTGTTTATATAAGATAAATTAAGGTTTGCCTCGTGGATGCACGGATGTTACCGCCTGACGGCCTGGTTTGGAATTCGAATAGGCGCCCAACACAATCGTTGACTGCATCAGCAGAAGAGGAAGTAGTTGTTGATGTACAACTCGCCTTATGCTATCGCGGTGGCCATATTTCATATCTCTCTTGTTCCTTTCACCCATGCTGAACTCTAGGTGAAGATTTGCGCCCTAGACTCAGACTGACAACAACATCAGGGATTCTATGACGTGGCATACTGGAGCCAGAAACGTCATCTGGTATCGTTTCCGACTTTGAATCATGAACTCAAAACGATATACGCCTATCAGTTCCCCAGATTGCAGCAGTAAGTCATCATTGCCTTTGCAATTTTGAGACAACGTACCGCGCACGCTCATTTTACTCGACTCTCAGCTCCAGCATTGGAGTCCATGGCTGCTACTATTCTTCAGGATGCATAGAGTGAGCATGCGGCACGAGAATTCGAACATGGGAGTTATCAAGCGGGTGGTAGTGGCACAAGCACATCCGAATCGCGACGCGGCGTGCAGGGCACCGTGACGGACCCGGCCGCGGAGGAAACGGACCGCTCGGACCGCTCGTCTTCCGAGGAAGTGCTTATAACGCGCACGCCATCGTCGACCTTCCCCACCAATCTCTTATCGATCCCAACCTTGAAGTTGTCATGTCTGCCGGAGGTCCGAGAATCAAACTCAACAACGGCACTGAGATTCCAGCGATTGGGCTCGGTGAGTTCCACTTCGTCGCGGCTGGTCGCTGCGCATGCACGGGGGATCCGGGGCACCTAGCTCACACAACTGGGTTCCAGGGACCTGGCAGTCGAAACCTGGCGAAGTCGCAGAAGCTGTGGCCTACGCCATTAAGGAGGTGGGGTACCGACACATCGATTGCGCCTGGTGAGAACGCGAGCTTCTGTGGTCTGTCTTGGTGCCCGCTGACCCTGGACCAGGGCGTATGGGAACGAAAAAGAGGTCGGCGAAGGAATTCGTGCCTCTGGTATCCCTAGGTCGGACATCTTCGTAAGCCTTCACTTCATCTCTGTCCAACTGGATACCCTACGGCTACATATGGCTAACGACTGCCGACGCGGGACGGTGCTTATCTGCCTATGTTTAGATCACTAGCAAGCTCTGGGGAACCTGGCACAGCCGTGTCGAAGAATGCCTTGACCAGACGCTTGCTAATCTTGGAACTGATTATCTCGATTGTGCGTCTAGCTATACTTTTGCCCAAAGGGCAAGTTCCAACCACCGGAGGTGTTGACGCACGGATTTTTGCAGTGTATCTCGTTCACTGGCCGGTCCCACTGAATCCCAAGGGAAATCACCCCCTTTTCCCATTGCTTCCAAATGGAAAACGCGACGTAGACCATAGCTGGGATCTGAAAGACACTTGGAAGCAAATGGAGGCTGTTTTGAAAAATGGTGAGATAAGTTTCTCCCTCTCACGCCCTTTCATCTGTCTGCCGTCTTCGCCTATCAGTTCTGACGATCTACTGTGACTTCGGCAGGCAAGGTGAAAACAATCGGAGTCTCGAATTTTTCGGAGGCTAAACTTGAGGAAATCCTCCCGACTGCAGAAATAATTCCTGCCGTTGACCAGGTGGGGGAACATGTCCGTGCTTTCTGTGCAATTTTTATCCTGAAACGCGCCCATGAATACAGCTGGAGCTCCATGTGTACAACCCACAGCACAAGCTCATTACTTACCTGAAATCGAAGGGAATAGTTCCCCAGGCATATTCTCCCCTAGGATCCACCAATTCGCCCCTCATCGCGGACGAAGAAGTCGTCAAGGTTGCGGTCAAACATGGCCTGCAGCCTGCGGACGTTCTGGTGGGATACCTGAGTGCGTAGCTTCGGCATCGAAGTTAAGACGCGGGTCTCTCTGACTGACTTGCAACCCACCGTGCTTTTTTTCTTCAGTCAAGAAGGGAATCGTCGCGCTTCCCAAGTCCGTCACTCCTGCACGCATTTCATCCAACTTTACGGGGGCACTAGCCGCTGCGGAGAAGCTTGAAGCCGTTGATATCGAGCACCTCGACGGCCTTGCGGCCGCGGGGAAGCAGAAGAGGTTCGCCTATTCTCGCGTTCTGTTGAGACTGCACGCATTAACGGTGGTTATATTTCTGTTTCGCGTCTAGGTTTATCACACCTCCCTGGCGTGCGTACAGCTTTCTTTCAGTGCCAAAGGAAGCCTGGAATGCTGACGAGCTATTTTTTATCTCTCTAGCCGTCGAACTTGGATTCGAGCATTGGCCCCAGCTGCTTTAACTTGCTAATTGCACACTGGTCGGAAATTTCCTCTGATCGGGGACTTTGCCAAAGGGCTTCGAAACGACGAACTTTGCGTCGGCCGTCGTTGTACATCACACATTCAATAGAATTGGAAATGTCTTTGCGCTTAGTCGGACATGCTCCTGTCTTATTTGTGGGTAATTCTTGGAGCTAAAATTGCGATTTGCAACAACCAGGTTAATTGACAGTGACGACAATAGATTTCTGCGCACTGGATCCCGCACAAGCTTTCATGGCGGTCTCATAGCGCTCCATCTACATTGCAGAACAATCATTTGTTACTATTCTTACTGCATATTTGACACGATGTCCAGAAATTAGAACGGTTACGAATGAGCCTCGTGATATTTATTTCGGTTTCTTTATCATTGCCTACGGCAGTGGCGGAGTCCAGAACGAATTGGCGGAGCCGTAAGGTTCAAACCTGAGGGTTATAAGCGCGCTGGGAGAAACCCGCAAACAAGCAAAATGCTGTGAGAACGGAGCACGAGCGCGTTCTTGTCATCAGTCCGATACGGCTGCATGACCCAAAACCTTGAAGATACTTGATGGAGCTTGTTTCATATCGATATTGAAGCCTATACCGTATGAATTATATGATTATACTTGGGAAAGACGCTGACCTGGAATGGCCCATGCATTTGGGAGGCCCCGTATTCTTCTCAGCCCTTCACTTGAGAGTTGACGTATCCCCGCCCAAAAATGCTTGCGAGGGAGGGGGATCGGTCTGTAGGGTAGGGATCAAGATTCATGGCAAGGAAGCAAAACGCAAGGAGATCGAATCTCTAAATGAAGAGGGGATGCCCTTTCCCCGATTTCTGTTCTGTTTCCTCACGGATGTTATTCGGAGCTGGATTCGAAAGGCTATCTGGTAACACGTCCCGCTTCAAAGATTTCGCGCGAGCGTTTGGCTTGTTGAAATAGCACATGAAAGAAACGAGTCGGTATGAAGGGCTCCTCATTCAAGGATTCCATTATGCTAGACGATCATGGCAGGAATCATTCTGTTTCGAGCCTCCCTTCACGAATGAACGAGGATCAAGGTTTTTTGGGCTTTAAGGGGGAGGCCGAACCTGGTGAACGCCATGCGAGATGTCCAGGCAACACGTGGCAACAAGCGCATGGAGGCGTTTTCCCGATCAGGAGGTACCAGTACCCAGACGAATCCCATGAATATCGCTGCAACCCAAACAATTTTTTCTATACGGGAGCAGCGAACAGAGTGGAGACTTGCGTGATCCCCTAGAACTGCCTCCGCACAGATCGTCCGATGGGGATCACTCTCGACCAGTCCTGGCCCTTTGCGATCGAAGATCTTCCTGGCAATCTTAAAAGCCCGGGATCCTCTGGTCGGAGTGGCCAGCAATCTTCTCCTCATCCACCTCTGCCTCCACCGTCTGCGACGACCAAAATGCCCAGCACCATCACTTCCAACAGCGGGCGCGAGCTTGACGTCGTGTCCGATGCCATTGACGAGGGTAGGCGGCCCCCTTTTTGCATCTTCGGCCCCCCGACGCTGAACATCTTTGTCAGTGAATGTCATCAGAGGCAAAATGTGGGACGACAAGTCCGAGTTCGACGAGGGGCTCGACAAGGCGCGTTTCCGCGACTACGACGCGGCCTGCGACCGCGTCAAGACTTTCTACAAAGAGCAACATGGTACGCGTCGTCTGTTCTTGCACCGAGAAAAATTCTGATGTTTTTTTCCTCATAGAAAAGCAAACCGTCGCGTTCAACATCAAGGCGCGCGTCGACTTCAAGAGCCGGAAACGCGCGCGCATGGGCGTCTGGGAGGCGATAGAACTTTTGAACACACTGATCGACGAATCGGACCCTGACGTTTGTTTGCCGCGTTCCGTTCTGTCTTCAGGCGCTCATGACGTCAACCTTTTTCCAGACGAGCATGTCCCAAATCGAGCATCTTCTGCAGACCGCCGAGGCGATTCGCAGAGACGGAAAACCAGAGTGGATGCAGGTCAGTGCCCGCACATCATTCCTCATCATCTCCGTGCTCATCACGCGTTCACCACTAGGTCGCGGGGCTTGTACATGATCTCGGAAAATTGTTGCTGCTTTTTGGCTCAGAAGGTCAATGGGATGTCGTCGGAGTGAGTAATCTATCCTCCTTTCAGCTCTTACCTTTGCTAACGGCTATTACAGGATACATTCGGTGAATCCATCTCGTTACTTGCTGTCTCCGTGTCCTCGTGTCTGACGTGGCTTCGCAGTTGTTGGCTGCAAGTTCTCTGATAAGATCATCTACCCTGAAACGTTCAAGAACAATCCAGATTCCAACGATGCCGTCTACTCCACCGAGTATGGAATCTATAAGCCGCACTGTGGGCTCGACAATGTGATGCTTTCTTGGGGTCATGATGAGGTACGTCGCTCCCACCCCCATTTTATCACTCTCAGGCCTGACACCTGATAACCTTTTAGTACCTCTACAACGTTTTCAAGGACCAGTCCTCCCTGCCCGCGGAGGCCCTCGCCATGATTCGGTACCATAGTTTCTACCCGTGGCATCGCGAAGGTGCCTATGCCCACCTCACCAACGATAAGGACAAGGAAATTCTCAAGGCTGTCCAGGCGTTCAACCCCTACGATCTCTACAGCAAAAGCGACAAGCCTTGTGACGTCGACGTCCTGCGACCATACTATCAAGGGCTAATAGCAAAGTTCTTCCCTTCTGTTCTCGACTGGTGATCGTCTCCTGTTTTGTCTCTTCGCTTCTCCTGTTCCATATTCTCTTCTCCACCTCGCTTCTAGCTCGCCTATTTATTGCTCTCTGCTTGCTTCCCCTGCTCGTCGTATAATGTGTTTATATTATGTCGTATTGTTTTCTTCTTGCCGTTGTTCTTCCTAGCTCTTCTCCCGCCCATAGACATATAGATGATCTCCGTACGATTCCTTGATTCCTTGACACCTCATAGACTGTACAGACTCGTACTACTCATGATATAGCTTAATTACTTGTGTTCCAGCATATCTCGTACGCATGTAGGATTGTATCTATCGCCATGCTCAAAAATCTAGGAATTTCTTGTTTTCCGACAAATGTCCGAAGCACGCATCGGCCTAAGATAAACTCTTGCTCTGACTGATAAGATAAGGATTTTAGATAATCTCCAACCGCAGGATTCCAACCTCCGTCACCGCTTTCGCTGCCATTCCTCTTGTCCTTGCACCACCATCATGTCCGACTCCTCTGCCCCCGAGAGCACTCTCCCGTACCCGCCAATACACGAGGACAAAAAGTTTATCGCACTATCCGACTGGTTGGTCTGCAGCTCCGTTTTCCTTCCGACTGGTTACCGGCTCATCCATCTGATTGTTCGCCACCAACCTTAGGGACGGCACCATCACCACATATGATTCCAATGATTGTGCGTCACGGATGACTCAAACGACGCCGTGGATTCCCCCCGCGCGGCGCCCTGACAGGATTCCATGTTGACTTGTTGACACGGTTTCCTCTTCCAGACATGACCGACAATCTGGGCTTCGGCAAGGAAAAACGGAGGCAGGGAAATCTGGACATACTCGCCGGGATCGATACATTCAGGTGCGCGTTAGATCCCGAGCTCGAGTGATCACTTTAAGCGCCCGTACGGACGACGCTAAGTGTTTTTTTGTGCCATGTGGCTCTGTAGAGATGGCTTTCGTAAAATGCTTGCTAGCGTGGTTGCGAATGGGCATACATTCGAAGAGTGTAAAAAAATCCTTCGCGACAGTGCGTTCTTCCTTATTATTTTTAGGAGTGGTCGGACTGAATTGTCACTGATGCATTCTTCGATTCGCCTTACGTGACCGAATAACTTGTAGATATCAAGCTTGACCCGGGCTTCAAAGAGTTCTTCTCATGGTGCAAGGCTCATGACATTCCAGTCATCATCGTCTCGAGGCAGGTCGTTCTCGTCGCGCTCCAGACTCACTCTTCTCTGGGAGGATCGTCGCAATTACTTGAATTATTCACTGAATTTTCCCATACTTTAGTGGCATGGCGCCTCTCATCCGTGCTGTGCTCGCGAACCTGGTCGGCGAGGACTCAGCGAATGAGATCGAAATCATCGCGAACGACGTGAAGGTCTTCCCGGATGGGAAATGGGAGATCATGTTCAGACACCCCTCCAGGTGAGCCGTTACCGAGCACTTGTCCCGCACCTTTCCGTGTTGCGTGGCGGCGTCCGTGGGGACTGCCATTTGCGCCACCTCCCGCCAAGTCCATGCTGCGGCAGCGGTGCTCCCTATTCCACGTTTTTTAACCTTTGCCTGGGAGAGCGCGTCGAATTGTGGTCCCTTAAACTAACTATTTATGTCCTCGACCGTGCAGCGGGTTCGGACATGACAAGTCACAGGCTATTCTGCCTTACCGCCGGCTACCTGAGCCCCCGACACTGTTTTTCTTCGGGGACGGTGTATCAGGTGCGTACAAAATACTTGCGGGCGAGCTGGGCGCATCTAAGTTCTGACGCTCGCCTCCGTGGCATTCATTGTGCTGATGATGCGTCTCTCTCTGTCGTGTTGTTGTTACTCTCACTGTTGATCGTGCACCCTGGTCTCCGTCGACTCTGGCTGGGCCCTCCTTCAATGCCGGCTTCCTGATCGCCCATTCCTCGACTCGGAAACCCGCCTTCCCTAGATATTTCGGCCGCGAAACACGCTGACGTGCTCTTTGTCAAAACCAAGGAAGACGGCGAAAACGATCTGGCGGCTTATTGTGAACGCGAACACATCAAGCATATCCTTTTCGACAATTTCTCCAAGGCGCTACCTATTGTCCAGTCTGTTGTGAAAGGGGAGAAGAGTCTGGAAGACTTCACGAAGTGATTCATAGGTTGCGTCAGGTTTACGCCTTGCTGTCTCCTCGTGAGAGTCAAGTGGTGGGTCTGATGGATCCGGGGAGGTGGCGAGTAGCAAGACGACCGTACATGAGACCGCCTAGAAGTATGAGCCCCATAGATGTGGGGTTCTGAAGAAGAACCTCACTGATTTACATACATAGAGTTGCATACATTAGCACTACTATGATCAAAGTATGATGTAGAACAAACGTTCGGTTGCAGTACTGCAATAACCATGTGTCTGTGGACGACAAAAACCCGCTTTCGGGATCAACGGATTTCAGCGGGGTCAGATTCAGGTAGAGGTAGGAAACCGAAACCAAGATACGAGGCCGCCAAAAAACACCACGATCGGCGATCGCCCAGTGTGTGCGCCACGCCGCTGTTGTAATTTGGCGGGTACCTGGGCAGTGAGAAGGCGCGCTGCGACGAATGCAAGAGCGCGAGAAAACATGGAAAAATGAAATAAGCAGCATGCAAGAGGGAGCGACGACTAGCAAAGAACCATATGGATGGGAGACGCCACCAACTCTGTTCTGAAAGAAACGCGTAAAGGAAGGCAAGAGGTGCCTCTGAGGAGCCACGTTATCTGATTATCACCTTCCTTTCGAAATTCGGCGGCCTTCAGAACAGAAAGAAGAAAAGAGGGCCCAACGGTGGCCAATCGCCTGACATGAGGGCTCGCACCACAAATACTGGGGGTCTCGTGCTCAGAAAGAGCAAGGAGTTTCAATTTCGAGGTTTCAGCCAAAAAAGCGCGAGATATGTAGGTCGTAACGTCGGTCGTAGCTTGCATTTGGTGCGATCCAAGAAGGTGAGAGTGGAAGTATTTGGGATGTTGTTCGTGAACCGTAAAAGACCGCAACGACGCTAAAAAATATGCTGCATCACGATTCATGAGCCCGACGATAATCCGTTCATGATCTTCTCGCTCATCCCCACAAGCGCCCCACCGACGCGCCCTCCCAGGCGCCTCCAGTCCTTCGCGCTAAGAGGCACCACATGGATGTCACCCCCGTCGGCAAGCCCATGGAACAACCCGAACCCCCAGCTAAAGCCCGAACCATGTCCGTCATTGCCTCCGAGGACCCCTCCGAGGGGCCCACCAGCCCCAGCCCCAGTTCCCGCCCCTGCGTTCCGCGCACGGATGCCGTATACTGCCATTGCCACGCCCACAACGAGCACGGTGCCGGCGACGACCGTCGTCCTTTTCTCCATATAGCGAAACGGCGACTTCCCGAGGCGGTGGCGGCGCTTCCCCCGCAACTTGTTTGGGCCTCCTGTTTCTTTGCCCTTGCCCTTGCCTCTCCGGCCACCTTTCTCGTAAGCAAAGGAGTCTGATTCCTTGTCCGTGTCGGAAGGCTCGACGTGAGGGTAGACCACGAGCTCGGGGTGCTGGACCATCGCCTCTGCTGTATTGTCTGACGGCAAGGCTGAAGGCGACTCGGACCAGGTGTAGACGACACTCTGCGGACCCATGATGGACGACAGAGCAAGCCCAGAATGTGACGGAGGATACAGTTCGTACAGTTCGTCAGCCCGCTTCAGAAGGTCGGTCAGGTCGAGCTGAGGTCGCCGTAAACTCGAATGTCTGTCCGAGGCGCCTGTTTCCGCATTTGCTTCCGACAAGGGCAGATGGGTGCCCTTATCAGAATTTTCAGCGACTCGAGCGCCGTCTGCGTCGTGCTCCAGTTTGACGGGTTGAAGGGCTGCAGCTTCAGCATTCGCTGGAATCTCCGGATTTTCTCGACGCAATCTCGTGTCCAACCTGCAATCCAGTTTCCCATCCCCATCTTCGCCCTCATCCTCGCCCTCATGTTCGGACGGTATATGCTTGCGCTTGCTGTCTATTGCCAGCGACGTTAAGCCATTCACAGCTGTATTTCCTTCCTGGGGGCTATTGGGTCCGGGTGCGCGACTTTCCGAGGAAATTTCACGGTCGTCATTATCATCAGCGGCTGCCGCATCCCTGCGAATATCGGAAGGCTCGAGGTTAACGTTATTGGCGTTTAGTGATAGATGCTCTAGACTCTGTTCGTCGCCCTCTATTTTGACGTATGGTGTGGAAGATGCAGGGTGGGCCGACGTTTCGAGTGTACGTGGTTGGGGCCATTCTCCAACGTTATCCTCCTCCTTGAAAAAGGTGTTGTCGCAGTCGCCGTCTGACTCTGTCTCGCGCTTATTCCATGGGGAATATTTTTCCTCCACGTCCGACTTCTGCATCTCAGGCGCTCCATCTGCGAGATTCGGCAGACTGCTGAGCAATGAATGAATCATGCCATCCTCGCCCTCTTCCTCCAGCCGTATCACCTCCTCCTTACGCGACAGAATGATCTAGACCCCATCTCGTGAGCATTAATCATGGATTTTGGGGTTTGGGGGTTTGAATATTTGACGAGACTTACGGCAGTAGCGAGGTACACCACCGCTATAGGTGGTCGACAAAGCAAGTAGTCAAAAACGTGTTGGATAAGTGGGAGTGTAGGCATGTCGTGCGAGAATAGTGTTAAAAGGTTGGATAACGCGTAAAAGGGTAACGGCGAGCTCCTTTGGGGATCCCGGTGTTAACGGTGAGTCTGGCGAGAACCAACAGACGACTCACTGTTCGAGAGTTTTCTCATAGTCATAATCGGCCAATTTTAACAGGTGTTTCGTCACTCTGGTGCAAGAGTTAGCACGGCTCCGGCACGAATACCGACAGGAAACACACCTTAGCAGCCCCAGCACTGGCTCTAAACCAGTCCCCATCGAGTCCCGCAGTCGATGTAGGCTGAGCTTCTCTACACACGCAAGATGCATCTCTGCAGGCAACGTAAGGAAGAGAACGGTAACAATGTCATGATATCCCTGTATCAAAACGCCAGACGGTCAGAGTATGCCAAATAGCATTGCATGAACATGCCTGAAAGTAGCTCAATCGTGGTCGTTTCCGGAAGAGGGATACCAGGAGTGCATTCAGGTTGGACTGCAGGGCCTCTCTATCTTGCTTTGGGTCTTTCAATGGTTCCTAAGGAGTTGCTCCAAAGTAATAGAGGAGATATTCCCACCCACTGGATAGAGAACGAAACTGCGGTCCGTGTCGAGACCGATCTGTCGTTCGTCCTGGTGAGGTGATGTTTCCGGTTGCGGGTCCTCAAGTTTGGCATCCTGGTAAACCTTGTGCGCTTTCTCCGGTGAAACGTTGAGAAGTTTAGGCCTGTGAGAGGTTGAGAAGACGAATTGGCAGGTGCAGTGCAGCACTGTAGACGTACCAGAGATCCACCCTGTCCTCTCCAAACCCGCCTGGCTCTAGGCTCCTCTTCCTCAGTGCATTCCAGTCTGTGCTGTGTCGACTTGGTTTTGTGTCGCTTGGGCGCTTTTCAGCGGGCATTATGGGAGAGGTGCATCGAGGTTTCGTACTAGCTGTGGAGGAAAGCTCATCACGTCGGCTGCTTTGTTTACACCTATTGTCCAGCGACTCTAGAAGATAGGGGCTAATTTCCTCTCACCTAGCCTTCCGCCAAAGGTTACGTCGAGAAAAGAACTTCCTCTTCATAGGTACCTCTTCTTGAATAAACACATACAGCGGCATCTTGCTGTGAAAGTAGGGAGGCAGTTGGACGCTAGCTGCGCTGCAAAGGAGTCCTGGTGTGCACGTGCTTACTGTGTGCACGTGCTTACTGTGCACGACTTCAGCCTGCCAGCCTCGCCTCATTTCCAACGCCAAGGCGACACGTCCGTCAATTGACCATCACAGTGCTCTCGACCGTTGCTTTTGACCTTCACTGTACACTATTCTTATTGTCGAATTGTCGACCTCAATGGCTGCGCATCTATTTTCAACAAGTCCAGCAGCCAAGGACCAATTGCGACTTGACCTGCGCTGGACCCGTGACAGAACAGCCCCGACATAAATAGCGGAGCGACCCCGGAGGCTGCTCAATTGCGTCAGTACTTCGGAGTACGACACCCGCAGAAGACCTCGTGCACTGCCAGACGGTCTCCACGCCCCACCACGGCCTCCACGTCAAGGCAAAGGGATTGCTTTTCTCTTCCCTACCTCCATCACTGGTATAACTGGCACAGGACCCTGGTACGTTCAACGCGAATTCTCCTATCGTGCAGCTGACCGAATACAAGATTAGATTGTACGACCTCCGACGATGCGATTCACCCTTCCGATTCTTCTTGCTGTAGCCTCTTTGTCACTGGCGTCATCGAATTCCATTCAGGATACCCCAAACCACGCTGTCGTTGAAGATCCTCATGCGCATTCGCTTTCGAATCCTTCGACGGCCGGCTTTTCATCATGGTCGTGGCTAGGTCGTCGTACCTCACCCTCAGAAACGACGGCCGCTGACGCTCATGCACGAGAATTGCCACGCTCGCGGATCGTCAGGCGCCGTAGACATCCGTAATCTTCGTTTTGGATCCACATCGATGTCCGTCTTTCTTGGAAAACTTTCATACGTCATTGAACTGACATTCTGCTCTAGTTCTTCCAAACTCTCGTTGTTATGATTCTATGCTTCATAAAGACCCTCCATAGACTGGACTACGAACCACGATTCTCCAAGACTTTCCATAGACGAACAGACGCTGTACAGCACCAAGTTCACGATACCAGGGACTTTTTTTATACCTTATATCCCTATTATATCTCCCTTGAGGACACTGAATTCCGATCCCCCTACTATGTATTATCTTTTATGACCGCTAGCGGTTACAGTTAACGACCTTTTGCGATGCATTTCATCACTTCATGCCTCTTCATTGTCGGCGGCCCGTGGAAAATGAAATGCACAGCTTTGATTTCAATTGACGCTTCGAGCGACGTTTGCTTTCGTCACAAACGACGACACCTATACGGCCACGGCCGCCCACTCCCTCGTGCGAGGGCTACCTCGTACTCCTAGCTCATCACACCATACAATCCAGCTATAATCCAAGTCTTCTAGGCCCTAATAACGAACAAACCACTGGTTATCTCACTTCGTAATTCCTGCCCAACACCATGATGCGACTACCTACCTTTCCTCGTTCCACCATCCTCGTGCTCGGCTTCAACTCAGTACAGTCACTAGTACCGTCTACTCTCATCTCGCAAGTCGAGTCCCTGCTTGAAAGCCACCGTTTGGAGGATGCATTCAACCTGGCCGATCAGCGGCGAAAGAAGTTGGAGGAGAGCCTTGCTATTGACGAAGATGAGGTGCGTCGTCTGCTTGCTTATTCTGCGACGTTGTACTTAAAGAACGGCTCGATTTTAGGCAGAAGAACTCCGCTACGTATACCAGCGGATCGGATTCCAATGTTTCAAGGAAACACTGTTCGAAGACGCCGGGAAGCACCTATTCAATGGCGAACTAGATCCTCGGCTCCTAGTCAGCTATTACCCCGACCTACGAGGCTCTCTGTTTAGCGCAGATGATGCTATGGACGTGTTTGCCGGTGTGGAAGAACATATGCCCATGGAAGGCTCGGTAGACGACATAAGTAAGTCGGCGCTGGTCACTTCACCACATATACCATACCTCCCCTTTACTCCCTCCCTTGTCTTTCCTATTTCTTGCCCGCATTTGGGGCACCTGTTGACGTCTGCTTCCCTTTTCACATATATCTACAACCCATAACCCACCCACCCAACCATAACCTCCAATTCTCTAAACCTCTGCCCCAACCTCCTTCTACTACCCCTTCCGACCTGCCTGTCCTCTGTGCCCGTGTCGGAACTGACGCTCAGTCACCATGAACTTAGTCAGGAACTACTCCCCGCACCTGGATACCGCGAGCGCACCGCCGACCGCAGAGCTCCGCAAGATATTGGGCATGGCAGCGAAAGAGATGCTCGAGGTGTTCCTGCGGAAGAGCCGCGCGCGCCGTAGCGTCGCGAGGGGTAAGGGTGTGGGGAGTGCAGGGGACTTAGTTGATGTGGTGAGTCCTGTTCCGTTGTTGGGTCAATGTTAGATGATTAACGGGATGGCGCGTTATTCGTGTTTTGGAAGACGATAGACACGGTCCTGGCGAAGCTGCACGCAGAGTTCGAGAAGACGAAGGAGTTGTACGCGCTCCTGCAAGAGCCAAACGACGTGTCGATACCTGAGGTCGAGCCAACACTACAGAAGACCGGTCAGTACAATGCTCTGTGCATGCTATACAAGCAGAAGGGGGAGGACCTCAAGCTGCTGGAGGCGTGGGCCAAGTACGTACTACTTCTCTTTGGTTGGAGCGGATAGGCTGACCATTGCTGACCATCTGCACCCAGGTTGGTCGAGGGCGAGTGGACAGACGACGACATCCAGGACCCGCTATCCCAGATGGTTGCGCTCCTCGCGGAGAAGAAGGACAAGGCGCTAACACAACGGTGGGGTCTCTGGTTAACAAAACGGGATCCTGAGCGCGGTCTGAAAGTAAGGTCGTCCTTTGCCTGATTTTTGTTTTCGTGCTAAATTGTTGCAGCTCTTGATGCCACGAGATACTGGAAAGCGGAAAGAGCGACCGGAAGAAGATATTGCGCTGTTGGAGCAAATACATGAAGCCAACGCATCTGCTGGAGCACAGTATCTGGAGTACTTGGTCCTGCAACGGCGCAGCTCGGTAGGTCGCTGCAACTGGTTCGATCGTACCCGCCTCTGACTATTCTGGTGCTGTTTTAGTCGAAAGAGCTTCATATGCGACTAGCAAACTCGTGCGTCGACCAAGTCCTTTCCCACCTCAAAGACGACTCTGTATCGAAGCTATGGCGGGCGAAAGGTGAATATATGCGCATTTTCTTGACCAATTTACGCTTCTGACGCCTTGACACCTACAGCGTCGTCATACTCCTCCTCTCGCAACGAATCCTCCTTCCTATCCTACTTTTCTTCAACAACACCGGAATCAGAACATAAACGTGCACGGCTAAAGACGATACTCCTGCTAGCTGGATCCTCTCTATACGACCCTAATTCAATACGAACGCGGCTGTTAGAGCAGGAGAAGATACTAAAGCTAGAGTTGGCGATCATCGATGGCAAGGTTGGCACCTTGACGCGTCTCTTCGCCGAAGTCGCTGACTTTCCTCCCTTCAGCTCGGCCAACATCGGTCAGCACTCCGAATCCTCGTGCACGACATCAACGACTCAGCATCTGCCGAAGCGTACTGTACGCTCGGAGGCGAGGTCGTACCGCCCAAGGTGGCTCAAACCGTGGCCGAAGGCAGCGGTCTACAAGATTGGGTAGTGACGTTGTTCGGCCTCCCACCGCCTGCCAAGGGTGTGAACGGGCGAGGTGCTGTAGGGCCGACGCCCATTACGCGCCTGAAGACGGTCAATGAGGAGCTGAAGAAGGAGCTGCTCAAAGTCCTTTTGGAGGTCTATATGGATGACAAGTACGTTTTTTCTGGGGTCATCTTGGGGGCATTACGGCGTGCTGATGAGACCGCCTAGGCAGTCTGAACGCGCGTCGCAGCTACTGAATGCGCAGGCGGTGAACCTTGATGTACTAGACGTGAGTACCCGGTCGCTTCCCGACCGGTGACTGGTCTATGTTTACGCTGAGCTTAGGTCATCTCCTTGGTTCCCTCGAGTTGGCCTGTGAACATGATGACATTGTTCCTCTCGCGGTCTTTTCGAAGAACGCTGCACGCACAGCACGAAGGTAAAATCATCAAGAACATCAGTGCGGGCCAGAATCTGGAGGTACGTTATACAGCCCCGCAATCTCGTTCGCATCTATCTTCTTATCGCTAACGTAACACTTTTTTTTCTCTTTCTACGAATCCTCCTTGCTCCTCGCACAATCCTAGGTCAAGGATCACACATGGGGAATCCTGCGAGAGGAAGGCGCGATCATCGAGGAGGCAGTGGAAGATGATGATGACGAGGAGTCCGAGGAGGAAGACGGGGGCCCTCAGTCATTTGACGAGAAAAAGGTGCCGCCCCAGGTACTCTCTGTGCATGTGCCTCCTGCCGTCGATCTGGTACCTGGGGTGAATGGCGGGGTGGGTTTGGCCAAGGTAGCGCCAAATAGTGGTGGTGGGAGAGAACCTGACTTGGACATGGACGATCTTAGATAGCACACGTGCGGCATACGGATGTGTACTGAGCAAGGGAACTTTGGGGATGCTAATGGTCCTTGTGAATTCCGTGCTTTCTACACTTTCCTTTGGTGATCCCAGCCTCACGAGCGGCTTTTGGTAGAGCAGACCTTAAATGCCGTCTGAGCTTTTTTTTCTGAGTTCTCCGAAAGTACAGCCATTCACTCGGAGGAGGATATCTCCGAGAAGGGATGTTTTTAGTTATTTTTCTGGCCGAACATGCGCAAAAAAATCTTCCTGTCTTCCCACCACCACAAACTACCAGTTGGCTGTACTGACTCTCCGCTCACACAGCCTTGTGAGCTCTCCGATCAAGCTCCAGAGGTTGGACGTTGAAACGTTCGACGATCCCCAAAAACAAAGCAGAATTGCTATCTTTTGCAGTTACCTCTGCCTTGGGTTATGGCAACACTTTCCACCACGTCTAACTGTGCTTCTGGACCAAAGATTGCTCATTTTATCTGTTACTTTGTTTCAGATACCATCTGCTGGGAACCTCACCTGTACAGTTGCTTTTTGTTCTTCTGCTCTTTTTCTCGACATCTGTATTACATCAGTGCCGCCGCCGCTAGTGACTTGCAAGATATATTCATCATGGCTGGTCCTCCGCCGTACCGCCACAAATCCAGATAAATATTTTGTTCGTCGGCGGCTTTGGCAAGCATGTCGGCAAAAGTGGTACGATATCGATGACTGCGATCAGGATTCCCTCCTGTCAATGCAGAGATGCTTCCAACACCGCCTGGTACCATCTTTTTTGACATCTATGGCTCACCAGGCGTTCTCTCAGAAGATTTTAATGTCGTAGGCCTTTTTGCTACCTTGTATTTCGCTGAGATTGCCGTCCAGAGGCATATTTACCAGCGCCTGGGGCTGCATCTACCATTGGAGAATGTGTTCCATTATCTACCCGAGAGAACGGGTCTCGGCCGACTTCACGTTGGCGAGCCTCCCTGACCGAATGCTTCAGGACGCAAAAGGCAGTTGTCTATTAGGCTACCTCGAAGCAACGCTTCCTGCTTGGCAGGGAACACTCGTTATAGGCAAAGATTGTCCCATTTGCGCCACACCGTCGGTGCGCGCAAGAATAAGGAAAGTTACCATTCTATGTCTCTCATGCTATCTCACTCGACACCACGGCGACTGTGCAGTTATCTCGGACGACAGAGCCCTCATGTTGTAGTTCCTCCTCCATTCTCACCTCGTTTTACCTACATCCAACTTCTTATCCCCGCTGATTTCTGGATGACGGTCAGGTGGTACCTCTCCAAGGTCTTCTTACGTGCTGTTTCGTCCAGAGCATTCTGGAGGCCTTTCACATGACCTTCATCATCCCTTGGTGTCCCTTCTCTGCTCACCGCTTTCCCCCGCAAACCTGCCCATTAGGCTCATTAGACTTCCATCTTCCAATGTCTAGGGCAAGCCACCAGCGTCATTCTACAGCTTCTCACTCTCTCGGCCCTGGGACCCCTGATCCGTTTCTCTATGACGCGACCTGGGATCAAGTACATTTATGAAGAAGCTTCGATCTCACGGACGGATAAAGTTCCGACATACGGAGTAATTCGTGGGGATCGGATGTTCCCAATCTATGGGCCTAATTTTGAAAACGACCGGACATGCCAACGCCTGGGGAAAAGCCTATCGGTTTCATAATGGCTTTGTCGACATCATTACTACGGTCTGCAAGATGCTTGACCCTGGCGGGAATTTCCACCATGCCCGTTTAAAGGCCATTTGTTGTCATAGGCGCTATCCGCCTATATCGGCGGAGATTTGCCCTTGGACCTCCTGCCTCGTTCCAAGTCCAGATCAAACACTAGTTCGGCACATTGTGATACGACTCTGGGGCCAAGAAGCGGGGCCCTTCCTGGTGGTCTGGAGCCCTGTGGATTGCAGAGGCAACAGTCTCTTGTTACCTCCTTTTCTTGTTCAAGGGAAGTATCCTCACGGTGTGCGGACAGTGGAATAACCACAACGTAAATCATAATTTGTGCCCTACATTTAATCGAGGCGACTTCCTCAAATCCTTACCCTGACTCTAAGCATAAAACTCTCATCGCTTGTGTCTCGAACTCCCAAGGCCAAGCGAGACGAAGATAAGCGCCCGTCGAGGTTGATCGTCGCATGCGAGCGCCAACCTTGACTTATGTAAAGCTCGGCTTTTGCCGACAAGTATTATCTCGCCTGTTGGCAACTGTTAGCAACTTTTTGAATTTCTGACCGGACCTCAAGTCACCATCATCAACCTGTACTATATGGTCGTGCAAAGAGCCGACGTGCTGAGACCTCTATCAATACCCTTGTGTAGCTATTGCTCTTTAATTCCAGTAGCTCGTCAGCTGCTGTTGGCAGTGTTTAGTACTTCTCACAATTTGTTGTTTCTTAGCCTCACTTATATATGGTGTCTATACCGAAGGCGACGACGAACAGGGAACAGGTTGGACTCGTCGGATCCATGGTATTCAGGCAGAGTGGTTCGAAAAATCGCCCTGGGACGCTCCGAAGTCCTAGAACTAATGGTTGTTAATTCCCTTGAAGTAACGTTGCTTCAATGTTCCATGGGATCCGCTTTCCACTGGCAGGGTTGCGCGTACTGGGGTTTAAATTTTTAAATCTAAAAGGTTGGCTCAATCTTGACAGACCATAGCAGCAACGACTCAATAAAGTATTTCAGTCTTTCTTAGTCTAGATAATCCAGGATTTCGATTGTTTCAAAGGCGAGAAGAGGAGGCACGAGTTGAAGGGGAGTTATTTGTTCCGAGTGAATTCCGAAGCCATCTATAGGGAAGCAAGAACTCTGAGTGGGAACATCAATCGGACCGGCCATGGCCTCCTTACCAAGATATAGTCTTCCATCACCCACCACTTTCTGAACTCCCTCCCCCTCTTCTATTGCTAACCCACTCCCACTCTCTCTCCCTACGACCAACTTCGAGTCGAACGATGCCCTCATCCTCATCAGATCCCGAATCCAATCTACTACCCTTCGTGCCATCTCAGCCGTTCAAGCTCACCGTGCAGCCCAACCCGGGGTGGACGTACGGACAGAGAATTGCTGAGACGGAGGACGGCAGGGCGTGGACAGAAGCAGGCGAGAGGGCTGGCTGGAGAGTCATAGATACCGCTACGGAAGATCCGAGGTGCGTGCGTTCTATTTTCCCAGTAAAATTAGGCCATGAAAGGTAGCTACTGGGTGTATCTAGGAAATTGTACCAGATCCTGATATCAGGCATCGTCCCGCGGCCCGTCGCGTTCGTCTCGTCTGTATCTAAAGACGGTGTCGAGAACCTCGCGCCGTTCAGGTGCGTCCGTTCATATCTTCTTCTACGCGCTGCACCCTTATCTTATCGATGCACCCCAATGTTGCATAGTTGGTTCAGCGAAGTCTCCTCCCGACCCCCCGTGATCTCCTTCTCCTGCGCCTACGCAGGCGCGTCGCAGGATGGTCCGAAGGACACCGCGCGTAATGTGCGCGCCACGCGGGGGTTCACGGTCAATATCATCAGCGAGCCGTGGATCGAGCAGGCCAATATGTGCTCTATTGACACTCCACCCAATGTGAGCGAGTGGGCGGTCAGCGGATTGAGTAAGGCGCCGAGCGTGAGTGTTCGCTGCTCCCTCGTCGGACGTCCCGACCAGGAGGACTACATTATCGCATAGAGCAGAGTGATCTGACATGGACCGATGTGCACAGATCTCAGTCAAGGCACCTCGAGTGAAGGAAAGCGCCTTCAGCATGGAGTGCGAGGTCTGTCTCCCGCCGCCCTTTTCCATCCCTAAACCTCAGGCCTCAGATTTAAACACCACTCTAGTTCCTTGAAGCAATCGACATCACCCTCCCCTCCACGGGCGAAGTCACCGCGACGCTCATCCTCGGCTCCATCAAGTACATCCACATGCGGAACGACGTCGTCGACCCCGCGCGGGGCGTCGTGGATGTGGGCCGCCTGCGTCCTGTCGCGCGCCTGGGTGGCCTCAGGTATGCAAGGGTCACGGAAGGGTACGATATTTCGCGGGAGAGGTGGGCGGAGAGCAAGGAGAAGATAAGAGAGGCCCTCGAGGGTGAGGACGATTCATGACCGTTCGAGGATCTGTTGAGGATAAATGGGAAATTGCAGCGTGAGCGGTTGCGCGACCGAAGTAAGAAATGATCGACGGAGGTCGAGGTCGAAAGCTTTTGTACGTAGAAGTTTGAAAGATCTGGAGAAGACACGAGAAAGTGTGGCGCCGGTCCCGTGAGTAGGCAAGTTCAGATACAGGGAAATAGCCTTCAGAAGAGTCTAGATGGAGAGTCAGAGGCGCGCATGATTTCCAGGTAACACGGTTGCTGAGGGAGGGAGGGAAGACGGGCAAAGATTCTAAAGTGAAATCGATCGAAAGCAGCCTTCCATTGTTATGGACATATCCACACTCAAAACCTCTTTCCCGAATCGAGAGCAACTTTCAATTCGTCCTTCCAGTCCGCCTTCCACGGTGGCAGGTCTGCAGCTGTCGCCTCAATCCCGCAGGGCGTCAGACGAACCAGGCTGCATCCCGGAGCACTCAGCAGCATCATAGGTACCCCCAGGCGACCAGGCTCCTTTGCCTAAATTTCTTTTGCTCTCTCAATCACACCGTCAATTCCAGAACGTAGGCCGAGGCGAAGTTCGTCATTGGGAATAGTTCGTAGGGCCTCCTCTATAGAGACAACGAACGTGTCCTCGAGTTTGAAGGCTTTCGCGATTTGCGCGTCAGTACGGAGAGTGGTGCTCGCTGTGAAGGTTCGCGAGAGGTTCATCACGAGAACGTGAGTGAAACAACGGTTCAGGTGCGCTTGGAGTTCGAGCGCGTTGACGAGCGCGACAGTCAGGACAGGCTTGAAGACCTGAAGGAGACGAATGGTTGTCAGGGGCTACAATGCGATTGCGCTGGTCTGTAGAAAACACACCTGGATCCATTTTGTGAACACTTTCTCCGCCTGTTCGAATGTGACTCCGTCGTTAGCTGGGCCCAAGGCTTGATCACGCTCTCGCATGGCCTTTCGGGTGTTCCTATTGGTTTCGCAGTTGGGCTTATGCTGCTTCCAGTTGGCTCTCTGGCATGCCTGATTCTACGCATGTTTCTGTGAGTTTTTCAAGCATATGTGAAGTGATTTTTTGTTATACGCAGTAGTGAGCCCGCTTGCACGAGCAAGAGAGGAGAGGCTGCTCTTTCGAATCAGACCTGAAGCAATGCTGGCATTGCTTGAGCGATTGAGCGCCTGGTTTGAGTTGCACGGAGGGCATTGTACTTGCAGTAGTCGTATATCGTCTGGAAAGTCGATACGACGATATCAAAAGGTGTCAAATAACGAAGTTGTGGCAGAGGTATCAGTTCAAGGGACCTGATAGGTTCAAAGTAAGGTACGTCTTGCCCTGCCCTGAACTTGAGTCACGGGTTGCAAATTGGTAGCTGGCGGGCCGGACATTCCGCTCACTGCTTCCTCTCAACGGGTTCAAACTTAAATATTAAATGAGGATTGACTCGGAATCGGATTATCGAGAAATCCATGGTGATATAGTCGAAAAGAAAGACATATGTGTGTGTCGCGTACCAAATTAAAACACAGCACCCTTGTCTATCAAGAGCTTCAAAAGATGCTTCCAGTTCTCCCTCCTCTCCATCAGCTTAGGATCGAATTTGTCGAGAGTAATCGTCATGAGCTGCTGCAAATTCAACGACTCCAAATAAACCACCATAATGAGGATCCCGAACACCGCCCCGGTCCTCCGCATTAAACGGGATTGCTCCACGCTGCTCGTTATCGCCGACCGCATCCCAGCATCCGTCAGGGTGGGCACGAGTGCGGCAATGAGTTTGACTTCGGCATCTTCGACGCGGAAGTACTTGACGATGTCTGATGAGGTTGCAGCTTTTGGGGTTTTGGACGACATATTCTCGACGGCAGTGACCCAGAGCATGTGCGTGAAGCACCGGTCCTTGTCCGCGTGCAGATCCAGGGCGTCGAGAAGGAGTGTGGAAAGCACTGGTTGTGCCACCTATTCGGGATGGGATTATGGCCTTTTGATTGAAGTAGTTAGAGCCTTACCTGCTGCCATTTCTTGAACCGATGGTCCACCTCTTTGAATGTCAATCCGTTAACCATCACACTTTCCTCTGTGGCTTTCCTGACAACGCGATCGCCATTTTGATTCAGTGTGCATGCAGCTTTATGGTTCTTCCAGTCATTCTTCTGGCACTCCCTGTTCTAATCGGCGTTATCGGGTTCGATGATAAACATACGAAGATCGAAAATCAGAGTATCATCTAGATTGGGAAACAACGACCTACGCAGTAGTGTGCCACACGACAGGCGGCACAGGACATAAGCTTCTGGCCGTCCCCTTCAGAGATGTGGCAATACATGCACTGCTTGAGCCAGGCGCCACGTTTTCCGAGAGGAGCGGAGGGCATGATGGCGGTTCAGATATTTGAATCTGAGGGAGCGAAAGGCCGCAGTTAATCGACGTTGTGAATGAAGAAAACACTGAAGATCGTGATGATAGAAGATGCGAAAGACATGGAAATCGAGAGCGTGGAAGTGGACTTGAGGGAAATCACCCACGGCTCTCACCTGGTCATTATGAACCTATAACGGAAAAGGGTGTCAAGCATCTCTTAAACCAGAGACTTATCCAAAGCAGATTATCTTATCTTGCCAATCTTATCTGTCATACACTCCTAGCAGCGCAAGAAGCTCAAGGGGAGACGGTATGCCAATGGATACTTATAGGGCGGATATTCTATAGATGGAAGGGACTTCGAATAAAGAGGAGTGACGGAGTACTTAGATAGCGAAGGCGCCGACGAAATAAAAGTCGAATGGTGGCGCGCAATGGCGGCGGGCAATCTAGGCAGTGGGGATAAATCATTGGATTTTACGACGGCTAGAACTATGAAGTGGTCAAAGGGGCAGGTGAAGATAAATTTTACCGAGACGCTCCCTTCTAAAAAGAGGCCTACACAGACAACGATCGCACTCGCTAGGAGTAGCGAGGACACAGTGCGCATGAATATGAAAGCATCCATGTCAAATTAGCGAAGAAGAACTTGCTGGCGACACAAGGAGTACTGGGTCGTTATTTATCTGTTAGATCCATGCAGTTAAAATCGAAGCCCTTCAAACGAGGAATAAAGCTAGAGGAAAGCGAGAGTTGTCTGCGGATTCGGAACGGAGACTCAAGACTAACTGTAGCATCGCCAGCGCGGGACGTTGCCTATTTGATATTAATTGTCAGGGCGGTATGACGAATTTCAGAGAGAAGCGACTGCAAAGGTTACAGTGAAGTGCTACGAAAAAGAGATTGGTGTGGCGTACCTTTCCCTTTCGGGACGCGTCTACCATCAGTCTGGATATTATGTAAAAGTATAAGAGACAAAACAAACCTGAAGTGATCGACTACCAGAGGTCATTCAAGGATCACGGAAGGCAGATAAAGTGTGCGATTAGTGGTTTTGACAACTACTTTATCAAGAGAGTGCCATATATGCGCCGCGGAGACCAACATTGAACAGCTTGCGTGTCGTACTAAACAGCAGGAAATCAGCGATAACTTTTATTTTGAAGCTTACTCTGCACTGGATCGTCTCCCGTCGCTCCCAATGCCAACGCCGCCGGAAGCACTAGTACTTGCCACCAGGAGCGAACATCTATTTCTTTATTTAGCTGTCAGCTAGGCGAAACACTCTCTAGCCTGTAAAATGGCTTCTAACTTACTTATCATGCACCAGATCGGCCTAAGAAAGCAGAAGTCGGAGACGCTCAAAGGAGCGTGAAGAAGGAACATAGTCTCAAAGTATTAGCGCCCAACATCTAGGGCGAGGGCGCTACTTTCGAATATAAGGCAAGAGGTTTCCCAAGAAGTGCCTTGAATGAATCTGAACATTTCTCCATTATCTGTAGCTCTATACGCTAGCTGTATCGCTAGTTGACGTTGTGGCGGAGGTGGCAGTGCTCCCGGAGCCGAGCGGCCCGAGCGGAGTCCCAATCGACTTAGACACAGACTCGCGTGTTCGTAGACAGACATCATCATCATTAGACTTTACCACACCAGACAGCCCCAGCAGCCCAGCTCCCAGTAGCTCCGAGGATTCCCTCTCGGGACCTCCCCAACGTTCATTATGAGCGGTCCATTCCTCTTCAAGTTACAATTGTCAAGGACCCCATGTCAACTATTCATAGCTGTATTCTCGAACACCCCATAGGCTGGAGCACAGAGTATAAGAGAGACGTGAGGCTGGTGTAATTTACCCAACACAAATCTGCCCCTCGGAAATGAAGCTCCTCTCTCTCGTTACTCTCCCTTTTGTTGCCGGAGCGCACACCGCCCTCGTCATTCCTCAACTCCAGATGCGAGGCGTTCCACGGCTATTCACGGGCGCTCCGGAACCCAGCAACCTTCCTGTGGAGGTGCCCCAACTCGGCTCCACTCTCGGAGACGCTGAGATTCTAGAAGACCTTTGCGAGAGCGGCGGAAAGAATGCTGTATGTGCTTTCGTTGCTCCAACGACCGTGCAAGCGGGACTGCAAATATGGGCTCACTGAATAATTGTCGTTTGTGGCGGCATGCAGAGCATCGCTGTCAAGTACCTGGGGCCCGATGGAAACAACACCACCCTATATAATTTCGGCGATTGCATCCTGTACGAAAGGGAAGGCTACCGCTCTGGGGCGGCGAGATTCTGCCAGACGTGCCTCAGCTACGGACATCCGTGCGTTCCATGCTTGCTGGCATCGTCGATGCCAGTCCAATTCTGACTTCTTCGTCGAACAGGAGTCCTGATTGCTCTGGGGGTTCTACTCTGACCCTTCCAATCACGAATCCCAAGGGCCTCGTGCTTCCCGACACCGACGGTGGCTTCAAGTTCCTCCAGCAGAGTGCGACTTAAGTGCGAGCCGCCCCCCGCCGTACTTGATATTTTCTAATACGTAGATGGCGCTTCCAATGGTCTTACCAATATCCGTCCAAGTAGTTACAAGCGTGCTCATCGAGGGGTTGTCCGAATCCACTGGCAACAGTAATATGCGCCGAGCTGGCAATGCCAATAACCTTCGACACACCCTGCTGACAGTTATTGGAGATTCACCGACTTCCAACAGCCTCTAATGTCCTCCAATAGCCACCTTTGAACATCCATTATCCTCCAATATCTCAAAATGCACCCGCTAACAACATCCACTGGCCGTCGTTGGATTCCAGTGACTGCCAGTCAACATAACTGAGTATTCACCTGGCATGACGACTTCGTGCCTCGAAGAGAAGAGCATGCCGCGCAGTGAATTTCTACCACAGCGTCTTGCATACAGACCAATATTATACAAGAAGAGGTAGACACATAATATGATAATAAATCAGCATATATATGGCAAAAAATGTTATCCCAGACCGCAGTTAGGGGAGCTACAACACCAATGGTGGACATTTTCCGCAGCTGGGATGCGAAGGAGTTAACTTCCTTGGCGGGCGGTCTTACTATTGGGTTACCGTGACGATGGGGAGGCCTGCTGCACGCGTCGATTGACCATGACTCAATTAGAAATAGGCGCCCACAATCTAGAATAACGAGACGTACCCGAAACCCAAAATTATTCCCATCCATTGGGCTGGCCTTTGTGGTTCATCGGTTTCTTGAACAGGAGACCGAACGAACGAGGGTGTCGAGTAGACGCCATTAGGGGCCAACGACTGCCATTGGATGCCACTGGAATAAGGTCATTGTCAGATACTAACGGATGATGGCAGGGACAACGGGATCAATGTCCCCGGATAGCCGACACTGTCCAACAGTTTCCACCAATTTCCACCGATGGGTATTGGTGGTCACCAATCTCTTTTCCAGTGCGATAACTCACTGGCAACCTTCAGCCTTTACTCACCAGCGGAGCACAAGCACGACGAGACCCGCGACTCTCGCGGGGATGCGCGAGAAAAGAGGTCGTTTTCGTCAAATGTAGCGCCTTGGATTGGCCAGACGAGACATCCCAAGCCCCAAGCCCGCCCAAGTCCGACGGTTCACAAGAAATCTTCACCGATCTATAGCAACGTTGCAGCCACCAACCCCAGCCTCCGAGAGCGACCCCCTACTCGGAATCGTATCTACTGGTATGTAGAGTAGCGCTGCAGCGAAGGAAGCCCTTTCAAAAATCAATGATGGTGGCAAGCAGATGGTGGCGGCGATAAATTGATAACGCGGGTGTCGCGATGCTGGGCACTATCGCGGTTCTCTCAGCCTTATGTGCGCGTGCGCGAGTCGTCGTAAGCGCGTCGGACCCACAGTCCGTCGGGCCCGACCGTCGAAGACGATGTAGACGATGGCGCCATCGCGATAACGAGCTAGCCTCCTCACGACACATTGACAGGATGGGGCATGAAAAAAAAAAGACTTACCGTTATGTATCGTCTCGCCATAGAATTGCAGAAGAAGAATAGAATTGGATAGATAGAAATGAGAAAAACGAATGAACGACACGACATACGACAATCGACACAAATTTTAGAGTTGAGCAGCTCTCCAACGGTCAACCTCTCCGACTCTCCCGTCCCGTTGCAATCCCAGTCCTTCGTAGCGAGCACGATACCAAAAGCTTTCCTTTCCTTTCCTTCCTTCCTTCCACACAGAAAAAAGGAGAGCGAGCCAAGTCTATAATTAAAGTAAATTACAAAAATTAAAAGTCGTTGTGTCGACGAGGTGAGGCAGGCAGGCAGGTACTTATGAACACGCACACCCTCCCAGTAACCCAACAGCACTCGAGCGAACGCAACGAAGGCGAACGAAAAAAAAGGAGAAAGGAAAATGCGAGGCGAAAAGGCTTTTGATAGAACGTGGTATAGCGTCGGAAGTGAGAGCGTTAGCCAGACAACAGATGTGAACACAGCCGGAAGTCGTAGGTCGTAGACGAGGCAGGAGAGTAAATGTCGTCGCGGTGCAGCATTAAAAAGCGTCGAGGAATCCGTCGTCCATCCAGGGGGCGGGTGAAGGGGGTGAGGGGATCTAAGGGGTATGATTCGATTCTTCTTCGTTCTTGTTGTTGGGTTGTTGTTGCTGTTCTTCTATCCTCCTCCTCCACCACCACCTCCTCTCAACCACTCAACACTATCTCCACGCATCACTCACGCTCACGCAACGACAGCCGTCCGACTCGGGTTCCTCGCCAACGTCGCCCCAACCCTCTGCGCCTGGATACTACTAAACCTCTGCAGCTCCTCCGGCTTCATGCTGATCTTCTGCCCAAAGCCGACCTTGCGCGCCGCGCGCTTGATGAAGCTCACACGGTTCGAGTACAGGCTCTCGTGGATGGAGGCGGCGCGGGACTGTGTACGTGTCATGGGCACGCCCATCTTCGCTTCTTGCGCTTGGGCGGCCTCGTGTCGCTCGCGGAGATACTTGATGACGGTTGCCTTCATCGCGAACTTGATCCAGTCGAGGGGGATGAACCAGACGATGTTCTACATATCACAGCCTTCGCGTCAGCGCATACACCCCCACATAAACAGAAAAGAGACGCACCCAGACCCAAACGATCCCAATCCACCCCCCACTGATCTTCTGGATATTCGTGAATCCCCAATCACCATACGCAGCGATGATTGAGCTGATCAGCTGGGCGATGCAGAACGCGAACATCAGCGCGGTCGAGGGACGCTCCATGAAGAAGAACGAGTGCGAGCGGGTGACGAAGATGAGGGCCTGCGAGATGATGGCGACCTGGAGGTAGATGACCATGTGCAGCTGCTCGTCGTTGGCGGTGACGGGGAACTCGGCGAGCGAGACGCCGAATTTGTCTTGGAAGAAGGTTGTCTCCATGATGATGACGACGAGGGCGACGCTGTATCAATATCCATAAACATACACCCAACAAAAAAAGAGAAAAGAAAAAGCTTACGTAGAAGCAGTCAAATACAGCCCATACGCAACCGCATACGAGAAAATCTCCGCCAAATCCCAACTATCCGGGGTCATCGACGGCAGCACCCTATCCACCGACAGCGTCATGATCGTCCCATCATTCAACAACGCAATGATCAGAACCATGAACGGCGGGAAGTCAAACTTGTACGTGAACGCGAGGATGGCGAAGCACACGACGATCCGGATCGTCACCGCGCACGCGTAGATCGAGTAGTTGCGCATGCGCTGGAAGATGACGCGCGATTGGCGGATGGCGTGCACGATGGTGGAGAGGCCGGGCTCGGTGAGGACGATGTCGGCGGCACCGCGCGCGGCGTCCGTGGCGCCCTCGACGGCGATACCGACGTTGGCGCGCGAGAGCGCGGGGGCGTCGTTCGCTCCGTCTCCCGTCATCGCGCACAGATGGCCTAGTCCCTGCAGGCGCTTGACGATCTCGTACTTGTGTTCTGGGAAGACACCCGCGAACCCATCGGCGTCCATGATCATCTCGTCGAGCGACGCGTGCTTGCCGCCGGGGGCGGGCCCGTCCTTGAGGACCTTGGCGGGGTACATGTGGTCGCCCAGCCCGAGCCGGCGACCCGTCTCCTTGGCGATAGCGAGCTGATCACCCGTGACCATCTTCACGCGCACACCGAGCGCCAGCGCGTCGTCGATCGTCTGCTTCGTGTCGTCGCGGGGCGGGTCGTAGATCGCCAGCAGGCCAATAAGCTCAAAGCCATTGCCCTCCGCCTCAAAGTCGTCGCCCTCGACCTCCTCATACGCGACAGCGAGCGCACGCAGACCGCGGGTGGCATAGTCCTCGACGTCCTTCTCCAGCCGGTTCTCGAGCTCTTCGGTCTTGTTGCGCGTGCACAGCTCGATGATGATGCCGGTCATGCCCTTGGTGACGCGCTTGAGCTTGCCTGTGGCCTCCTCGCGGTAGGTGATCTCTGTGCGCTTGTCGACGGGGTTGAAGGGCTTGAAGTCGAGGAGCTTGATGCCGGCACGGGCACGGGAGGCGTCGCCAATGGCGGCAACAACGGAAGCGTCGATGGCGTCCTGGTTCTCGGTACGAGAAGCATATGCAGCGAGGAGAATGACGTCCTCCGCCGAGAAAGGTCCGTACGTCTGGATGGTGTTGCGGTCGATGGTGAGCTTGTTCGTGGTGAGAGTACCGGTCTTGTCCGAGCACAGAATGGTGACACCCGCGAGCTCCTCAATGGCGGTGATACGGGTGACGATGGCCTTGTACTTGGCGAGCTGTTGGGCACCGACGGCGAGGGTGACCGACAGGACAGTGGGCATGGCAATGGGGATACCACCGATGAGGAGGACAGGATGTTGTCGAGACCACGGCGGTATTGGTAGCGGAAGCCAGCATACAGAACGAATATCTCAGCGAGGACGAAAATACCGATAGTGACGAGGCAGAAGGACCCAATCTGGGCGAGAATCTTCTGCAGATGACCGGTGGTGTCGTCGTCCTGCCCGACCAGGGAAGCAGCGCGACCGAAGAAGGT